TCCTGGACATAAATTTACTCAAAAGAGATTTTTTTTGGGTTTAGTAGCAGTGAATTGACCGGGATTCGTCAGCAGAGTTAAATGGGTTTATAGGGCAGACCTTTTAAGAGGGCCACACTTAGCCTGATAAAAAGCAGAACGCAACAGCAGGCATGAGTGTGCAGATTAACAGCCGGACAGTCGCTAATCTAACCACAGGCTGATTAAAGGCTTTGCACCTGTCACTTGTGTAATGATATTAAATGGCGAAATTAAAGACAATTATGGATAATGATGACACTCAAGCCAACCAAAAAAACAAACAAAGAGAATGACAAAAGTCAAAATCTAGATCAGATCAACTAGAGCCTGTATGAGCCTTGGACCAAGCCAGCTGTTGTGTGGAGTAGACTGTACCGTAACTTTTGATATGTTTCCCTCTTTAAGATTTGCCTTCTGTTAGTTGTGATCTTTGATACCTGTCCAAATCCTATCGAATAGTTATTGTAAGAGGATATGCATTCTTTATTGTTGAGATCATGTGTTCTGCAGATAAATAATCTTTCATCTGATGTACTACTCAATTGTCTTTTTGGTGGCCTTTGTCACTGCTGCATAAGTGTTGTACATATAGCAGGGTAGAGTTCCAAACTGAGCTGTCAATCATCATGTGCTGACAAGTATGCAACTGACAGATTTCAACATCAATAGGATGCCTCAAAAAGGCTTTGTGGCAACAAAAAACCGTGTTAGTATTTTGTAACCTAATTGCCGACTCTTGTTATCAGATCCTTTCAATCAGGAAGGTGATCAAAATAATGGTTTTCTTTTATCTTTGTAAATATCTTTGCTTTTGCATTTATACTTTGATAAAGACAATTAAATGTGATTTATGGTGTCTAAGATTAAACAAAGAAAATCAAAGTCGATGTGGTACTTAGGATGATTATTGGCCTCAGTGACAAAGGCTGCTTCAGGCAAAAATAAACAGCGACGTTGTCATTGCCCAATAGTTTACACGTGTGAATTCTATTTGGCCTGTGAAGATTTGTCATCACAGAGAACCCCCATTACACATCATAGAAATGCAATTGCTAAGCCATTATGGGTGACTGGCCCTTTGGGGATTCTAGGATACTATCAGCCCATGTCATTGGTTCTCCCCTTCACATTCAGGCTGGCTAACCCTCGATGAGTGATCTATTTATTTTTGCATGGCCGCCTTTATCGACATAGCCTGTAAGCTTCAGGGGGAAAGATGGTATCAGATTCTATTCCTGGGGAAGTAAGCAACCAGCATACATGCAATTTATTCAGGAATGGCTTTCGGTGCTGTATCAGGTAAGAGCAGCTGTAATGATAGCATCATCTCTCCATGAATCCACCATCCCTGCTTCTTGTTTACTGCTGTTTTGGTTGGTTTGTTTGTTCGCCCACCATTTCCTGCCCCCCCCTTATCCCTTCAGGCAGATTCCCTCTGTCAATTGCCTTATTTCATTAGTCTCAAATCCACTTACACTCTGTTAATGTTTTCTAGCTTCATTACTGTAGTCTGTTCAGGCCTCTATCTACCTTATTCATACAATAAAGGCAGAGTTTATGACACGCAAAGTACAGATAGGCCTCTCTGACATAGAACACATCAGATTGAACGCCCCGAAGAGCAACCCAGAATCCCTTTTAACAGACAGAAGTAGCTAAAGGGATACAGGACTGCGGCACCTTTTATGGCATCTTGTACATAGATCATTGATGACATGAATAAGAATTTGTGAGTACATATTGCTCTTTCTTGTTCTGAAACTCCTAAAGTGAAGTGTTGGCTTGCCAGTGCTTCTAAGGCTTCAGGGTAACTTGGTATACAGAGATGATACAGGGATGACCATTAATAATCCATGAAGAGGATACAGCACAGAGCCTACAACAGTGTAAACGCCTGTTCCTCTGTGAACTTAGCATTGAAATATTCATCGTGCTCTGCTGTTGTCATCTTAAATTAGAAACCTGTTTGGACTGTTTTCTGAGACCCTCTTGTTCCTTCTTCTGTTGTCCCATATGACATTTATTTAAAAGATTAAAAATGTCAAAAACTAAACTTGCATGAACTCACCACTCTCACAACCCAAATGCCTGTAATGTGCAACGTTTGTGCTTTAAAAAAAAAAGAAGGTTTTTCTTTTGGTGACAGAAAAATAAAAGATAACAAAATACCTTATGGGCAATTCTTAAATTTGAACTATGTCAATATATATTTTGTATCGATTGTTTCAATTTTGCCATACTTTGAATATGAAAAACATTGCTGCCATCATTCAAAATGACACATTGTTTAGCAAAACTTGATGGATTAAATATATTTTAACCATCATGATGTCCTTCCTTAAATTCTTATTTGTATAAAGTGCTAACTGAAATATGGAATAGCTCTCTGTGTTCATGAAAGGCCGACAGACTAACCATGCGTCTAAGGTTATGCGACTCAACTTAGTGTGTACCAATGTCCCATAATGTGGCTTTCCCCTGCTCTGGATGACACCACCATGATGTCTTCTGAGTGGACATGAGCTCAAAGGCTCTCAAAATGAACAGTGACCTCTGCCTTGCCATTGGCCAGCCTCTTAGGCGCCGTTTACACGAGGAGAAAACTGCTTGTATCTGCATAGTTTCGCGTGCGTATAGCCCTATTATTTACACGAGGCCGATAGAAACTGACCCCACAAACGATAACGGGTCCCAAGGTGGATAGATTTGCAAACGAAACGCTCTGGGGGGTCAACCGAGTCCGTGTAATCACCTCTATACGAATATTTCCTGAAAAAATAACGATAGCCCCACCTCTCCTGCTCACTGCTGTAGCAACTATCAAAAATAGCTGTGTTAATTAAACGCACAAGGGGTTCTTGAATGAAATAATATTATAAAAGGCAAACCAGAATTGTTAACGCCCAATATACTCCTTAAACAAAATAAACAGAGTCAGATTTCATGCATTGATCCATTATATTGACAATTTTCCAGCCAAACAACACAAACAAAATTAAACAGTCCGCTCTGCGATACACCAAACTTGTCTTTCCTGCCTAATCCAGGCCATTATTGTTCATTGCTCCTGCGCCCGTCGGCGGCAAAAAGATAAATGTTTGTAGGCAGAGGACCGGCGTGTCCCAGAGGAGCGATCTCACCCGGTGTTTGTAGAGAATATCTCTCTTTCTGAGCCGTCCTCTCCACGGAGACGTGCTTCTTGGTCGGTCGATGCAATATCCACAGATTCGGTTTCTTTCAGTTAACTTCCCCGTTGCATTTATCCATATGCTGAGGAAATGACTATATCCCGCTGAATACCAGCAATCGCCACACACACTTCCTCCTGTCAGTAGCTACTGCTAGTGCTACTGCTACTGACCATGCTACAGATATTAGTGCAAAATCTACAGCTCCTCTACCACAACCATCAGCAACAAGTGGACATGGAGAATTACATGAACTACATGTTGCTAAATCCAGCGCGGGGCATAAACAGAAGGGTAGCCATGGCAACATTGCTGCGGGGCTGCTCCGGGCTGCTCTTCTTCGCTGCTTTTGGTGTATTTTGGCGGAAGTTACAGCGCCACTTACAGTCCCGGCATATGTACTACAGCGTTTCCAGCGGTCTCGTTTGAACAGACACGTTAAATGAAACGAATGCATGTGAACGGAAGACTTTTTTGAATATGCATACTGTGCATAAACGCAAACGTTCCCGTGTGAAGGAGGCCTTAGTCACTCAATCTTCTCCAAGTTGTGATGTGGCCCTGGGCCTCTGATGCATATTACAGCTCTGAGTGTCCCTCCTCCCGTCTCTCATCTTCTATAAGTATGAGTCACTGTTCTGACTCGAGTCAGGGTATATGTCAAGCGATCTGACCCATGGGACTAATTGCCCCAGGAAAGTAAGAAAAGTCTACATTAGAAGAACAGTGACCACAGAGCGAACTACACTGTCTACTCTTAACAGTCAAATAATTGCTCAATCATGCATGAGTATTAGCTGCAATGATATCTCTATCTTTGCCGGTGTGATGGTTCTGGAATGAGTGTAGCAATAAAGAAAGTCAAAGAGGCTTAAATCTTACCATTATTCCAAAGCCTTACGCATTTAATGCCGAGTGAAATTCACCCGATTGGTATTCAGTCCTAGGCTTTCGATGGTTATAGTGTGTCTTAACCAAGTGGTGGTTTTACAGAGCTCTGTGTAACCTCAAATTGAAATGACGGTCCTTTATTTTCCTGAACATGGGGAAACGTGATGAAGAAATTGCTGGGATTACCAAGCTTTGCTTCTGGTATTTCTATTCATTAATGTTCTCTTCCTCTGATCTGTGTGTATGTATTTACTACTTGTTGTAATGGAAATATGTGCAGGGAGTCAGTGTCCTCTAGGACATTTGATTAAGACACATGATTATAAATGGACAAGATTGTTGGTATTAGAAATGCAGTGGTTAGTAGATAATGGCTACAGGATGATTTATCTAACCATTAGAAAGCTCATTAATTTTCGGAGAAAGAGGAATATAACAAAAACACAAAGCTTATCCTGGTCTTTGTTCTTCGACCTCTCCGATGCCCCAGTGCAGCCCTCTGGTACATTCAGATTCATAATGAAAATAATGAAATAAAACCTATTCATATAAGTCTTATTTCAATTGGTTTATTAATGTATCTGGCTACTGTACATGGCTGGCTATAATCTCTCATTTCTGAGGTGCATTAAGTCTCATTGGTCAAAATATGCAATTCCAAATGTCTCCTTCTCCCAGGTAAAAATACATAAAAAAAATGCTCAGTATCATTTCAGTTTTATAATTGACTGGGTCCTATTTTAGTTCAATCGCTATTATGTGTTACAGCCCTCAGTTCTATCAAAAATGCAAATGTGTATACAAGGATAACAAATACTTTGAATGACAACTGCGTTTTAATCGAAAAACCTGGATTTGCAAGTCAGATGGCTTATCCCTCTTCTTTTCTTCTTTTTACAGAGGACCTACTCCCACCAGGCTTCCCTAACATTGACATGGGTCCTCAACTTAAAGTGGTGGAGCGCACTCGAACAGCCACCATGCTCTGTGCTGCCAGTGGCAACCCTGACCCCGAAATCACCTGGTACAAAGACTTCCTACCCATTGACCCAAGTGCGAGTAATGGGCGAATCAAACAGCTGAGATCAGGTAAGGAATCCCGAGCATTGTGTTGATGTCTTTTTCCCTTCTTACGAGCTTGAGCTCTTCTTTGATTACACAGGACATTATATAGCAATAGTTGTTGTTTTGTGCTTGCAGCTAATGTGACTCCAGTGCCCAGTGTTTTCGAACAAACATTATTCGAAAAAGTACAGAAGTGTCACTGAAAGTACTTTTACATTTTTAACAAATGTTCTTATTTACTGCACAAAGTGAAACCATATCATTTTGAGGTGGACCTGACTTGAGCTCAAGAAAAACTATCCTTTGTTTTTTTTAGGTTGATTATCAAACTGATCTGAGTAAGGTTGCAGTACAAGAGATCTGAGAATCATCATATATATAAAAGAAATCATGTTGAAGACCTGAATTTACCAAAAGTGCAGATCAAACTCTGTCTGATGTTGAACAACAAAAAAAAGCTGTTCAACTATATTTAAAGCATTTAAAAATCAGCTCATGGGGCAAGCTCTATTTAGTAGATGACAACATGAGAAGCATGCACCAGTGTACATTTCATTGATTATGGCCATTATACTCTGACCATGAATCATATCAATAAATCTGTTGTTGAAATTGAGGTTCAAAATGTCACAGAATATCACTGATTTAGGTCAAATACTTCACAACAAGCCAGAAATGTGCCATAGTAGACAATGACGCAAAGCCACTATTCTACTGACACAACTCAGTGGTGTATATGTTGTCTTGTTCCCATTGATTTAACCCCACTCAGAGGCCCAGTAAAGCAAGGCCTAATTATATTGCTAATTAAGTGCAAGCCCTGGAGTAGCCGTGGGCAATAAGGGGTAGATATTTTAGGTCGATGATTTGTTACCATTTGAAAAATCCAATGACTCCTATTTGATTTGTTGCTGTGAACGTAAATCAGTGTAGACAGCATTAAATACAGAGTCTATTGCCATTGAGTCCCTGCCCCAGTTGTGGACCCCATGAGCTGTACACTCAAAATAATCAATTTGTCATCTGATTATTTATGTCTTGCCTAGTCCATAGGTGATTTTATTTTAGATACGTTTTATATTTAGTGCACAGATTTAGGGTATTTGCTGTCTCTGACAACATTGTTTCTCGGTTCATATTGGCCCGAGGAACTCCTCTGCGGATGTAAGCTCTTCACTAAGGTGCTTTGGAGAATGCTGTCAGCTAGTGCTGTAGACTTTAGTTTGAGGACAAAGAGCGTCCACAAGGGACTCTTTGGAAGAGAGTTCTAATGTAAATGTTGTCCCCTAATCTGTTCTTATTGCACTGCCAGACTTCTTCTTAGAAATTGATGGTGCACAGGGGTCTTCTTGTAAACTAACCAAAGTTTTTAACACAGTTTCTTTTTAACAAACATATTAAGTGAATCCTTAAGGTCTAACTAACATGTTAGTTCCATTTTTTGCCATGTAAATCAAACAAGATTTTTTCTAATTTGAAATGTTTGCTCTGTAGCACAACTAGTGGTCAAAAACTCGACATGGTAGCTTTAACCTTTCAGATGCTCTGGCAGGTAATCGTAATTAGGTTGTAATAACAGCATTGAATATTTTACATTCAGGTTTTTTTTAATTATTTCATTTTAGATAAATAGGTGGTAGGAATGTACCTCATGTTACTTTCTTTAGGTTTTAAATAGTCATATGTAAGGCCGGCTCTTTGGGTTACCTGTTAACATTTTAACATGATCTTGTGCGTTTTAAGCCTATGGGGATGATAACACGAATGATTGTATCTTCTTGTCTGTGTTCTAACCTCTCTATCATCTGTCTCCGTCATGATTTTGTCAATTGTCTTTGTATGTCCTGTCTAACCGAAACACACTGATGTTTGGTTGTCTCTACATGTATTTTGTCTGTATTTGTGTATGAAACTCAGATGTGTTTCACATTGCAGAGTCTTCAACACGTTTCATGTGGCTGAGAGCCATTACCAGCCAATAAAATAAACTGAAACATAGGACTAAACCTTTTTAATTAAAATTGACACCAAAAATGTGTACAATAACTTCCTTTATAATCACTATAAATTGCAAATAGAATCCATGTTACATGACTTGAAAATGCAATGCTCCTTTCATGGTAACTCGTGATAAAACTGCTCAAATTAGATGGGGAAAAAAGACCCAACTAAACTGTGGTCCCTTAAATTCTTGTATGACAATCCCTTTTAACCTCAACCTAAAATGAACTATGTTGTTCTTCCCCTTCATTTTCAGAATCCTTTGGTAAGTGTCTTGCAAAGCATAAAAAGCCCACCCACTCTCCTTGAAGCAGATGGCATACTACTTTCCAAAATGCATGCATCCTCTGCGCTCCCCTCACCCTTGTCCTCTTTTGCCACTTGTTCCCTATGTTCTGTTTCTATTTATGCTCAACTTTTACTTTTGTTTCGCCCATACTCCTTATGCCAACTTTATCCTCTTTCACCCCCCACACTGGAACTTAGAAAGGCAAATCAAGGACAAGCACCAGCACAAGTTTGGACGCTGGTTAGGTATTACAGCCCACCTTTAAGCAGCACAGTTTTGATTTATATGGGGAAAACCTGCTGAGCATGTCTTTTATAACAACATCCTGCCTCACATTAATGCTCATCTGCATTATAACTGTACTGCCTGGTTCAACCAGCTTTTCTACAATGTTTTAGCAGCTTTACTGGACCACCTGTGGTCAAAAGTACCTTGTGCAAGGTTACCTTGGAAGTAGAAGATGCCTTATGCACTTTTCCCTAACAATTTACTTTGAATGACATTCTCCAAATGTTACATTGCAAATGCTTTCTGTCACGTCACGGTTTTTCTCTCTGCTGTGTTGCAAGGCAGCAGGCTTTGGGGAAATAATTGAACACTGCTTGAATTCAAGACAATTATTTATTTGCAGTCACAGTCTACAGTATTTCTTTTGTGTTCTTGCTGGGACATATAGCAAACACAATCCTCCGAAAATACACTCTTGTTTATACTCAAGGGTGAGCAGTCAAACTTTAGAATACAATAGCAGCTTTACTATCCAAGAATACCCTTGGAAAATGAAGCAAAATCTGAGAGGGCCTGAAAGAATCTTGAGTTCTTTCCAGGTATATGTCTCTGCAGGAACGCAGTACGGCTGAACTCTCCAATCCCACACTTGGGCTGGGTCGACCCTCTGGTCTTGGCCAAATATTTTCTCAGCAGAGCATTTTCTTTTATTGCCAAATTTGCACACATCTGCACTGGCTTACAAATCCCAACCTAAGGCTCTGTTGCCCATGTTAGAGTACGAGGGCTCAAGTGATAGTTACATTTGGCCACATTTTGTACCCCTCCTGACTTCTTGAACTATTTGTAAAAATATACCCAGCCACTTTAAGCTGGGTTTGTTTTACTTACAGGTCAAACTATGTGTGTTTGTAGGAGGGCAGAAAAGGAAATTACTTTCCCTTGTTTCAATACCAAGACTCTCGTAAGCTAATGTTAGCGTTTTCTATAGCCCTTTTGGTTTTAAAGCTCATTCAGCAGCCATGCAGGATTTATGCTGATGAGAAAAAGGCCTGCGTGCTCAAGCCCCATAGACTGCCATCTTTTCATGTCCTCAGCACTTTGAGTAGCCATTTTGGATCTCACTTATAGAAATCCGCAGAATGAAAAGAAACAGTTATTTTGGCAATCTTTGAATGGCTATTTTTTTATTATTCTGTTGATCAGAATGCTGGTAATGTTATATAGTCCATATGGGTGACTCATAGATGCTCTCCCATAGATGGTATAGTAAAATTGAAGGGAACATGGGAAGTGGGTTGGAAAACATGAGTTTGAAAACATACTCAGTCTCCAGCTACTGAAAATGAATCCCCCACGTGTCTCATGTGACTTTCGACTCCTCTTATTTTGAAATCAACAATACATAAGAGATTTGATTTTCGTCCAATTTAATCATTAAAACCAATGTTATTATAGTTTTGATTCCAGGAAGATAGAGCTATATTTGTTTATTAGATAGCTGCCTAGTTGGCTGACCCGTTCTTTATGAGTCAAACCATGCTGTGCTGGCGGGGCAGTGATATTTGCATCAGGGTCCCCTGAGGAGCTCCTCTAGAGATGTGGAGGGAGCTTGACATTTCTCCCCAAGTCCCTGTGGCTGCAGACCCCAGGCCGTCGCTGGCCTTGTCAGCCAGAGCAGATTAACCAGAGGCCAGAGACAGTGAGAGGATTGTGAAGAGTGCATATTCATAAAGATTAAGGTCCTCTTTTTTAAATATAAAGGTTTAAAATCATGACCCGACATTGGATGGCTCCCCTGGCACTCACACGGCTTCATGCACATCCCAATGTGACTCTTGCATAGTTCAATTGTCCTTAATCTAAAATTAGCAAGAGAATGATCATATTTGTTGACATCAAAGCTGCTCTGCAGGGAGTGGCTAGAAGCTCTGCAGATGTGGTAACAACAGCCAGGTTTTTGTTGAGACCTGCTGCGACTGCACTGAGATCGCAGAGGGCGTCTGTGCTGATGAGAAGGTCAGCCAGACGCCCTCTGGAGGGTGGTCAGACTTTGACACTTGGCCAATCACGCAAACCCTATCCGACTCAGATGCAGATGGGCAACATCTCTGGCCAGATTGCCTCTGGCCAGACTACATGCCTCAATAATATTTTAATATATTCAGAGGGTGGTTTAACAAAACAGCTGGGGTGTTCCGTGGAGCAAATAATGCCGCGTTTGATAATGCGAGGAGGTCGACAGCCCATTGAGATATATTTAGGTCATTGTCACCCTAAGCAGATCAACCTCTGGTCGGCCAAAGCTTAGAATGGGAGCTTATGGCCATTAGGTTATGTGCCTGTGTTCAGGTGGATTTGCCAATGTAATTGAATACCTGCTACCCTCTCACGACCCAGCCTGCCTGGTCAGATCCTCGGTTAAGTTTCAATGATATCTTTTCATGCTGCTTTACTATTCAAATAGCAGACGTTCCAAGGACCTGTGTCATTCATATCCTTCTAATTTTTTATATTTTTTGTTGGAACCAATTCCTTTCACATTAAAAACCTTCATCTTTTATCCCTCATTTTCCTAATTACTTTCCTCTCTTTTTTTCTGTCCCTCTTTTGTTGCGCAGTCCTTCAAAGGTCCAGATTTAATGGCCTTTTCCTTTACAAACCTGCTTATTAACATTAACCTTATCCTAACCTCAACCTAACTTGACCTTAACCTCACCTAACCTTTAACTAGTAACCCCTTAACCCAAACAAAAAATTCACCACAGCTAAAGCGAAATAAGCCAACAGCTAATGCAGCCTTTAATCAAACTCTAACTCGATAACAATTTAACCTTCCCAGAGCCCTGTCCTTTGTCTTGTGATTATCTATGATTATGTGGTCTCTAAAATCATTGCAGAAATGATTCAAATGTCACTGTTGTTTTGCCTGGTTTTTCAATGAAGCTAAACTATCTCTGTTGCAAATGTATGCATTTAATAACTCTAAGTGCGGCTAAACAGAATACCGAGACCTTGTAAGTGATAAATATTCAAGAATACATAACGATCAATGTGAAACGCATTTGCCACTTATATCAGACAATGTGGGAATAATAATTAAATTATAAAATGGGATTATATTTTTTAATGAGAAGTCAGTATGTCTAATCCCAGTAAATGTTCACTTTATAAAGATACAGTTGAACTGATTTGTTTAATATGATAATGGTATACTATGATTGACATTTTTGATAAGTGCACATAAACACAGTGTAAAGCAACTTTAAATAAATAAATAAAATCCACCTACATTGCAAACCAGGCAGAACTTAAACTCAGTGATATCCTCCTACCTGCTGGTATCACAACAGACACCTCTGTATGTAGAGCTGAAACAATAATCCGATCAGAAGGTTTTGAAAGTTACATCCCACTGCCCAGCCACCCACAGCCCTAAATGTACCGTATAGGACAATTGCTGGCGCCACTTTACACATTAAACCATTTGTTGGTCCAGCTAGTTGGTATGATGCCAGTTTGCTGTATTCAACTTGCATGAATGCCTGTCCACACAAGGGCCAAGCCTGAAATATCAGGTTCAACGGGCAGTGCATACCCTTACCCTCAGCTCTCTGCCTGTAAGCAATCTATGCAAAGTAAGGCACCTCTCGGCCTTGGTGGTGCCCTGCTGGCACTCTCAAGGGATGGCCATGGGCACGTTGTAGCCATTGAGTCATCCTTAGAAAGGGCGACTAAGAGAAAGGCAAAAGGGAGGAAATTGTGGGAAAGTCCGAGACATACAAAAACTCAGAAATGGGGATAAAGAGGGAGGAATGGAGGCAAAGATAAACTAAGAAAAGAAAGAAAGATTTAGGAAAGACACTAAGGAAACAATGAGCAAAGAAAAAAAGCCAAGAGAGGAAGGACAGTTTCATTCTTGGCAGAGAGGGGGTTGCAGTTAAGCTGGCTTCCCTACCTACACCCAAAGCACTGCCTATAAGGGATGCTTTTTAAATCACAGCAACAACTCAGGCTACTTTTAAAAGCCCACCAGCCACTGACTGGACATGCTCAATATTGTATTGTTCTAATGGGACATTTGGCTTGTAGTCAGGCATGTAACACAACACGGACCATAAACAAAGAATAGGGAAACATGCAACTCTCAGTGAAATGAAAAAATGTAAAGGGCCAGGGGATTGAATGACTAGGGAAGGTAGGAAGCTTGGGTTGAACAGTTTATCTGTCACAGTTTAGCAGGTTTACGACCTGTAGGATAAATAAGAACTAAATTATGTTAGATTTTACTTGTGGTTGCCGGAAGGTAAAGCCTGAAATTCTAGTTCACCAAAGATTTCCTCCCTCAGCAAGTTTGATTCATAGTAATGTAGACATCCGATAAAGAATATAAGCGCACGTAACTTGTTTTACTGATGCTCAGTTAGTTGGTAAAAGTCAATGGCGCTTAGGGTCAAACCTCTCTTGATTGTTTTACCCTGAGTTGAGCCATTATAAATTGCATGCCAAAACCTTGAGCTTCTTCAGCTCTGCCGATGACTTCATATGTCTAAGGCAAGGTGTAGAATAAAAAAAAAAACACTCAATTAGGCACTGAAGTGGGCCAGCCATAGTCTAAAGCTTTTAATTCCTTTGTGATACCAGCAATTCGAGGTGTTGGGTTATCGATACAAAAAAATCTCTCAAAACCCTGTAAGAGATTACCTAATGGTTTGATAATCTAATTCCAAAGATCCACCTTCCAACCCAAATAACTCCTAACTACTACTAACATTAACGTTGAACTAAACTGATGTTGTGTCTTCATTTTTGTGTCTCCTCCAGAGGGTACCCCGATTCGAGGTAAGCTGTTTAACACAATAAAAAGAAAGGAAAAAAAACTTCAAAGTGCATTAAACCAGACATAATCACTCCTAACTACACCTAACTAACTAAACAGTGGCGATGTCATATGGGCTTTTCCTCTTTAAAAAATACATACTTGTCTATGTCCACTAACATTAACATGTCATCTGTGTTTGGGTTCTGTGTTCTCTGTACACTGTTTTGTGAGCGTGATCATATGTGTTTAACTTTTCTCATGCCACATGTCATCATTGATGTGTAAATGTTCCACCCCTGTGGGCGCTCTGTGTCTGTGACCACCTATCTCCTCCACATCGTCAGTGTCACAAAACTGACGTGCAATTTAAATTGTGTTGCCGGCTTGTTAGGATTCAGGATTGAGAAAGTTGTAGCAGGAGGGAGGGATGGTGAAAGGGTATTAATAAACAGTCTGCTTTGTGCCTCAAACATTTAAATTGTTTGGTCATGGACATGGAGCTGATGGGTGGGGGAAAGGTAATAGGATGTTGGTGGGTGGGCAACGTTGGTCTTTTTGTTGATAGGGCCTGGCTATTGAATACTTGCAACTAGCAACAATCTTTCTTCTTTTCTGCTTTGATATCCTCCTTATCCTTCCATTCAACACAATAGCGAAAGCCACATTGTGTATGTGAATGCTCTCCAATCACTTCCATGAGCCCTCATGGTGTGTCGGAGAAAAAGCTGCCTTTCATCTATTTCCTTTTTCGCCATTTTATGCGTAACAACAATTTATAAAGGCAAGACTAGTGAGGATGCTGGGTGCAATGGTTGCATTTTCAAAAGAGGAAACATCGTTTTACCATACTTAAACAATTGCTTAAATTGATGAAGGATGAACAGGAGGATATCAAGGTGAAAATGGAATAAAAGAGTGTAAGCGTGGCTCCAATGAATCATATGATAGCTTAGTCCAATACTTCTTCCTCTCCACCTTTATTTTTTTACATTTCCCCGGACGGTTTAACTTCACTTGTAATCATCCACAAGGCTTTGCTGCTGAAGCACTCTCTCCCACTTCAGTGTCATAGCGGATTTATGTGTTTGTTGTAAAATGCTTTTGTTCCACAGGTTGAGCAGGTAAGTGAATAACTCAGTTTGCCCTGTTTTCATGGGGACAAGATGAATGCTCATAGTTTAATGTTTCAGTTTTGTGCAGCAAAGGAGGTGATTGATTTGAAGATAAAGCTCCTAGAGTACAGTTAAGGTTCTCCATCCTCAACCATCTCATACAAGCCACACGGTACAAATCTCAAACAGTCATGTTTTCAAAAATATTCATACACATTTCAAATAAAATCAAATAAAATCAAGGTTTATTTATAGAGCACATTTAAAAGCGATTTTTGGTCGGGCCAAAGTGCTGTACATGTAATAACTACAATCACATAAAAACACATTTCTATAAGTAGATACATTAAATACAAATGTAGGAGAAATAATGAGTAGAAGGTGCTTGTTTATCTCAGGGATTCATAAAGTTCTTCTCGCGAAATAACGTCATAGCTTATTCCCAAAATATATAATGTACATTTTTTTTAACTTACAAAGCCACCCAGGTGCTGGCCTAGAGGTAAGTGATAGGTAGAAAGGTTGCTGGACTCCCTACCTGCTTCATTACTGATTTCATGGGAGCGTTACAAGCCACCAGATGGGCACTGCCAACAATGGCGTCACACGTGGGGCCCCATGCTGCTGCGACCACAGTATAATGACCTTGGGTTGGTTGCAGAGTGTGCCCGAGTGACAGGATACAGACAGAAGGAAAGGGAGAAAGAGAGATAAGGGCATTTACATACTTTGCTGCCGTGTATCCAAACTGGATGTTATCTCTTATTGTTATTGTTTAAACTGTAGATTCTCAACAGAAATCCTACATTTCCACACGTTTATACATGATGCGATAATGGTGTTGTGAAAATACTAAACAGTGTTAAACTTGCTATTTATAGTTTGCTTGTTGTGTTCAACTCCAGCTGAGGTGTCATCAGGACAGATTTTGCCTGGAAAATGTTTCAATTGCCTAAAAAATGTATTATAATTGTTTAATGAAAGTGATTTACTTTTGTTATGTTTTAGTAGAAATATATTTGTAACAGTTCCTTAATCATTGAGTGAGTTTAAGATATTGTATCCTGCACACTTCTGTGCACGGCTGTGAGTTTAATTTATGTTCTGGAATGATTATCATTTTGACTGTGTAACCACTTATACAGTAAGTTGCTAATTTGGGGTTTTAATTGCACTGTTGAGCAGTGTAGGGATGTGAGGATGGTGAGAAGATAGGGGAGGTGATAAGAAATAAGATACTTATGAGAAAGGTGAATTAAAAATGAGAGTTAAAATGATGAAAAGAACAGTGTGCCACCGGCAAGCCTTAGTGGGCTGCAAAAGAAGCAAAACTGAGGGAAATAAAGGGTGAGACTTGGCCAGCCATTTTGTTGATCGCCTAAACAAATCAATCAAGACCCGCTGGAGCACACTAATTGAATTACACAAATGGGACCGGAGGGGGGTACACATAGTGAAGCTGCTACAAAGCAACGACGGGGGTGGGTAGACCACTGCTTCAGGCACTTTCTGAAATTAATCATCCATCATTGCCCCTCCTTGCCTTTCTTTTAAATCCTCATCTGTCCTTCTGTTTTTCTCTGCTTGTATGTCTCTTCAAGTACTTCTCCCACTCTTCTCAGATTGTTTTGTTCTTTCTCTCTTATAAACAAGACCCTCTTTCCACCCCTTGTGTTCCCCTCAAAAACAAGATCGACATGGAGATTTTAATATGAATATTTAGTTGAAGAATTATGCGTTTTCTTAAATATTTCCTGTTAGTGTACTGCTGCAGAAAGGGCATTGACACTCTGCAAAGAACTGTTATGGATTGAATGTAGTGAAGTATACTGAACTCTACTTACCTGTTTACTGAAGATCTGCTCTTAAATACTTCAATACAAGAATACCTTTTACAGAATCTGAGTTGGCCTTCAGAAACATGTATTTGATGAACTCTGCCCAGGTAGTCTTCTTTGTTATCACACCTTGGCACCTCAGTGCTCCCCATCAGATCAGCCGGAGGCCTGCAGCGCTGTTAACCAGGGCAGCTGCCACGGCTGGGACAAATGTTCCAGCCCCCACTGCCCATTACAGCCTTCTTTATGGAATGGATGAAGGCAGCGAACATACTGCAAGACAGTCAGGGTAGCAGTGGAGACTGGAAGGTTGTGTGTGTTGGTGAGCCGGGAGGGTCACTTTGACTGAGATGGAGACTAATTGGTCCACATAGAAGTGTGGTCATTATTATCAGGGACTTTATTTTCCCAGCTGTACCCAATCTGTTTTCTTCTTTTAAATCTTAATGATACAGCATACATCATGGAATAACCCAGCGAGAAAAAAATGGCCCATCTTTTCTCCTCTGACCCAGAAACCATGAATTATTACTCAGTAGGGGCAGTACTTGTTGGCGTTTATGGATGGTTGGTGTGGCCTGGAAGTGGTGGTCTCCTCCTGTGTCCTTTTAAGTGTCCTTGTGCAAGATGTTGTGTAAGTCAGTGGTCAATCTCACAATTAAAGCTTAATCCTTACAATGTAAAGTAATACATTACTGCTGCACGTGTCATATTTGTACTCGCAATTAGGTGTTTTCTAATATCTTTTAAACGGTAAGTCACAATATTTAAATGTGCAGTTATTATATTAAAGTTAAATGAGCCATGCTTTTTGTCGACCATGCCATCTCTCTCTGAAGGCAGTGGGTGTTTCTCAATCGCGAGTAAAGCTGCTTCAGAGCCACTATTTCAAGCATACTACGTCATCGAGTGCCGCCGAAGTACTGTTCCAATCTCCAGCATACTTGGAAATCTACTGAGCCCGGCGTACTCCGTTTGGAGAAATATCGAGGCTGCACATGAGTAGACTCTGCGGTCTTAAAATCCCCACAATGCTTTGCGCACGGACCAATTTCCCCAAATCTGTGGCGGAAGATGTAAGGCGGGGCCTCTCATATGACGCACACTTGCTAGCCTGTTCCACTCTTCGTTTTCCGAATGCCAGGAAGTATTCTTGACTCGCTTCTGAAGCAAGATGCTCGGCAGACATGTGCTACCAAGCAAGCGTACTCGCTATTGAGAAACACCCACCATCTGTGGTATAAACTGTTTTTATGATTATATGAAATCGGGCAAAGAACTCATTTGGTGGTTGTGATTGTGAAAAGACGTCATAGCTGAAGACAGGGAAGACTTGCTATTAGGCCTCATACAGGAATAACAAAGCAAGTCTTAATCAGTCAACACCTATTGTGTAAACAGACTTGGCACGTGTCTTTTATTGTGAAAGATAACTTTTATTTAAGTGATATAAGAAAATAAATGGCAATGGCCACTCAGAGTCTGGCTGGCAGGGTAAACTGAGCATAATTATGCAAAACAGAGAGTGCAGTCATATTAAGAAAAGACACAAGAAATTGGTATAAATATATATATGCCTGTGAGAAGGGGGTATTTTGTTTTGCTTGCTGCTGCTTGAGATAGGAGATCAAAGAGGGGCTTTTCGGAGCTCTTAGAGGTCTGTTGTCTTTAAATACTAATATTATCGGGCTTTACAACTGACCTGGCCTGGTCACAAAATAGAAAGAAATGTTGTTCCCTTATATATGTGAGGAGATCATAAATGACATCAATGGAAATACATTAAATTGACCTCTTTAAGGTTTTAAAAAGACAAAGCTTGGATTGGAGGAAAACATATGAGAAGAGTGGAAATGATAAAGTGGACAGAAGAGATATGCTCCCACAGTGTGACACAACACATGTAAAAACAGCGGGATATTGCATCTCTGCTATGTGTGAATCTGACGGAGAGAGGAGCATAAAGCATCTTAAAATAGAACAAAGTTGTGATTTCTCTGTTGCGCTCCCTCTTTCTCAATCTCCTACATGTTCTATCCCTCTCCTTCTGGACTTTTGTTCATCAAACATTTGTTCACGCAAATCTAATGAATTCAGTGTTTGCAGTTCAATTCTTCAATATTGCTGTTGTCAGTGTTAATTCAGTAAGATAAATTGTTGCTCACCTTGATTTACAAGAGGGATAGAAAAACGTCTAATCCTTCTTTTCTATTTTACATTTTTGAGACAAAAAAAGACAAGTTAAATTCAGAAAATAAGAAATATAAATTAATAAGTATACATCTATATTGCTCCTTTTCTCTCTCCTTTCTCTCCTTCTTGATTCTCCTGTGTTCAGCCAGCGGATAGAGTCTTATGTGTTCCTCACAATCCACTAAATAATAGCTAGAATATGTAATGAAGCCAGTAGGGGCTTGGAGACAATAGATAATACCCCCTAATGAGGAAACTCCACCAAAGAATAAGAAGAATAGATGAAATTCCCTAAATTCCCCTAAAACACTGTCTTATTTCTCTCCATGCTCTGTCTTTAACCAGGAGTACACTTCACAGCAGCCACTGTTGGTTTTAATTGGCTCTCAATTCATTTTGCTTGGCTCATTATCTGTCACCCTCTGCATGTCTGTGGTTGAGTAATGATGACCTTCAGTTGACATATGTTAAATTTAATGTAAAATACATGTGTAATTGCTGGAAGCATTTAGACCTGCAGACCTTGAACAGTTGATATTCAGAGTGATGAGATATGACATATGATAACAGAAAATGTCCTCTGATTTAGCTGTTTAGGATTGGTACAAAAAACAGGCTGTGGTCCACAATGAACCCTTCAACATTACTATTCATGAAGCTATGAAAAAAATGCAACCTCAACTTCCGCCTACCAAAGATGTTATAATTTAGCACAGGGACTGAGGCTTACGAGCCTCTGGCAGAGCTTTCTGGAAGCGTCCACCCGGAGTTGAACTTCACACAGTCCTTACTCTGTGGTCTCCGCGGTGATGAGCAGTAGGTTTCTGAGCACATTCCAAGCCACCTGCCACCAGGCTGGCATTTTCTGTTCCAAGCACACATCAAACACATCCAAATCAGATTCCTGCCTAAACGCAGAGCAAGGACTCCACCACCTGCACTCTGCAGGTAGACATTATTATTTTGTTCATGAGCTATGTGCCAGGAACAGCTCCCTCTGGGGGTTGAGGATGATCTGAGCTGTAGAGGGAAATGAAGAGAAGGGCAAAACATAGACGAGCATAGATAGCTTCAGGTCGGTTTTCTTTTTCTAAGAGTAGATATCTTTGTTTTGACTCCAAGGTGTAAAATACTCCTAGAGTATTAGGCTGTGGCAAAGGAGGAAGCGCGACTAATCTTTATAATTAAACACGATCGATGATCTCATTTGGGGCACAGCTGAAAAACGTTATTAGACCAATGTTCCAGAATAGTTGCTTTGTACAACATTGTGTTCACTTTGATTGCTGATGTGATGGAGTAGGTTATGGTATATTACAAAGCATCCTGGGTAGCGGCTGGCGTATTGATGCTTCCTGGCTAAATGCTAACGAGCGATGGTGCTGTGTTTGTCAGGGAGGCCTGGGCTGCAATCTGTCTGCTGAGCCAGCCAGAAGCCCTAATGATATCATCAGGAAGTGCCGTCAACAGCGCTCTAATGAGGAATGATCTGACGCCCATTGTTTCACCTCCCTCCTCTGTCCCCCACGCCCCTTTCCACTGTCGTTGCTAAGCATTTATGTTGAGTTTATTTCACATACTATAGATAAAATCCAAAATGTGATAATATATACAGTACGTTTCAAACACTGAAGACCGAAGGGGTTCTTATAAAGCTGTATACCCTTAAAGACTATTATGCGGCAGTGAATTGAAATAGTGATGGAAATAAACAAATATGACAAATTATAAATAAATAAAAACATGAATAACAAGTTAAAAAAGTCTTTAAATTGCTAGTATATCAGTTCATGCGGGTACAAATATATTTTCTATCTCTCTATATGTTTACAATATATAATTTAAGATTGGAATTTCTCTTGTGTACCAATGGAATGAGCTGCTGCATTATGCACCATGCCAGTGTTCATTGAAACATGAACTATATGTCTGGATATTTTCCCATGACCCCTCTTTCTCCAACACGCACAGACTCCCTTGGTGAGTACTATGCAAAGGGCAATTTGTTAGTCTTGCTCAGTTTACAGAACCATCTCAGCACCCTTTCCTATTACCTTTCATCACACTTACATCATTACTAAGTCTTTACAGCATTTCTTTTCTGAACAGATCCCATGTCTCATATGAGTTGCATACACCAACAGAGCTACACATTTAGTGTGACTGATTCAGTCCACATTTTTATTTATTTAATTCCCCTTCTTTTTTTCTATGGATGGCTGAGGCTGGAGAGGAACACAGTTTGTCATGGCAGTCCGCATTAGCATTGCAGAGAGAAAGAGTTGTTGACAAAATGGTCCTGAGAAATTGAGAATACCTTGTATGAAGAAGATTGTCTGCAACTTCATGCCCTGTCACTGACAAATTGACTAATCTCCTTTTTCTGCTTTCTTTCTTTCTCTCTTGTTCTATCTTTCTCCCCTCCCCTCTTGTTTTTCTTGTTGTTTTTCCCAGGTGCCTTGCAGATCGAGAACAGCGAGGAGACCGACCAGGGGAAGTACGAGTGCGTGGCGTCTAATATGGAAGGCGTGCGCTACTCGGCCCCTGCCAACCTTTATGTGCGAGGTAGGGAGCAACCCGGCCCCGAATACAGGCCAAAAAATACAAAGATCCACCCATTCTTACTAACAGTGCAGCTCAGCTTTAAGGGGCATTACTGTTGAGCTTAACAAATGATAATTGCTTCCATTCTAGCCCAGCTGTATTTGCACAAAATGTATTTTGCAAATTAGCATTACCCGAGTAATATCAATCTTTTAATATTGCTACTATTGCCTGCCCACACATGTAATTTTCATATGCACTGAAACTTCCAAATGTAAAACTATAATTGACCAACTAATGTTCTTCTCTGTTATGATGTTATGCTCCATTTTGTCTTTGAATGCCCTCCCCTACTCGCTTGGAAGGAAATGTGTAGCACAACAAGCCGTATGTCTTTACCCTATCCGTTGTAACGACGCCTGTTACCTCTTAATGTGTGCTCGATCAAATGTCTCCCCCTCCGTCCAAGTTACGGTATCCAAAAAGAGTCGGAAAAGACTTCTTTTTGATTAGCTTTTTTCAGGTACAGGAGCATAACGGTAAGTCTGGATTTTGATTGTGGGGCAAGGTATTAATGGCCACCAATCAAAATCTCAACCCCCTTCTCCTCCAGATTTAGAGGAAAAAAGGATTCCCTTGTGGTGAATTAATGGAAAGGGACTCTTAACACAGTCAGCTGCTCTGTATTACAACACAACGCTCAATTGCATAGATTATAAATAGTGCTCTTCCTCGTTTTTTACTCATGGTGTTTTGGACCATAAATCCATAGTATTCCCCTGTTTCTGCTTTGGGGTATTATCTTTAAATCATTATACAGTCAGAAGTAATGTTGGCTGGCATGTTCCAGCAAAGTGAAGATATGAACAACAATCAGTCACAGGGAACGTTGAGTTTCACTGGAAACATGCAATGAAGACAAAAGCCTATCCCCTACCACTAATGCTAAATGACAATGAATCCCTGTTGAGGGAGCTCTGATAAATTGAAGCAGATGCATTTTCGACATGTTTTATTTATATTGTGCATATTAAATAAAGATGCCTCGGTATCTACTCAGTTTGTTCCCTCTGCTGTGTACTAAATAACTTTGTTCCCGATAAATAATTCACTAGCCTGACATTATAAAATGGGTCAGGGAGCTGCTTTTTCATTATTATTGCTATTATCATAACCTGTGAAGTAGCAGCATAGGGAAGACAAATTCTTTGAGCTGAGGAAGGTAAAAAATGGTTCATCAAGATGTGTGTCTCTCCTTGCCAGCATTCTTCCTTGAGGCTCATGCTGTCACCACTGTGAGGCATTGACACTTGAAGTAGCTATCCACTTTTTCACGTACAGCATAGCAGAAGTTAGGAGGTTCACGGAAAATGACAGTTAAGAGCACTACAGGAATCATTCAAAAACTATAATGGGAACTTTGTTGACACAGCAGTGGGTTATTTAGTTGTTCTTTTTGTCAAAAACACACAGCTATTCCCTGATATCATATCCAACAATTCATGCAAACTCCATGAACACTGGCTCCATCAGCATGCTTTATAAAAACTACACAACGGTCATAATTAGTCAGGTACTTCCACAGTATGTAACACACTTGTTATGCCTTGATGGTGTCAACCTTTGTCTGTTTTCAGTTAACTTTTGTCAATCAATTCTGATACTTGATGTTGACTATGTTTTGTTCACAAAGCGAAATGCACTTGAGATTAGCAGCTGTGGTAGGGATCAATTTTCAGAAACAAAATAACAATCCTAAATTGTATCTGAGGCATACTTCATCAGGGAACAATTGAGTCTTCTTCCCAAACAGAAACTATAATGCCATTTGTACTGATTGGCTCCCAACAAAATTCACTGTCACTTTCTTAAACTGCAGCTGCTAATTTCAGCCCAAACTGTGTCTTTTTTCTTTTCTATCTCTCATTAGTTTTTCTTTATTTCTTTCTTTCTTTTGTTTCCTTCTCTAACAAAGCAAATACAGCCACCACAGGAGCCCCTCCTTGTGGCTATAAAGAGCTTGTGAATTTTGAATTATGAGTATGGTACGCTTGATTTGACTCCAGTGGCGCCTCACTATTTTTTTCTTAGCAGGCGACAGTGCAGCCACTGGAGTGTATCTGATTGTTTTGGTTCAAAGTTGATTTAAGGGGGAGGGGGGCCAGGCAAGTGTACTCTCTAGATGGGTGTCACTGATAGCAGGGTCAAGGGAAAGGGAGGAAAAAAAGAGTTAAAGAAAAGGGAAATGTAGCTGCAGCTAAACACCTTGAGGTGGCTTTTTTTACTCTCTCTGTGTTTCCCCTATTTTTCTCTTCTCCTCATGTCATTGTGTTCTGCATCAACCCCTTTACATCCCTCAGAGCTTCGAGAAGGTTGGTGTGTTTTTTCTTTTTTACTTTTTTTAACCCACATTTGAAAAAAAAAAAATCAACATGTTGAACATTTTTAGCTGTATTTGCCTATTGCAGAGCTCGATTCATTACTAATTTGAAGAAATACTAATCAGTTTATCCAAACTGCTAAATGATTATGAAAGAAATGTATCTTAATTTCGAGGAAGAAATGATGAAAGCAAACCTGATTAGCTCGGGTCTTGTTAAATTACCTTTATGTTTGCATTGTGGGGCCTTTTCTCGTTTTGCATCCTTTGGTATTGCTTCTGCACCTAAAGGCTTTCTTGCACGTGTTGTCATGGACACCCAGCACGTGGAAATAACAGAACTTGTTGCATGATGGGAGAATGTAACTGCGCTCGCATGCCTGTACAAAATCCCTTTGGCCGTGTTGGTCTTTTTCTTTCTGCATTCCTTGTGTGGTTTGTTCAATTGATTTCTTCTCTTCCCTTGGTTTCTCAACAAGTGTTTTCCCTGATACAACCTGATATTTTGGCTTTCCTTTATTTAGTATTTTTTTGTGTTGTGATTACCGTGTTGTGTTTGAGTTTTCCTTTGTTTCAGTTATTTTCCTGATCTTACTTTTCTGTTACAAAGTGTTTGTCTTTTTGTAGTTAATTTGTATGTGAGAGTTGTGTTTCTTTTTCACAATGATGCTGCTCTGCTTCTTGATTCTCGGAGTGCAAATGCCGAATGAAATAATAAGTGTGTATACAGCCAGTCTTCCTGCCTTTTTGTTTATAGCAATCATTGCTGAAAAAATTAGACCTGATTGGGCCTGATTGGGTTCCATGGTGACTCCAGGCAGCCATTAAGGGATGCCATTTACAGTGTCGCGTGGATCAATAACAATATAATGACTTCGACATCACGTTCGTTGTTGCTTAGCTGGTGCTCAGAGATTTTTTTATTTTTAAATAGCTGTAGCTAGATGTGATTGGTTTCGTATAGTGACTGCTGTTTGGGATCCCTTGCAGTAATGACACTCAATCATATTATAATGTATTATGTGAGACCCCTCCTTCTCTTAAACATACACACTCTGAATAAAATAGATGTGTAGGTTAACAAGACAAAAGCAATGGCGATCCTCTAACTGGACTTAAAGGATACACACTCATGTGATCTGTTATGCATTTATACTGTAGTCATACAACAAACATGAGGAGAAAGTAATGCATGACTCTGAGTTCAATGCAAGCAGCTTTCTGATTATTTATATTGCAGTTGGCTTTGACCATCTCTTAAGGAGTTGTACCTACTGTACAGTAAATGTCAGCACCAACATGGACACCAGGCCTATCCAACTGAATCATATCTATACTGAATATCATGTCACCACCTGCAGTTCTTGCCGGTAAATATTATGGCTCCAGTATTCTTATGAATACTTCAGATTGATATTTTTTTAAAGGAGCCATTGTTTTTGGCTATTATACACATGGCTCAACAACACTGCACATATTAGGCATATCATACATTTAGGTAGATAGATTAGACAGTTTCATCCCTATAATTCTCCTCTAAGAGTGGGAGTCTTTTTATCAGTGCCTCATTTGATCAGTCTTATTTGATTTCTGTATCTGATATCTGATAGCTTTATTGGTAATGACTACTGTCCCAATGCCAAAAACAACAACAGTTCCCATAGTTCCTGAGCCATTTTGCTTTGTAAGAGTTAGTCACACTAACCAAAATGAGATCCCATGATAGATGTATTTCACTTGCTCCAGCCACGTCATTCATCTATAAAGAGAGTCATTAGACAAATATATATAATCATCCCTTCTAAAATAGCAGTTATCTCAGACAAAAAAGCGGGTTTCAATTCCAACCCCTGTAAGCACCAATTGGTTATCCAAAGATTTTCTATCAGTAAGTGTAGCAGTTGAGTCTGTAAAGAAACGCTAATCAATAATCTGTCATTCCGGCCCTCTACATAATAATGTCCACAAAACACGGCACAATCCCATTGTAGGATACTGAGAATAATGAACGCCTGAAAATGTCTATATTTAAATGATAAATTATAAGAATAACACTGATGCAGAAAGACTGTGCTGTGACGTACGCATGTGCATGTTTGCCCTCCTTCAATGGTATCTGCCTGACTTTGAATGTGCTTGCATGTCCTGCTCTGCATTTGTGTGTAACGTTGGGAAAGAAAGCTAGATTACACCTTATGTTCTCACTGGCCAAAGCAAAATCCTGCCATCTCTATTAGATGTTTGTCTCAAGGAGTCCTGAAGTTATTAGTCACCTTCAAAGCGTTTCTCGTTGCTATCAGAAGTGCATTTAGTTTTCATCCAAAACAAAGGTTTCCTCACCTGTTTTATAATACAAATATGAATACACTCCCTTTCTCAATCTGACTTATAATAATCACTGAAGGGATCACTACAGTGAGTAGACATGGCATACATGTAAGACAATAGAAAATGTTATACACTCTAAAATCCCCTAAATCCGCTGATTAGCTACCCCTGCCAAGATTCCCAACCATTTCCCTTAGGTAATAATTTCCATTTTGATGAGCCACGGATAGTGACTTTTTAACATTGGCGCAGCCGAGGTATGTTAATGCAGGCCGACCCCCTGCGGCTTATATGTAAATGCTGCGGGCCTCACCCAGCAAGTGTGACTAAAGGATCTCCATACTGCGCCTGTATCCTCAGGCAGCAAGAGGGTGTAATCTCAGCTTCAAGGTGACACTAAAGGCTGCACATTATTTTGGCTTCCCCCTTCATTTTGGGGCAGCAAAAACTGCCTCACCAAAATGGCCGATAATGTCCACCTTCTGACCTCTGTTTTTTGGCACAAATCCCTCCACAACACCGCCCACTATAAGAGTTAGTGCAGTACTCTGGCGTTCTCTCTCGACTGCTTTTCACCTCGTCCAATGTAAGGCTTCTTGTCTTTTTCTCCACATTGGGGCTTGAAACAAGATTTTAAGTAGTCCAAATGAAAGGTATATGTTTGTTTTACTATCTCTCCATTCCAAATGGTCCGGCTGGGCTCCTGGTCTCTATGAAATAGGAGCCTGTCTATGCAATTGGGATTCTTTATTTTCTTTGTTTCACTTGCTTTCCATGTCAAGGGTAGGATAGCAGAGGTGCCACTCGCACACATACACACAGGTTTAGTTAGCTAACATTACCATTGACATGTGCGTTACCTACGGGCCTACATAATCATAGTTTAATTACTCATTGCATGTGATACTGACATTTATACACAGATGAGGTTGTTCTCCTAGTTTCTACAGGGTTTTAACATTGATTGTTGTCTCTTCCAAAATAGAGCTTAATTTACTGTAGCATCAACTGACCTTGAGCTCTTGATCTTCTGTTGTAACCAGACCATATGTATTTGTGTCAGACACACTTTGCATGCTGTTGAAAGGTGGATTCCCCCCAATTCTCCATAATCTGCGAGTACCCCAGTGCCATGAAAACATTAAGAACGTTTTTTTGTTGTGATCCTTAGGCAGTCATTTTGCAGGAGGTTAGTGTTAGTCCCCTCTTTGCCCTGACAGTGTAGTGAGTAGTAAACCCCTTTCACTCAGTTGCTTCAGCTTGTAGGTAACTGGCTGACCTGAGCTCATGGGAGAGAAGTGCACTATAAGACACCCTTTTTTGGACATTTCCCCTTAAAAAAAAAAGCACATGTCTGCCCTATTTAGTTCCACCATTCTTTTGGATTGGAACCACATTTCAAGCAGAGACAAGTCATAGCGAAAAACATCTAATAGTATTGATGCATAACTTTTTGTCCAACACAGCTGCACTCAGCACGCTGTAATGTCTATGCTTGAACTTAGTTATTTTTTCGTCGACTTGTTCGGTTTGATTTACTCCCTTTTATTTGAATGTATTGTGTGTGTCTGGAACAATGCTACATTTGGGAATGAATGGCATGCTTGGATGGGCTTGGGTGACTTTTTTTTTTATTGTATTGGTTCTGCCTAAGTAGACCTGTATATGTCACTCATGCCATAGCCACACCCATGCATGTCTGTCTGAGGAATGGGCTGCCTTTTCACCTTTGTTGTTAAGTAAGGCATCTTTTTGGACACATTACAACACAGTGATAATATTTTTTGTCCTTTTTTGTCCTTTTTTCCACTTCAACATGTTTTGGAATAACTCCAATTTAGACCTCCTATTTATATAATCATACTTGTCATGAAGACACAAAGCATAATATCTTAACCAAAAGGTAATGCAACCCATTGTTTAATTGTATTACTTTTATAGTCAGATCAGGGAAGAACAGGTCAGATTCTTAGTTACTATTTCAATGGATCTTTTGTAGCCGTGTTTTGATTCTAATTTATGGAAATTTGACATTTTTCAAGGACAGAATACTCAACCATTCAACCATTGGTTCTTGGTACATTTTTTGCCAAATCAGTGTGGGAGTTTGTGTACCACAAAAGAGCATTTTCTCAAAGGTCAACGATGAAGTTTTTGCTCTCTAGCTTAGGTCATGTCTTGCCCAAGGTAGAAACATAATTGACATTATCAGTGAATTACAGGACTTGGATAATGAATGTAAAGTACTAGAGAGAAGGACACATCAAAAGCCTAACAGTGGCTGCAGAAGGTCTCCATCCATTTTTGATTCTCTTTTAACTATAACTTTTAATGTTTACTATGGATATGGCTGATACAATCCAGCAACAGTAGATACATTTTGACCATTTGGATATTGCACATAATGCTAGCTTGCATTAGATTACTAACCTATTTCATGCTATATACATTTGAGTGATTGTTTTCCTCGGTGCTCAGGTCAGAAAATGGCAGTTCTCTGGTTAATATCCCCGTAGAGTGTTTGTCGGTGATAAGTGTCCCATGCAACGATCATATGAATCCCATTTGGATCGACACGGTATATTTTGGAATGCTACCTATCCTACCTCTCAGTCTCCCCCCCGAATCTCCCCCTTAATCCCCACACACACCTCACATCCCCCACCCAAAAACTTCCCAAGTGACATTTGCATTGAGGTGCAATGTTTAAGGTGGGATGGAGGGGAGGTGTACTTTATTCTTGATTTTAAGCCCCAGTGTGTGAGACCTCAAAAACCCACTTTGAGCCATGGTCTATTGTTTTGTTTTGATTTGTTTTTAAAATCACAGTCTCCCTTTTCTATCCTTCACTTATGCCCTCTTCCTCCTTCCCTTTCTAAGACAATCAAACCCCTTCCCCTTTGCGTACTGTACAGTATGTCTGCGTGCCCATACGTCACTGTCTGTCTGCCCGTCTCCCTCTGTCTTCTTGTCTGCTGTCTTGCTGCTTGAGTCTGTTTTGTTCTGCCTCGTGTCCTGTCTCTCGTGTCCTGTCTTTCCTGTCTTGTCTATCTGTCTGTCTCTTAGTCAGCTCTTCCATTTAGTTGATCATTTGTTACTCCTACATTGGCACTACATTGCTTCTCTCTCTTTGATCTACTGCATCCCAACAAACATTTTGACATTAAATAGATGTAGATACTTTGGTTTTAGTGTGTGTTAGTCCATAGTTGTTGTCTGTATCTTTTTTGGTTGAATTTATAACTCAAATGTTTATTAAGTTGTTTTTTTTGTCCATATTGGCTTAATATATATATTTTTTTATTGTACCAAAAAAGATTTCCCCTTAAAACAAAGCTTTACCTAACTCTCATGCATGTTTGAATCTCCTTTGATTATACATGTCAAGTCTCTTGCATTAGACTGATTAGCTAAATGGGCAATTATCCAACACATTGTGGCGCTTAGGCAAAGCAAACAATAAGATTGCTCAGTCAGTGTTGAACATGGCCACCTATTGCATGATATATTTGTCAAGTGCTTGCTGGGATGCCTCTCATGAACACTGTGTTTTTGCTAACTCATACTCTTTCACTTTCTAACTCTTGCATACTGTACACACGCACTCATGCCTCAACGCAGAAAATATATACATCTATGTATATACACATATACACACATTTAATGACACAGTACCTTTCACGCCCTTCCAATGTGTCTCAGACTCATTTTCAACCTCCTCCACTCAACTCCTATTCATGAGTTTTGAGGTCCTCCCTGTCCCTCTCTTAGCTGCCATTCTGCCCTAATACATTTACCTTTCTATTTCCCTTTCCCTCGAACTCTCTTTCTTGTCCTCTGGATTTCTACACCCTGTTGATCCAGTTCTGTTTCTTGACTCCAACACTCTGTGATTGTAGATTCTCTAGCTACAACTACCAGTTCTTTTCTATGTATTTCTAGGCACATACCTTGTTCCGCAATACGTATTTTGTGTTAACTGGGACTGCGATGTGACAATGTGCCACCATCACATTTTGTCACATTTGCTGAAGAAAAACAAAGTTTACACAGCATTGAAGTGGGTTACCCACCCTTCACCCTCCTCCAAACCTTCCCCTCTCTTTTTTCTTCCTCTGACACTCTTTGTTCCTCTCCTCTCCTCAGAAACCTTATCCTCTGTCTTGTATTTCTTCTTTCCTCTCCAATCGTCTTTTGTCTGGGCATGCTAGCGACCCTTCAGTTATATACCTCTATGCATTTTACCTCAATTTTTATATCTGATTTTGTTATCATTTACTTCTTAATTTACCTCGGTCTATTTATGCATGCTGTCTGTGAAACTGATAGCTGCATCTATCAATGGAACCGTGTCAGATCTTAATAAGGCTTTGTCCAGTGGATCTACCCTAAACCACAAAAATCTGATTAAAGTTTCTCATCTTTAAGATATCTAGGTAGAAAGACAGGTGTCAAGTGCAAACTTATGCTGGAATGTGTTTAGAGGTCTTGAAGAGATGGTCAGAGCCCAGTAACCCTACACTTCCTGTGCTACGGGAGAAGCCTGTGATGGCCTATATCCTGTTTGGCATGTGTGCCTGAGAGGACAGGAAGTTCCAGGTTGCCATGGTGGCTTTATGTGATAGCATTATCACATGGCCTTTACTACACACCTTCATACTTCGTGATCAGGTTATGCTGTAGTTGTATGTATTAGCAGTTCAGTTTCAAAGATGAGAAACTCATAATAGATTTTTGTGACTTTAATTGTGCTGTGATGGGTCAAATATTGGTCAATGGAACCTTGTTGCTATGAATCGTTGCTTTATTGTTAATCTACTTTGTTGTTGAAGCAGTTCTGTTAGTTTAGTTCTTTCTCATTTGTATATTATTTATGTTTTGAAAAGTCTACTTCTTTTATTTTGTGTTTCAGTTCACATGTACCATGTTGAACCTTTTGTGTTAAATATTTCCTTGAGAAGGGTCCATTTTCAACGGCCTCTCTTGTTACCTCTCTCTTTTTTTTGACTCCCTTGCCCTTTTTTGTCATCCTCTCCCCTTCCTCATGCCTTCTCCCAGTCCGGCGGGTTCCTCCTCGCTTCTCCATTCCACCAACGAGTCAGGAAATTATGCCAGGTGGCAGTGTGAACATAACATGTGTGGCGGTAGGGTCGCCCATGCCTTACGTCAAGTGGATGCTGAACACAGAGGATTTGACACCGGAGGACGAGATGCCAGTGGGCAGGAATGTTCTCGAACTGAGCAGCGTCCGTGAGTCAGCCAACTACACCTGCGTGGCTATGAGCAGCCTCGGCATCATTGAAGCTGTGGCGCAGATCACTGTCAAATGTAAGAGAAAACTGTGCTTGTAAAGAGTTGTATAAACAAATATTATCTGCATTTAAGTCTTAAATAATGTACAGAAAAGTTCAGTTACAATGTGAACACTAGAAAAACAAATGGGACAAGAGTGTGTTTTATTAGATGCATTCTGGTGTCCATCTGCAGCCTGTTTGTAGTCCAAGTATTATTGACTCATCACATTTGAGTGGACTTGGTTGTTGCATTTAAACAATCTGTGTGAAGAGAAGTTTTTTTATACGCATATTCAGATATATGTTTATAGAGATTAGCCATAGAGGTTATAGAGGTTGTTTCCTCCAACGGCATTCCCGCAACTCAAGTTAACCTTTGAACTGTTAACGTTGTGGTTGTCTTGAAATGTGCTGGCTTCATCGGAATCCCCTAAAATATTTGGCCATTGCCCCCAGAGGCTAAATAGTGTCAGTACAATAGCCGACTGTATCAAGATTGAAACATGTATTGGTGTTATACAATTTGAACATTCTGAAGGAAATAGCCAGTTTTCAGTTTTTGCTACAAAGTTCTTTGATCAGTTAATATCTTGAAAAATGACTGTTTTCTCTTCCCATCGTGTTTTGTCACCATAACAGCTCTTCCCAAGCCTCCAGGTACCCCCGTGGTTACTGAAACCACTGCCACCAGTGTGACCATCACCTGGGACTCAGGCAACCCAGACCCAGTGACTTACTATATCATCCAGTATAGGGCCAAGTCCCCAGACAGCAAGTATGAGACTGTGGACGACATCACCACTACACGTTACAGCATTGGTGGCCTCTATCCCAACACAGAGTATGAAATCCGTGTCTCGGCTGTCAACACAATCGGCCAGGGTCCTCCCAGTGAGCCAGTAGAAACTCGGACTGGCGAACAGGCCCCTGCCAGTCCCCCACGGAACATCCAGGCACAGATTATATCCCAAAACACCATGATGGTTCGCTGGGAAGAGCCTGAGGAGCCCAATGGGCAGATCAAGGGCTATCGCGTTTATTACACAATGGACGACTCCCAACCCATGAGCCTTTGGCAGATCCACAATGTCCAGGACAGCGTTCTCACCACTATCCAGAGTCTGGTTCCTCAAGAGACATACACAATAAAAGTCCTAGCATTCACTTCTGTAGGAGACGGACCCTTCTCGGAGCCCATCCATGTCAAAGTACTGCAAGGAGGTAAGAATAGGGAAACTGATTTTGAGTTTAAACTTGGCAAAGTCTTTTTACTTTCATTGCTGTCTGTGAATTTCATACTTGGCAATATTGCATACAATAGTCACCTGTAAGATGTACAAAAAAGTTAAGTAGGTTTGAAATGAGTTAAACAGAAACTAGTGAAAGCTGCATTTGTTCTCCAGCCTTCTGCTGGAGGAGAAGAGTTTGACAGCCAATGAAGAACATCTTCAGCTGTTTTTGTGCATCAGCAGCACAGTTTCTGAAACTTTAAACGGAACGTGCCTGCTGCCAGAGAGACAAGTTTTCACCCCTGCTGTGCAAGGTTCACCCACACATCTGCGGCCTCTGCAAATGATGACAAAAGTATGTTTGATCATGGCAGTCTGAAAGAAAACAGCCGCATTTCAGAAATGAGAACAAATCTGAGAACTCACCAGGAGCAGTTTCTGAGCTGAGCAAAATCACTCCATCCATGCTAGGGCAGGGAGGCACGTCCATTTCAGAGACTCCACCATAAGCAGATTGCGACTGGGGAACACATTATTGTACTCATTTATAATCTTTTTTTCTCAATCTAAACTTCCTCCATTGTATACCAAATATCATGATATTCATTGTGGTAGTGTGTAGAAATCTATGAACAGGAAAAAGTACTTAATTTTACACATTCTTAACACCCTATTTTTAATGGTAGTTTGGCTGTATCAAAGTGTACAGTATAATTCATTCCTATCTCTTTACAAATGTCTAGTAATACATCCTTCAACGTCCTGCTATGTTCTTCAGTTCCAGGTCAACCATCCAAATTTCAGGTTGGTGCTGTGTCCGATACCAGCATTGAACTAACCTGGGAAGCAGCCTATGAGAAAGAAGGAATTGTAAACTATGAACTTCGCTACAGGGAAGGCCGCTTTGGGACCCAGGTAAGAATGAAATTGTCTTTTCTTTTTTCAATACTTTTCGCACTGACAGATGTACATCATCCTTTCATGATCTAACATTGTCAATAACATCGCTCTCGCTCAATAGATGAAGAAAACATTTGGGCCCGCATCTTCATATGTTGTGGGAAATCTCCGCCCAAACACTGAGTACCACTTCTCCATGGCAGCCATCTCTAACAAAGGCATTGGAGCCTTCACCAATGAAATAACACAGAAGACCTTGCAAGCCAGTATGTAGCCCTTTATTTGGTTTTCTCTCATCTTCTCTGTGGGTTGGCTAACAAGCATTTTCTCCAGGAAAGCAGTAAAATGATTTTATGCCTTGTTTGAAGTGAATTCTAATGAGGTTATGTGCGCATTTTCTTTTACTAGAGATTGTCAATGGTATTTCCTGTGATGTCAACGGCACCATCCCCTTTGAACTATGACTGTGTTATCTTGGACATGATCAGGGTTCAAAGCTGATTCAGATATTGAACTACATAACAAGCTGACTTAACTAATGTGTCATTGACTTCATTCTAAAACATGCATCTTGATTATGTTAACCTCAGTGTAACAATATTAGTATGATAACTTATGTAGACCAACATTTACGTTTTTTGGTGATTTAAGGTTAAAATTAGGCTACAAATGGCTAAAGTTAGTTTTTTACAACCTTTTCATTTTAGAATTACCTTATTTTATAAGGTGACTCTAGTGCCAACAATGCATGAGTGTAAATGAATTATGCGTACACTTACAATTGTGGCCGTTTATTTTTACCCCTTTCACATTTATTCATATTTGCTTTTCCTTTGTCAACAGCAAGTGCACTTTCTTCCGTGTGACAGAGACACAAAAAATGTCAGCTCTCCTCTGTGACCGCCAAGGCTCTCATATGAACTGTATTCAAATTGGAGATGGGGAATTTGCTGTTGAGTTTACTCATTAAAGAAAAACACAATCAGCAGTCACCAAAATACTTGCATGCCAACTTCCTGAATGTATTCCAGTATATCAGTTCTGCCCTGATTATTTTATTTTACAGAAGGCAGGAACACAACTGAATTATTTAAAACCACCCTGCTAAAAATAACATTAGTGATATAATAACTTGCAGTAGTGCACGCTGTGGGGAAAGAAAATACACACAGCTTATCCAATCAAATATCCAATAGTAGCCAAGGAACTGTAGGGATGACAGGGTATGAAATTCATGTCTTTTGGGTTTACACAGCACACAAAGATTAACAATGACATTGTGTATTGACATTTAATGCATTAATGGTACAGAGCCGTGAAAATGCAGCCAGGTTTAGGGGATTAGTTGCTGCACTGAGGTTGATATTGTGGATCCTGCAGATACAGAATATATAAAGGCAGGGATAAAGATAAATGCATAGATTCATTGTGGGAGTGGCTGTCTTTACCGTAAATAAATTGGCAAGGACCTTTACTGGGACATAGGAGAGCCATGGCGGTGGGAGTAGACCTCTTTTAACACATTTTCTGTTTCTACCAGTGCAACTTGTTGGATGTACCCCCACATCCGGCTGTGGGGGCTTTGGAACAACCACTTCACAGTTCTTTTTGGTACTGCTGGGCAGCAGGGCTACACAGTGCAGAGTCACTGAGGAGAGCGCCAGTTGCATGTGACATTCACTCCTGCCCACTGGGGTAGCTGTTGAGAAACTATCACTGCACTGTGGATCTTTGATCATTCCAAGCATGAGAATAATTTTCTGTTCATTCAGTACCATTCCTGTCTCTCGAGTGTGTGTGCACATCTTCACCTGTCGATGTGTGTTTGTGATTTCCTTACCTCCTTGCATTTGTTCTTGACTGGTAAACCACAAGCTAATTGGATTGGATACACTCCTCTCTTCCTCTCACATCACACTCTTCCAGCTGTGTTTCTCTATTTGCCACCTGTTCCCCTGTACAATGGAACAAAAGCTCTCCTTGGAATGGCTTGACATCTCCTTTCTCACTTTGTGTCCTCCTCCTTTTATGTTGAGTCTTTTGAAAAATAATATTTGGGTTGGATTTTTTTTTTTTTATTATTACTTTCGGGGTTATTCAAAAATAATAGCGGTTTGACATCATTCCAAACTGTAGCTTGCTGCTATTTTCATGCCCGAGTCGGGTTCTTGCATGAACCCAAGTCCACGACAGACACAGGCAACTACACTGAAGGCAGAGCAGACAAAACTATACCTTTGCCCATTCAACAAAGAAGTCAAACTGATGGCTTTTTTCAAGTCTCGAGACAAGGGGCTCCTCCGTCAAAATATATCACAAGTTTCTTTTGCAAATGGGATACACATCCATTGGTTTGTCATTGCTGAGGTCAGAAAAGTCCCATACAAAGTAAGACGAAGTAAAATATTTCCCACAACACAAAAAATAACTTGATCTGTTGGATCCGTTGAGGTAAGTGATTGCGTGGTTAAGGGATTCAGTCTGCCATAACCTTAAAGACCTTTACATATTAATTAATCCAACTGTTGGTTTTTTTCTGAAACACTAACAGAAAATTGAATGCATAGAGTAAGCATTCCTAATGACACGGTTAAATATTAAACTGACGTGTCTGCTGTTTGGCTTGTCTTACAGGTCAGGAATAGCAGCATGTTTATTTATCCAAGTCAATAAAGATATTGTGACATATATAGCTTAAATGGAGTGTCTACAGTGCAGTAAAACAGTTTAAACTGTCAGCCTTTTGGAAAGACACCAGAAGAAAGTCACGTTATTTATGTAATAAAAAGGAGCCTGTAGGCCACACATGGACACACAAGTTAACAAACACAATGTCCTTAGGTCAAAAAATAAACTGTAGTGTCTGGGGTACCATAGGCCCATAGAATACACCAACAAAAGTCAAACACACAGCATTAAATAAAAATGATTATTTAATCAAATCAGACAACAGAGAAATGACTGTACACAATTTGACATTGTTTTATTGGCTTTTTGCTTTGTTGGGGCCATTTTCTCCTTGCAGCCTTCCAGAACCTTTTTAAGCTGAATTTGAACCCAATGCTTATCAAGCAGACTGAAACCCTTTTCCACTAAGTAAAAAGTAAGCCAGACAACATGATGTGCTTTATGTTTGCTTTATTGTCCATTGTTTGTGGTACAAAATGTGCGCAGTTTGTTGAAGTGCTCAGTCCAAGCAGCATTACCAGGGGCTTTTGTCATGGGGACTACTCTGTCACAAACTCGTAAAAAGTTACTGCCATAAAAAAAATCATTTTCATGCTTATTTACTCCAACGTGCAAGTATCTTCTCAAATTAAAGATCTCCACAACTATTCTATTGGTCTTTCAATCGATAATCCAGCAGGCTGAAACCAATTCACGAGTTTTTTACTGGCAACAGTAGCCCTCATTCAGAAGCAAGGCCTCTTTTGGTATGCTGCCATAATAAGACCAGGTTGAGAAAACACATTTGTGAGACTGTTCAGACGTGGCCGGAGTGTGTCCACAACCCGAGAGCTGGGAGGGCTCCCCCCATTCTTCGAGCTGTAACCCAGTCGCAAGCCATATAGGACCTAAGATGGACCCTGGGAGTGGGTGTTAGGGGACTGCACGGCCCTAGAGTGTCAGATAAGAATCCCATTTCATAGCATCAGAATTAATTTCATGCTTTGCGATGAGCTATGAGCCAGGCCCCTGGATTGTCAGGCTTTGTTACACATTTAGATTATACCTAGAACCTGCCAGTAGCCCGTCATCTATCTCTCAAATTAAAGTGGCAGATTCTTAATCCTCTGTATTTAGCCAAACAAGCAGTTTAGCCCGCCCACTTACTGTAATTGCGGGTGGTTTTTAGAAATATTGGAATATTTGTGTGAGCCACAGCATGGCCATTTGGCATCGGGGGGATTAATTCCATAATGATCTATGAACATCCTGTCATCCAAGGCTTCTAATGAAAAAACTATTCAAATGCACACATGTGCTTATACTATGATAGCAAAAAGCATTGGCATACTGCGTCATTTAAGATTTAGTGTGTTTGTTATTCATACCCACTAAGTATGTTGCATTTTCTTATCTAAGGATGTCATAATGATTAGGTAGGACACCATTACTAGACATTACAGATTGTATATCAAGAGCTCTTAGTCATATCACAACAGACCAACATCAAAGTGAAGAAAATGAATGCAGACATGATTTATTATTCGTCAAATAGCATTTGGGAAACTCTTTCTGGGAAGCTTCAAAAGAACCTCAAGTGAGTTTCTTCTTTTGTGGTTGTATAGTTCTTCTATCCATAATCCCAACACTGGCCTTCATGGGATATGCACTTTATTAAAGCTTTGCCTCAGCTAGTCTTAAACCCTTATCAGGCATGAGGATGCCTGTGCACTGTGATAGCCTGGCCCCTGTAAGATTCTCAGCCTTTTTCGCACCACAAAGATTGAGAACTGAGCAATCATTCTTGACGTGGAGAGTTTGCAAATACAATATGAGCGGAGGAAAGAAGCTGAAAGGCTCAGAATCCAGTAAGACCGTAAGTAAATAAGCCCATTGGACACAGAGAAGGGTTTGGGAACTTTGGCTGAGGTCCTGCCCTATTTGTTGTGTGCTGGAACATGCCGTCCTCACTGGGAGGAGTCTTTTATGATAGTCAGATCCCTTGTTTGTTATTTTCATTTTGTTGCTCTCTTACCTAAAATTACACTGCAGTCAAAGCACTGTAGTTAAACTTTTATGAAGTCAGAAATACACGCTTACCATCTTTCTTTCTCTATTCTTGTGTGTTAGCATTCTCTAAATGACAGTACGATTTATGAAAATACATAGGCAGCAGGCTATGAAATGGGATTTATTTAAACACATTTTTAACATGGAAGGTTGTCAGTGTACAAAGTGCAGAAGAAAAGAATATCTTGGGAGTGAGTTTTCCCATTATGGCTTCCCTTCTCACAGTCTTGTGGACGCTCCGGCCCAAAGATACATGAGTATTAAACAGCCCTCGCTACAGCACAGAGCCAGCTCTCTCCCTCTCAATAACCCCCAAATGTGTCCAAAACAACCTCTAAATGAGACAAAATTAAAGGTATTATTGATTGATTTAAAACTGGGATGATTTTCAACATTTCTGGCTTGAGAGGGAGAGTGTTGCTGTTCACTGGCTATAGAGTAAGCACGCTCTGTAGTCAGGTGCTGGTGGTAAGAAAGTCTTAAAAATGTAGTATTTGTGGGAGTCAGGTACGTATAATGCAAACAATGCCTGTAATTTATTTTTGTTTGTTGGTGGTTGTTTGTTTTTTTAAGTATAATGTTATTATTTTTAGTTTTTGCTGAGTATCTTGTTTTTTCATGTTTTTTTCATGAGTTGTCATTTTGAACCTTAACTGTTGTTGTGGTTCTTTCTTTCGAGTCACCTGGGTTACAGAGAAATTCATTTCCCAGTACCCTCCTTTAGTTCATAATTTATTTCTTTAGCTTTTCTTTTGGAATGACAATATGCTGCTTGTTTCCATGGGTTTTATTTTATTTCTGTTGCTATGTGTGGAATGCTTTTTTCTGATGGTACTTCATTGTGTTTTTGTTTACTGTGCTATTTTTACCTTGCATAACAGAGAAAAAATGTAATAATGAACTGGGGTTGTCACACCAAGATGGAGGGAATATTTTCTCACACAAAAATTAGGAGGATAAAGGAAACCCGACTTGGATAGAAATATTCTCATACATGTCCTTTTATCCGTATAATACCAAACTCTGGATGAGAAGTGAAACATGTTATCGCTCCCTGCACAGCACACTGTGGTCGAGCACAAGCTGTGTAAGAGCTTGGCACAGATTAGAAGTGAGAGGCATTGAATTTGATTTAGAAAGTTCACAGATGTGTAAGTTTTAATATTTTCTGGAAGAACACTTCAGACACAAGTAAAAGAGTGTTTTTAAACTGTAAGAAATTAAAAAGAACACTACCTCCCTGCTAGCTTATAACAATACATAGGACCATATTGTTTTAGTTAATGCCAATTTGTTCTAACTTCTGCTACAAAAAATGCTTTTAAATGGATTGCTCAATCATGCTCATTTAAAGAAAGATGGACAAGACAATGGCAATGATAAATTGAACTAACAATGCACATTAACACCAAACACATTTTTGAAAATATTCACTTATTTGTGTCCTGGCTTTATGACAGTATGTCATTTATCCTCATGTGGACAATCAAGTGGCTTAGTGGTTGCAATAATTACAGAGACCCTGAGGGAGGAAATTAGTTTATATATTTTAGTTTTAGTAAGGATTAAGCTAAGCGTGAATAAAATACACACCAGTTCATCTGGAACTGAACTGGGAAACACCAGGCATATTGAGTAAAGGCTTTAACAAGGATAGCAAGACAATATTCTTCTCCTGTATTGTTAAACAAAGGAGAAAGACACGTGGGTTCTGTTGTAAGTAGGGCTTCAGATCACAATGTTGTTGAGAACTTATTTTTCTTGAATAATTATTACATTGCTATGTTGTGATAGTAAAACAACACTGCTTGAGCAAACAATAAATACCATGAAGCTTTTGTTTACTGCACTAGTCCCTAGTTATTTCAAAAGGGTAGCCATCTTGTTTCATTATTACAAAATCATGTGCCATTGTCCATATAAGCCTCTTTTGTTGACATTTGCTTGATGATTTTTATTTATTTTTAAAACATAGTTTGCCTCAGCCTTTGTTTTTTGCAATTTTTTGGTTTGAATTAGTCTTGTTGTTTTTTCTTTATCCTTTTATCATTTTCTTTATCTCTCCCATCTTTTTATTTTTTTGTTTTTCACCCCTTCCTTCCTCCTTTCCCCGTCCTCCTCGTCCTCGACCCTCTTCCTTCCTGTCCTTTCCACCTCACCAGAGCCCTCAGCCCCCCCTCAAGAAATTAAGTGCAGCAGCACCAGCTCCACCACCCTGCTGGTAAGTTGGCGCCCCCCGCCTTTGAAGAGTCAGAACGGTGACCTGACGAGGTATAGGGTGCGCTACCAGGTGGTGGGCACGTCAGAAGGTGGCAGTGAGGATGGGGAGCCCCTGGAGGAGCCCACAGTCCCTGCCACGGACGAGCAGGTGCTGCTGCAGCGATTGGAGAAGTGGACCCAGTACCGCATCACTGTGTCTGCCTTCACTGAGATCGGCCCAGGCCCTGAGAGCGAGCCCCTGATCTGCCGCACAGACGAAGACGGTACATACATCTCTGATATTTAGAGGCTAATGTAGTAATGAAAGTTTTGTTTTTTAGTTAAATTGTGATCTAACCCTTGGAGTTGGATGTTTATTTGTATGTGTAGAAAGGAATTGCTGCAACATGTTTGAAGTACATGTTCATCTTACAGGCGTACATTAGAAAGCAACGATTTCTATGACACCCATATACTTATAATTACCCTATTTTCTTGCATGGATCATGATGTCATTTCCATGTTAGTGTATTATATAATAATATTTTTACAATGCATAATTATCTCTTTAATAATATATTTATCACTTCATTAGTCATTTAGATAAACTTTTCCCTTGAGCTAAAGTACAGATTTATTCAAGCATTGTGTGTCATGTTCTTGCATAGACCTAATGTTATTGTTTCACTTATATAGCATTATGAATATATAGGTTTGCTTATAACTATAAATATACAGTCCTATAAGCAGATTGTATGCATTCTACGTAATGCATTACAAACATGGGCGCCATAGAAAGATTATTTCATAGAATGGTTACAAAAGCATACTGAAATCCTTGTTTACAAGTAAAAGGACCACATATAGCTGTGTAAACCAAACCCTATAAAAGGAAAATATTACACACTGAACAGATTACACACTTGGGAAATCAAGTGTTTTGCTATTAAAACATATCAAACCAAATGCAATTCATAATAGCTACCACATCCTATATCCTGCCTCTATCTGTAGGCTTTTAACTGTATCCTATTGCTCAGCTGAGAGTCATAAGCATTTATGAGTGCAGTACACTGCAAGGCCAAATCGAACTTTGCATTTACACTAGCAACAGTAGGTTGGAGATTAAACCAGCAGGTGTGTGCCAAAGGTTGCAAATCAGATCCACTTACTTGAATATGTGCTTCAGGATGCTAACAATAAATAAATAGAAAGGACAGATAAATGCATTTGATATACACCTTGCTCTACATGTGCAACAACTCTGTACCACAAACTGCTTTAAAAACACACAAAAGCCGAGATAAGTGTAAAAGAAAATCTCAAGCTCTAAAGAACCACAAAATTGTGAAATAGCAGAAAATAAATGACAAAAAGGAAAAGCAGTTGAGTAATAAAACACGTTAACTGACAAGTAAAGATGGGGGCATGTCACAGCACATCTAAATCATTGACGGATGGCTGACATTGCCTTCTATTCTCCACGATCCATTTCACATCCATTACCACAGCGTTTTAAGCATTTTTCTGACACTGACGTACAACGAGCGCCACAGCAGAGGCGAGCTCAAATTGTAACCGTACCTTTTTTAAAGACCACAGCATCTGGAATTGCAGCGTTGAAAGCCACAGCACACTGACAATAGCTATAACACATTTGCTGGTGTAGTTACGATAATAACGTGTGACAGAGAAGTGCCAGGTAAAACAAAAAGAAGTGTCAGGACTAAAAGGTAGAGAAGACGTTGGTAATAAACAACATTGGTGCATGATCCTGGGGAAGATGGAGGAAATGGGGTTGTGATTTAAGGGGGAAAAGAGGATCAAATGGAATGCAGTTTGAGTGTAAGAGTTCTTTTAATGGCACATCCATCTCACAAAGGGTCAGTCTGGGCATACGGAAAGGCCTAGAAGCAAGGCCTATCATTATGACTGAGAGCCCCAACTGATGGCAGACAGACACAAATTGAAAAGGCGGAGGATAAAGTGTTGCGTACTGCGTAAGATTGACCCTGGAGTGTTGGTCTTTGTTGTTGTTATGATCATTTTAGCCCATTGTTGGTATGTTTCATGGATATTCTATGTCCGTGTATACGTAAGGAGGTTATTCATGTCTTGACATTGTTTAATATGCCAGTCTCATCCTGCATTGCTTTTAGAAATGGTGAAAGGATTTGAAGCTTTTTCATTGTTTTGCATTTGATTCATGCAGAATATTTCCTCCTATCTCCCTTCCCCACTTATATCTGATTAAAGTTTTTGTTTTGTCTTAAACAGTTCCTGGGGCTCCTCCAAGGCGAGTGGAGGTTGAGGTCCTCAACTCCACAGCACTAAAGGTGATGTGGCGCTCCCTGACGCCAGGCAAGCAGCACGGTCAGATCCGTGGCTACCAGGTTCACTATGTCCGTGTGGAAAATGGCGAGTCACGGGGGCTGCCCCTCATCAAGGATGTCATGCTGGCCGATGCCCAGGTATGACCATCTCTCAGTTTATTTTGTACAAATCATCAAACTATTTTAAATCAAGCCTCAAAGCACCCTAGACTATGCATTCATGCAGTATTTGCTCAAATTAAATAGGAAATATGCCAGTTTGACTTTAAATCTGTTTTTCAATTATGATACAAAGACACAAAACAGGTAAAAACAAAGTGACAGTGATTCATTCAAAATTCAAAGAAACTTTTTTCAGAGAAACCGCAAATTGTTTACTTTATACTCATTGTTGTGGCTTTCCAAATATTGCTGGAGAATGGGAAGCGATATGGGTGCTCTTCCCTCTTGGATTTCATTTCATATTGCTGTAATATTATTTTCCCCTCAGCCCACAACAAGAACTGTAATCAAAGCTTCACTCATCTTGTCCTCCCTCTTTTGCAATGTCTAGACCCCTTCTTTATGGCAACATCTGCCATGAAATGTCTGATTGTGTGCTTGTATCAAATGCAAAGACTCAAAGAAAATGCTGATTATAGTATTCTGTGCCTTCGGGGGGGTAAAAATTGGCATGAAAACATTTCACCCAAAATCAGCCTGCACTGACAGCTCAAATTGTGATGGAACCCTCGATAATGGGCTTTTTTTCATTTTACAAAACTTGTATGAGGATCCAGCCAAAATGAGACTTTCGTGCACAGTAGCAATCATCCAAATGGAAATGATAGCCTTAAAGCAATATGGTAAACGAAACAGAAAAGAAAACTTGCACGCAATTCTACATATTTTTGGAATGAATGAATCAGAATCTATTCTTTCTATGTTCTATTTAGGCCAAATGCCACCAGAATCACGTTGCATTCTTTGGCATTTAGCTGACCACGAATCCAAGAGTAGAATGAGCTTAAATAACTTAAATTATAAGACCCAAGCGGAGCACACACCCAGCAGTCAACAAAGAATGCCTGGAAGAAATATCTTCTAAGTTGTATATCTTTGTCAGTAAATTAAAAAAGGACCTCATCATTAAAGCATTTTAAAGCTACATCGTAATGCCCCTGCTGGCTGTAGCTATCAATGATTAACAGTATCACTGAGGTGCCTTATTTTTAGTTTCACATGTCTCCAGGCCTCACAGGCAGACCTTTACAACTCTCAGCCTTGTTGCAGCTGCTTCTTATGACACAGCCTTCAAACAGCTTCTCTCTCTCCTGCTTTCACAAAGCCAGTGACCTATTTCTACCCAACCCTCTGCTCCCAAACCTCTAATGCCCCCATCTCTCACAATCCTATTTCTTCCCTTTCTTTTCTCTGTCTTTCTTTAAAAAAAATATTACTTTCTTTCCTGCGCTCTCCTCTTTGGCGGGGGGGTTAGTGGGAAACGGACGATACAGCTGAATATGTGAGTACGAAGTTTCGCTTGAGTGCTCTGTGTAGCTGAGAGGGTATAAACAGTGGGTATTGCATCTTCCCGGTTGAATTCATGGTTTACACAACCACTCATATCTTTATTTAATAAGTTTGGATAGTAAAGTAGCTCAGAGGTTTCACCTCAGCTGTCTGGCCAGCCATCCTTTTACAATATCTCTTTATGCTGCTAAGGTAAAAAAAGACAAACTTCTATTGCCAGCTAGTTTAAAAAATGATGGCTGATGCAATATCCACTGCCCACTGTGCCTGGAATGCTAATACTACTAGTGTCATGCTGTGTGTTGATACAGTGTGTTTGGTCTTTGGTGGTGTGTGTTTTTTCTTTTTTTGTGTGTGTTAAAACAATATCATTTTAGTTTTCAATGTGGTGCTGTAGAATTACTGTGCTTATACGTTTTTGTATCTCGTTAATTAGAAATATTGAGACCCTTGTACATTTGGGCCATGTACAGTATGTATGGCTCTTGAAACCTACTCGAAATCCTCATCGCATCTCTGAGGATTGTTCACGACTGCAGTTTTCTCCCAAAAATGTACCCTTATTTTGAACCTGCATTTGAAAGCCCCAGTCCATCTGCATTACGTGAACACCATCTCAAGTGCAAGACAGTACTTAAAGCTCATTTACCTTTATTGACCTCTCCCATCCCTCTGCCAACCAGCCTGTTAAAAACCTCATTCTGCATGCGTTCAAACCTGCTCGCCTGAAAGATTCATTAGAATTGATCGGAAGCCTCTCTTTGAAGAGGACTCGAGGAAACTTAATGGCTGAGGTAAAAACTGCCAGCGATTGGGCAGGATGTATTCAGCATGCATTTATCGCAAAGTTAAGTTGTTGATTGGAATATTGCTAAAGGAATATGAAGGGATGCTTTCCATTTACATACCTAATGTCCCAACTCCACCATGGAAACTCTAAGGATTTACTTAATGGCATGGTCTTCTATTACGTGGAAGCAAAACATTACATTTAATGCATGCCAAGTGGATTTCAATAAAGAGGACTGGGAGACACTTCACCTAGATTAACATGCTGCATAAGGAAGTTTGAGCTGCATGAAGGAGGTCAAATCCTAAAAGATTCATGACACATTTTGACATCTTCCTGTTCCTGTCTCCCATAGGAAATGGGCATTGGAGGACTCAAGCCAGACACCACTTACTCCATCACGGTGGCAGCTTACACCACCAAGGGGGATGGAGCCCGGAGCAAACCAAAACTGGTGGTGACCAAAGGCGCAGGTTAGTACAAAAATATACAATTTATTAGTTGGCTTTTTATCAGAAGTTTTGTATATACGGCAATAAAGGTTGCGTGGGGTTAGTCATCGTTCACATCCAGCTGTTAACATTCACTGTTTAACTGATCCGAACATGGAAAAGAAGAGATGGACAGATGCACAAGTTTCTCATATGTAATTAATTACGCATCCGTATCAAAGGCATGTCTCTAGTCAAGATTATTGCTTTTGAAATACATGATTTTAAATTAACATTCATTTTCAACTTCTAAAATGTATCCAATACATTTTTCAAAATAAACCTTTCTAAGCAATATCTGGATGCAAGAACAGTTCAGTCAGTTGAGTTGTTTGCTCCTACCAGGGTAGCATTTATTATTTGAATCATGTTCAGAAGACTATCAAAAGATTCTTAGAGATCAAGGAGTTGGTATGAGGTACGTGGTAGATTTTCAGACAGATTATGACAGCTTGAAAGCCCCTGTTGGGTCTTTGGTTTGAGCTTTAAGGATGAAATACTGGAGGCTAATGCCTGCACACTACAAAGCCTTGTCTTCTTCACTTTTTCCCCTTGTTACCACAGGTAGGCACACCAGTTTAACTGGACCGTTTGAGCCTGTTTTGGAGCTAGCGGCTTAGATACCATGAACATGATCTAAACCTGTGAGGCTGGCTGCCTCAGAGTGTGAAAACCTACCTTGACAGAATTGAAGGCGTCAAGCCAAGAGAGGAGCTTCCTTTGTGCAAGCATCTGTGCCAGTCGGCATTCGAAGGCTTCAGAGATCCAATATGTACACAACTGCATGCATACTTATGTACAAACACACATGCATACTTACCTTCTGACTCACACATATTCAGGAGCACTTGCAGTCTCCACCGTTGATCACACACTTAAATTGTGTGCAGACCTATACAGCACAAGCATAAAACCCAACACATCAATAGATAAACACACATAAAGCATCCTCCCAAACCAACGCACACACAAACATAAAACCCAACACATCAATAGATAAACACACATAAAGCATCCTCCCAAACAAACGCACACACAATCAAAGGCACATTTCCCAGATCCTGGCAGGTGTGTGTGTTACAGGTGACAGGGGCTGAAGTGAGTGGTGTCACTCTCCATCCTCCTGTCAGGGACCGCTGACTGATATGTCAGTCGAGTGCACTCCGTCTGTCCCTCGGAGGGAAAGCCTCGTCTTTTTATCATTGAAGTGTAAAGAAAAGGTTTATGCCAGGGGGCCACGATAAATGGAATAAGGGAAGGGGTGAGAGGTTAGGAGAAGCGTTTTTCTCGCTGGTAAAGTGGTTGTTTTGCTTGTTTGAAGGGATGTTAGGATGGAATAGTGGATAGGGAATGTTCCTGCTTGTTATGTTATGTTATGGGATTTCTGAAATACCAGTTGGAACAAACAAAGGGAACTAATATGACAAAAGGATTGAATTATACAGGCTTATATAATTACAAAGACCAGTGTCATTGTAGACAAACAAGCTTTTCTTAGGACTATCATTTAAATATATTATTTAAAAGTCCTGCAAGACTGCTCTTTCATGTGGTTTACCCTTGTTTAACTAAGCAGGCACACTTTAAAAGTGTGATGCAAATACATGAAATATTCTATCACATGAATTCTCTGCATGTTTGTACTTTTAAAACACAAACACAAAGAACTTATGCGACAGCTGTTAAACTATCTACTTGAAGACAAGCATGACATCATAGTCTTTTAAGTCCTAAAAAGCAACATCAATACAAAACATTATGACAAAAGTAAAGGCTTCAAATTTGATTCAAATCAAATCAAGTGTTTTCCTCTTCAAGACATTCCAGAAAAACCTCTCTGGTGAAAAAGAATCAACCACAGGATTTATTTAGGATAGAACAACAAGTACAACTGTGCACGTATTTGTGGACACAGACAAACAACAGTCATTCTGTGGCCAGGTTTAAAAATGGCCTTTTCATGATTCATACTTTCCATTGTCTTGCTTTGAAAATGGTCAATGCGAGACAATGTTTTAGAGGGGGCCTGAATATGACTTTATTGACAAAAGATTAAAATGTTTATGTCTGGAAATGTTTTTCTGGCATCCTATCTTCACATTATAGAGTAGTTCACTGGGTTGAAAGCAGCAGCAATCAATATAAGCATCATCTTTTCAGGTTTCAGTGGAAAAAAGACATTGTCCTCTATAAGAGGAAAGTGTTGGGAAAGAAAACAAAGTCAAACTTACCAACAACAAACTCAAAACAAAATGAAACAGCATGCTACAAAACATAACACTTTACAAGTAGCCTAAATTATGAATAAGCCACAATACATGTACCTCTGAGCCTAAAGTACAAGCAAAGACTTAAGAAGTGTTTTGAGAATGGAAGATTTAGGGAATGCCAAGTCAGGGACTGGCACTATATACATACATAGAGGCTTATAAGAAAAAACAAATGAAAAGATAAGTGCCATTAGCCCTCTACTGATCTGTAGTCATTCAAAGCTGCATTTAGCAACTTCACACAAAGTATAGGTGGCCCCCCGATGGCAGCAAAAGGTTCCTGAATGTTAAAGATGTTAAAACCCTAAGTCATAGGCTGATGAATCATTTCAGTTGTATACTTGTTATTGCGGTGCAGATACCAGAACTGTATGAATGCAGACAGGAAGCATTTAAATGCTACTGTTTATCACTTAGGAATGTATATGTGTGTGTTTGTAATTATGTGAAGTGGTTTCCATTATATATTAATTATATTGCAGGTCAGAGTAGATGTAGACTCAAATAAACTGTTGTTACACAGGCACTGAAGATATAAGTAGAGTTTACCGCCCTTGTGGTATTTTGTTGTTTGACAAATCTTTATCCTCCACCCTCCAACCTCACAGTCCATCATTTTGATGGTTGCAGCCTGTGAAAACATGCTTAGAGATGCATATGTCTGTTAAAAAGGGTGTTGATTCTTATTCCAATGCTGAATGCAGACAGCTTACTTGAAAATCAGAGCACCTCATTACATATTTATTTACTTCCTGATTCTTATTTTGGTCCAGTGAGAAATAATCAATGTAAGTGGCCCATCTTGTTCTCTTCTCTCTTTCTTTATCGCTTGCTTCATCGCTTGCTTCCTTAAAAGCTCTTGCACTCCAAATGGACAATGGGAAATGTGTTGCAAAACTCAATTTCCTACCCTACCAATTTCTCCCCTCCATGAGCTCCGGCCACAAACACACACATACACTTCTTAAGTAGGCAGACTGAATTAAAAGCAGAGGGAGCCAAAGACAGGAGAGTGATGTCTTTTTCATGACCTTTAAGGTTAAAAAACATCCCCCCCATGTTCTTAAAAATGTTATTATTTTCTATTGTGAAGGAGTGCAGCTCAAAGCAGATCACCTTACATGACGGGCACCATGTCATTTGCACAAAGGCAATATATAATATGTTTTTGTGTATGTTGGTGTGCACAAGAAAGAGAGGAAATGAGAAGGAAACCTGATCGACCCTTTCTCAATCAGCCTCAGTGAGTGTCAACAGCAGGCTGGTAATACAGTTGCCTGATGGGGAAACGTGCTTGGAGGCCCAGAAGGAGGGATTGAACCAGGGTCGACCCTGAAATGGATGGAGAGAGAGGGGGGTGGGGGAGGAGGTTAGAAAATGAAATGGGGGATTGGGCAGTGTGAAAGGGGAGAAGTGGGGAGATGGGGAAAGAATAAGGGCGAGTGTTATGGGGGAGAAAGATGAACACTGAGGAGAGGGACAATCAAAGTGTCCAGGAACCCTGGAATCACTTGTGCACACACACACACACTTCTGCTCCCTAATATCCCTTTTGGGCCCTCTTTGCAGCAGATTGCTCCTTGTCCCCAGTCACCTTCATCATCCCTCATTCATTCATTTTTCACCCCCTCTCCCTGCCCTTGTTCTCTCTCTCATCACCCTGTAGCACCACACACTCTCAAACACATACACAGTACACACCATGAACATCCACACCTCCTCCCAAAACCAATCCGCTGGCTCGCTACCCGTGATTCTTCTCCCCAATGAGCAATAGGCCACTGTTATAAATGTACAAATATTTTAAAATAGTTCTGGGGCTACAAAGGTTGTAATGGATACATTTGGGAGCCTTTCGAGGTTAAAGCATCTAAAATGGAAAACACACATTCACAGGATCATTATTTCTGAATCTTATTTCCTTGATTGGTGGTGAGCATGAGGCAGAGTGGGCTTTTAAATGACACCAAGCTGAGCTATAGTATGTTTCCGGTGAGTATTGGGAGCATTCGTCTCACCCAACACTCGGCGCCCTCGCCTTTCCATTACCGGCAAAGGCTCAGCTGACTAGCCACCATCCACCCACCAACCCCCGTCTTCCTCTTCCAACAGCCCTCAGAAAGAAGACCATTAGCAAACGGAAATGAATAATACGAGCAGAGGGAGTGGACTTTGTAGAGTGGATTGCTTTGTGTGTTTTTTACTTGGTGCAGGAACATACTATATGTAGACACGCACGCACAATGACACTATGTCACTGAGAGGGAGTACATTTTCCTCAGACTAATGTTGGCTCCTCCAAATTACTTTAAGTCCTTACTGGGCAAAAAGCCAAATACCTCAGTTTGGAGGGGAGTGGGTATATAGGAGCTGCACACACGTTCTTGTTATACATGGGCATACACACTGTCCATTATGTATAAAGATACAGATGACATAAATAACATATAAATAATAAGAAAAGAGGCCCAAATAGACGCTGCAATATAAATTCATGCAGCGTAATATAACGAACGCTGGATGTAAGTGATGAAGGAGCAAATGTATCTATAATTGTAGCTGCTTAAGATAATGATGAAATGTATGTAACACATTGAACCAGAGTTATTCAAATTTAAATTCAGTTTATTCAGCGTTTTTTTGTATTTATGCTGAGAAAGCTCTCACTTCCAGGACCAACCAATTTGCTTCCGACCCAGTTTGCCGACCCAGTTGGCAGCTACTGAATCAGAAATATACAGAGATACCCGGTCTTCTCACCACTGGTCTCATAAACTCATGTAGAGCCATCTTTAAGGGCAATAAATATCTGTCTGTCTGTTTGCATGTCTTGAGAACCATTTATCCAATCTACTTCACACTTGGTGAGTGTGTTGCTGGGGATTCAAACACATGCAGTGTTGAAGTTTGTGAAATGTGGAAAAACCACATGTTCAATATGAATAGACCTCGAATACGAGACATTGCCTTAAAAGTGATTAAACATATTTGAAAATATATTCTAAAAGACATGGCTATCCAATGTAAATGAACTTAAATTGGTGTTACATGGTTACCTTTTTTAACCTGTCAAGATCGGAGCTGCTGCATTTTGGAATGTTAGGGAACAAATGCAAAGGAGCGTTTTTTGGAGAGTCTACAGGAAGTTGCAATTCTTGAGAAATGAGAGATAAAAGCTTGAACAACCTACTCCAAATCAGGGAATTACTCAAAACAGTTGGCTCTGGCGATATTGCGTGATTTAGGGTGTAGGTCTGCAGTTATTCCTTTACTTATATTTCCCAGATATTTGTCCTGCTACTGCCTTGTATTTTTTATAAAGGAGGGACATAGTAGAGTAAGTCAAGATGGAATCTATTTACTGAGAGATTGGGCTCTATTACGATCAGCCTCACTTATCTCTCACAAAGCTTCAATGGCAACTTGAGAACTGAAGGCTTCCCACAACTGCTGCTGCCTCTATCACACTGATGGGCCCTTAAAAAGAGAGTTAAGATGAGACTTGTGTCATCCATAAGAGCAGCAGAACTGGGCCACTCTGAAGAATGGTGTCTAGACCCCAAGTGTAGATCATCCATTTTACAACAAGAGATGACTATTACAGCTGAAAGAGGCACTGTTCTCTGTTAAGGTTTTAGTGATCCTTTGCCGTACAGACTGGCTAGAGCTTACATGTATCATGAAATGGTAATAGGTACAGCTAACACTCAAGAGTGTAGCGGCTCTTAGGATCTTCTTCGTCTCCATCCAACTCAACCTGACTCCATTTAGCAGGATGTTATCTGACAAACGGTGGAATTTAAGATGATTATTGAAAGTGCAGATACTTTCATGTCAAACAGTATAATTGGACAGGTCAGATGCAGTGTTTTTGACATGCTAAATAATGCTTCAGTAGTATTCTGTAGGTATAGATAGTGACAGTGCTGGAACTCTAATGCCGTATGACTTGGCTTGAGAGCATAGGAATTATATTAAATTCACTATAGCAATGTTGAATATCACTAACAGAAACTGTATATTCCATGTATATGTTCAATCTGCGATAAACTTCTACATGTATAGTATTAAAACCTGTCACTTGAAAAAAAATCATCTTCATGGTTCTTGAAAGCACAGAAATTAATATTTGTTTTATTTCTTTATCTGTACAGTGCCTGGTCGGCCCTATCTGTCAGTGGCTCAGGACTCCGAGTCATCAGCTGTGGTTCGCTGGGACCCTCCAGCTCTCACTCATGGCATAGACCTGCATGGTTACCGGCTCCAGTTTGGCCGGAAAGATGTCAGTCCTTTGGCCACACTGGAATTTGCTCCCCAAGAACGACAGTACTCTGTGGGCAACATTCACCGGGGGGCCACCTATCTCTTTAAAGTCTCAGCTAAGAGCAGGGGGGGCTTCGGAGACGAGGCTTTGGTAGAACTTAATGTGCCTGAGAATACGCCAGGGGGATACCCTCAAATTGAAGAGCGCTCCAATGTGACATGCTGCTCTGTGCAGCTGTCCTGGTCTCCCCCTGTGCTGGCGGAGAGAAATGGGGTTATCACCGAGTACACTTTGGCTTTTAAGGAAACTGGTACCGGAGGAGCGCCACAGGAGCTCCACTTGCCCCCCAGCCAGTCCAGCTATGTTCTCAACAGCCTCAAACCGAACTCAGCATACGATGTGAAAATACGTGCACACACCAGTGTAGGCCCAGGGCCCTACAGCCCGCCTATCCAGTATCGGACGGTGACCTTTGACGCAACAGGTAGGGTTTGCCTGTTATCTTTTCCAACCCGGTTGGCAGGGGGTTGGCAATTGGCTAACAAACAATCTGCAACAACACAAAAATGAAAACTGCCCCACCCCCTCCTTCAACCACCTTCACTTCTCCTCAAGAAAGAGAAAAGATTGATATTAATATTGTTTGCCGTTGGATACTCACTTCACTAACACAAAAAAGGTAACACGCAAGTCAGTAAGTTATAGTCAGTCATGTAGAGAAAGAGGAGAGCAGCATAGAGTTTCAAGGTAAGTGCTGTTCGGTCAGACACTCCTGTCAGTCATCCCTGCAGCCCTTTGCCAAGCACACTCACACAGCTAATGCCATCTCACAACCCCAGTTTGCAAACAAGGTAGGACGTCAGTCAAACCCAGTCACTCAAAGAGTATGTTTGGAATATTCTAAGTTGACAGAAAGCGGATTTTGGTTCTATATTTATTTATTTATTTGGTTTTGGGTTTGTTTTGAAATATTACCCCCTTCCTAACCCCCTTCCTCATCTAATTCCTCCTCTCCCCTTCCCCTGTCCCTTATTGGGACAGTTTGTGGCATGGCATCCCCCTGATGCACTGCTAAGGACTGTTGGCATGCTGTGTTTTGAGTCTGTCTCGATGCCCGGCTGGCAGCACGTTGGCAGTGCCAACCCAGACTCTGTAGAAGCATAGGTACTGTTGGCACTGGGACCAAATGGTCAGTTGTTAATCCTCAGGTCATGGGTTCAAAGTCAGTGTTGAGATGGGTTGGCACTACTTACGATAGCTAGCCAGCGGGCACACCTTTGTGCTCCGTGGGTCTGTCATCCATGAGTCTTATGTGCTGTGTGTCTTAACCAATGGCGTTGCCCTTCTCACAGCCAATCACAGCTCACCGTTACACTCACTCTCCAACCCAGAGGAACGTTGCAGAGGAACTACTGCATCTTTTTTTTTGTAACCAAAGGTTCTTCTTTAGTTTTTCTTTCCTTGCTTTCTCAACTTGTTCAATTTATTAAAGTTTTTTTTTGCATTTGTCCATTCAACAGACGTTCCACAGAATTTCACTGTAAAGTGGGCCACCAAGACTACAGTGGTCATTGCATGGAAGTTTTCTGAAAGCAGGTCTCCTTACAAATGCACGGTGAGTTTAATATAGGGCCAAAAGATCATTTCAATTCTCAGCTGAGATACCTTTAATAATTTCCAACATGCCCATTTCCTGAATTTTATTTGAATTGAACATTGCATATGCCTTCTTACCTTCATATGTTACTACCAAAATCCATCTCCATACCTTTCCATCCATCTTTTCATCCATCAATCTACTGAATCTACCAACATGATCATACACTACATCATCTCTCTTACCAATTACCAATTCAAACTTCTGGACCATTTATCGAACTTTAGATTGAGTACAACCGACAGAAGATGGATGTGGATGCCAGGCAGATGAGGGTGCTCGTCACCGGGCTAAAGCACAACACCACTTATGAGTTCAGGGTGACCTGCCAAGAAAGCGCGGATGGTGGGCAAAAACACCGTGTGTATGCCAAGACCGCGCCACTCATACTGGTCAAGAAACCCAAGCTGGACATCTATGCTGAGCCTGACAACATGCTCACCATGTCCTTCCCACCAATTGAAACCAAGGAGGTCAAGTGAGTATACCTTGACTTAAGATGGGTTCTGCAGGCACTGTTTACATTAGATTTGAGGGTTAGGGTATTGAGGTTTAAGTCTGGAGATGCTTGAAATCTGATATTGTATAGATTGAGATCTTAAGGTGTCTTTAGATGTTGAAATGGGAGATAAGGTCTTTGGATTCATGAGGCTTTTTGGATTTTGCTAGATCCTGCAAGAATTGTAGCTTCTATTTCCTTTCAACCTTGTACCAAGTATTTGCTATACATTATCAATAAATTGTTTGCAGGACCTTCTATGTGGTTGTGGTGCCACTTAAGAGGACCTCAGGAACTGTCAAAAACCTGAAGAACCCCGATGAGATGGACATGGAAGAGGTAGAGTTTCTTTATTTTCTTTTTTTTAAGTAAACGGTGTGCGGTGATTCTGGAACAACATCAATTATAAGGTTAACGGGGTGCATTGTTTCAAACATAAGGCCGGATATGTGAAAGGAAAAGGCGTCTTCAAACTTTAGTAACATGTTTTTTAAAGAGACTGTAATCTTTTCTCTCTGGCCAAACTGTGTTTTTTAAGAGTAGCAATTCCAGAAACACTTGTTTGTGATATAACAGTTGCATGTGCAAGGCAAATTGTACACACTATGTAGCAGACATCGACACACACAACACAAACTTGAGTACATCTCAGCTATGCTAATTCATCACCCCCAAGCATGCAGAAGAGAGAATTACACAGTCTTCTCCCACTCTTACCATAGCTTGAGGTCACCTTGAGCGCTACATCAACAGCAACCATCCCTATTGGATTTGGGATTACACACATTCCCTCTGCTTACTGCCTGCCTCTGTCTGCTTTTTGAAATGAATGAGAGAGGCTGAATGTTGGGGGGGTTGGAGCCTGGTTACATGGAACATTGCCAAATAGTTTGCAGCTATTTTTATCTAAAGGTACAGTTACACCTACAGGTGTTTTTTCTTTGGTCTCAGTCAGCCCATTGAAAGGGCTCCAGTGATTTTACACCTGAATCAAAATAGTTATTTATTCATTTAAAACATTTGATGACCTATCAGGGCGACTGTAGCTGCGAGGGAGTGCGGTCGTCTTTCAACCAGAAGGTTGTGGGTTCGATCCCAGCCCGTGCTGTCAACATGTCGTTGTATCCTTGGGCAAGATACTTAACCCTGAGTTGCTCCCGATGGCATGGCCAACGGTGTGTGAATGTGTGTGAATGTTAGGTCCTAGAGTAAGGTACACTGCTCTGTATGAATGGGTGAATGACATGTAGTATGTAAAGCGCTTTGAGGGGTCGTAAAGACTGGATAAAGCGCTATATAAGTACAGTCCATTTACCATTTACCATATCATTTTGCCAAGTTAAGTTAGTTTCAGGTCCAGTTTATCTTGTGTTCAGAAACAATGGATATTATGAAAAAACATTTCAGTTATCGTAAAAAAATGTTTTTGCTCAGACGTTTTTCAATAAATGTGGGACTAATGTTTTAGAAACTCCAAAAACACAAGAGGATACGAAACGGAAAAAGCAGTCGTAAACTAATGCCCTTTCACGTCAATCAGCTGTTGCGGGAGGTGATTCCAAAGCGGCGCTCGCGGCGTCAGCTGCCTCAGCTGGACCAGAGGAAGCCCTACATCACAGCCTGCTTCAGGCAGCTGCCGCCCAGCTTCACGGTGGGATCTGACTATCGCCACAGCAGCTGTGAGAACAAGCCTCTTGAACCTGGCCAGGAGTATGTCTTCTTCCTGCTGGCTGAACTCAATGCCACCGTTGGGGTGAGTAACTAGTTAAACTCAGTTCATCTCACTTTAGTAGACTTACTTTTGGTCAATTGCTTTTGTCAGAGTGGATTTAATAATTGATTTATTTTCACTTTAATCTTTTACAACTGAATCTAACATTGAATTTGTATCCACTTTGTGCTGCTTAGTTTAGGTACTGTTTCATGTGTAATAAACTTCTACCTGATCTCTCTGTTCAGAAAATGTTTGCCACCAGCCCTTATACGGACACAGTGATGACCCCTGCGCTGGTGGTGGACCCCCTGACAATAGAGACTGGGGACGGACTTATATGGGTGGTGGGCCCAGTCCTCGCTGTGGTCTTCATCATCTGCATCGTCATTGCCATTCTCCTTTATAAAAAGTGAGTTGGCCTGGTAATTGTAGTTTTTGTGGTGACTGCATTGGACCTACATTTATGCATGTAACAATAACATTGTTCAACATCAAATGATAGGAAAGAACATTAAGGGTTATGATACAAGGCTAATTTAAAATGTTTTTTTATGAAAACATTTACAGTATAAGTATTCTCTTAACATTAAGATACAAAGGAATTAAACCCTTTAACTTTGCATAGTAAGTGCCTTGTTCGAACCTCTGTTTTACACAAGCAGTATAACTGTTATCCATGTTGTACTGAAATATTGTTCACATGCTAGAATGTCTGCTTTTCCCGCAACACACAATGAGCAGCTTCTTGTCATTTGATGTTGAACCAGTTATTTTCAGTGTAACAAGGGAATTGGGCTGTGGGGAAATAATTGCATGTTAGGGAGCATGTTGAAAGAAGGCCTTATTCTATATTCATAGCGGCATGATATTGAAAGAACCCAACAACATTTTTGCATGAAGGAGCTTTTCTTGTGAAAAAGATGGTTGTGGGAAGTGAGGGGGTTGGAGAAAGGAGAGAGGAGAAGATTTCTTGAGATGGTGTTCAATTATTTTTTTACACCTGACAAAAAAAGAACTTATAATTCTGGAAAGAATACTCCGTAACGGTGTTATTCAAATGTTGTCAGAAAAACGTAATAGTCAGTTTAACGGTAATTTCTTCAAAATGTATGCTTCAAATTAGGTATGTAATGCTCCAAAATCTATATGAATGATAACACAATAACAAGTCCAATATACCATATGTATGACGATCTTAAAGAGTGATTACTTGCAAAGATGTTAATTTAATGAAGTCTGACGTATACCACTTTTTTTTATAAGATTTTAAGCAAGTTCCCTTTGTTCATATGAACTCAGCTCTCCACACAATTCTAAATAAATACTATTCCTCAGCATCCTTGGGCTTTTGAACACAGGTGTATGTCAACACCCCCCCATCCCTTGTTTTGCAGTGAGTTGTAGCTTCAGTCTCAGTAACTGCAAGTCCCAAATGATCAGTAGTGTAAGGGTCTCCCTACACAGTACATACGGTACATGGGAAGTTCCCTGAATGATTTTGAAGGGGGTTAGTGTAAGCCACAAACGTACAGCTTGCTTCTGTCAGATGATCCCTGACTGTCTGACCTTGCCTTACCTCAGTCTTTGTGGTTAGGGAGAGTAACATCTCTCCTTGGATCTCTCTTTTTTCTCTCTTCTCTTTCTGCACCCCTCACTCTCCCATCTCCCCCTCCATCTCTCCCTGGTGAATAGTTTCTCCCGGGTCTGCCCTTGGCTCTGACATTCCCCTTTCCCATCTGTATCTGCACCCCCCCCGTGCACACACACATAAGCACACACACGTACATACAGAGACACACATACACAAGCTGAAGAATGTATGCACTAACTCGCACATTTCATTGACTACTCACTTGTTCTCACACACTAATACATGAGCACACACGCACACGCATGCCTCAAATGCTGATGAGCTTTATCTCGTATTTTGCGAGCCCAGCAGCGACCCCTGTGAATTTTAAACTGCTCTCTATTGATTTATCTCTCTTCTTGCCTCCCCCCCCTCTCCCTTTCTCCTTGTGTGTTGTGTTTTCACCATCTTTATATATGTATTTGACTCCTATTGCTTTCTCTGGAAGCAGCAAGCCTGACAGGTAAGGTTTGGCTGTACTTTATTGCATTTTCAGGGTAATACAAAATAGCCTGCCTCAGCAAAAAAAAGATGCCTTTAATTAGTGAAGGTGAAAGTGAATTTTGCGTACTTGACAAACGCTCTCAGTTCCTCTTTTGTTGATTCGGCTTCAGTCGAGTGTTCTTGACCCGCTGAGTTACCAGTCAGTAGGAGTTGCTAAGTTGTTTAGGTGCCATCATTAGTGAGAGTGGTGACTGCTGGATCAAGTGCTCATTAAAGCAATTTCTGTTGTTTTTGCTGTACGTCTTCCCCTCTTTCTACTCTTTGTTTGTCATACTTTCCAGCCGCAAAAGAAAAGAGTCAGAGCCGCGCACAAAATGTCTCCTGAACAACGCGGACATTACACCCCACCACCCTACAGACCCTGTGGAGATGAGACGCATCAACTTCCAAACTCCAGGTACAGAAAAGACACATAACATGTACATTGAGGAACACAGGTAGTCCTATTGAAAGATTGAACAACATGCATTGCTAAAACTGATTTATTTTGTATGCAACAATGACCTTTCGGTAAATTACATATTTTCATTTTCACTGACAATATGAAGGATGTGAGGAAGGAAGTTTAGTCATCCAGCTTTAGCCGTGACAACCTGTAAAACTTCAAAGAGTTATGTCCCACTTTGCTTTCAAGGAAAATTGGGTCTGCTTAGGTTAATACAACATTTTGCTCATCAATAACTTACCAGAGATTTGGAAAATGCTGGGGACAGTTTTACACCATTGTCTTAGAGTATTAGTACAATGGTCGAGTAAGTAGCTGCATTGCAAAATACTTCATGGGTACCTGATATAGCTACAGTTTGTGTTCTATTTTTAGACATCCAAATCACTACTTTTGATTGTTGGATAAAAACGGGCCTGTTAAAAAGCCATCTAAGGCTTGGATTTCCAAGGCTTAATTGGATTTCCATTCTAAAACAGGTTTTTAGTGGAGTGCTCATGCCTGTTATCTCTCCAATTCATTGTTTTTATTTGGAAAGAGACCAAAGCTGTATAAATAGAACTGAGTTTTAAGGAACTAGATACAATTAAATGGAGGCCACTGTTTCAGTGGCTTAAACAAACTAAATGCAAAAGTTTTGGCTATGCAAAAGAAAACCTGTGTTAATAACAAGTTTTGCAGGAATTTCAAATCCTCATTTTGAAACCTACTGGAATGGAAAGCAAATTAAAAAAATTGGCATAACATGTTATTAGGGCAGCTCTAATCCAAAATCCCCTTATTGGTGTCAAAACCTAATCTTGCTATATTATATTACTGGTGCAAAATAAAGACACACACTTGCATAAAACCTTCCTTCTTCACAACAAATTATTTATTACAGGGAAAACGTTATTATCCATGAAAGGCAAAGTGCACTAGTATTTTTTAACACTCGCATAACTGACGTGTTGACGTACTTTGAAGTGAAAGCAGGTTGTAACATTGGCACACACTTGCAGACAGCCTACACAGAGATTAACGATTCACAAATGATGCAACTCAAAGTTACATTTCTGCTGCAACATAGATGATGTCCTTGAAGTGCTCCCACATCATTCTGTTTGACATGATGTGCCTCCATAACTACGTGCAAGCCATATTTATATGTTTGTCCCCATGTAACAATTAGCCATTTATGATAACAAATCATTAGAAAAGTATGCCTTGTGTTGGAATGTATATGTTTATGTTGGGAACAAACCCTGTATTGAAATTCTGCTGGGTATCTTCCTGTTTCTCTTTAGTCTCACTTTGTGTCTCATCAGAGCTAAAGCCTGGTGTTAACAACATCATCTCAAACTCTTTCTCTAAGGCTTCTCCATCTTTCACCTGCCTCTATTGCAGGCCCATTATCTATCGCCTTTCTTTCTGTTATTTGGTTTCTTTTATTTAAGCTATTTACAGTTGTTGTTGTCATTAGTTTGACTCGTAGAGGAATTAAGTGAAATGTTTTCAAATCTGAGTTTAATCACATTATTCGCCTCTAGTAAGCATCATGAATTGTCGTGAGTTCTCCACCACATGGTTGACCTTGTATTGTCTCTTTTAAGTGGTTTATTTGACAGAAAAATTAGCGCCCTTTTTTTTCCTTATGTTCCTTTCCTCTTTTCTTTTGCTTCCCGCCTTGCTGTCTCTGGCCTAGTTGTCTCTCAGCCATCCATCTGTCATCCCCTGCCAGTCTCTGCTCCATCAAAAGGCTCAGATTTCAAAATGGAGCGTTTTCTTTTCATCTTCTCTAGGAGACCAGTCATGCTGGCTGAGTTTTTATCTTGGGAGAAAAAGCGGACTTCTTTACATCAGAGAAGAGTGCATGAAAGAAGTTGCACAAACCCGCTTATACATAGAAATGTGGAAGTTAATTTACCTCTCCTTGTCTTTATCTTGCCTCGTATTCAGAGCCCTATCAGTGGCTCTGTAATGACAAGGTTATAATGGCTATTCCTGCCATTTGTCTTTTTGACTTCCAGCTCTTTCCCCTGTGCCCTCAACTGTCCTCCTCCGTTCTTTAAATAATAGAAACTCTTGTTAGAGCCACTTTTACATTACATTCCCCAATACATGCTGAGAGTTCTCTTTATATATCACAAGCATCCTCATTCGACAGCCCTGTCATTGTCCTGCAGAATTGGGGCGATGTCGTTATCTCCGCACCCGGGGAATTTAATTTGAATGGACATTTTAGCCCAATTAAGTGGGCCGGTGAGCATTTGTGAACATCCCCATCAGCTAATAGCGACAATTGTTCAAATGAGCATACTCCCATTGCACATATCCAAGGCTTCTGCTATCCAACAGAGCATATGCCACATCGGCAATGTGTGCTCACTGACCACTAGTGCTGGAGAACAAAAATATGTTTTTGATTAGGCTTCCAGTAAGCTAGGCTTGGCTAATGCGTTTCAGAGAGGGTGTGTGTGTCCTTGTGCATGTCTGCTGTGAAGCCTGTAGGTCGTGTGACAGCCACACAGTGACATCCCATAACCCCTTGGGGCACATAGTGGCTCGTTTTGTCATTATCTTCATTGGTGCCTGGGGTTTGATTGTCAAATGGGGCCAGAGTAATGAAGCAGCACAACTCAGTGGATATCTGTTGTCTATCTCCAACCAAGCCCCCCTTTAGTCATGAGGACTTTTTTTGATCCCTTTTTTCACTATCTTTCGCTTCCATTTTATCTGTGTCTTGCCGTTACATTTTTTAAAATCTTTTACACATATATCGGCATCTTATATCAAAACCTTACTTTCATATTATCAGTTTGATAGTATAATATGAATGTACACCTGTGCAGGCACAAATAGAAGAAGAGAAAAGCTCTCTCTTACTCCAAAATAAGACTTTAAGTGTATCTCTGGGTTTACTCTTCAACATATCTCTGATATACGTTCTATTTATGCCGTCTTCATCTGTGTTCATCTATATCTCCCTCCCTCTAATACAACATCGCATATGGCATTTCACGCCTCCATAATTCTGTTTTAACACTAGAACCGCCAGAGATTTTTTATACCTAAAACCGCCACCTGGATCAAATTGACCCGCTATTAGAATGCATTGATTTTCAAGGTAAAATGTTCTTTTATTGAACAGTGAGTTTTGATCGCACAGGGATGAAACGTATACCAATATAATCTGTGGACTCTCAGGGCTCGACATTATAAATGGCCCGCTGGCCCGGAAGCATTATTTAGACACCGCGGCCAGCATAACGTACTTTCAACTCGCCCCACAGCTGTTTGCTGCGGAGCGCAGTGCGAGCAGTCTCCCGTGAGCAGGAGCACACTCCTTCACTACAGACTGTCTCTATCTCTCTCTCTCTATCTCTCTCTCTCTCTCTATCTATAACTATCTATCAATATATCTATCCATCTCTCTCTCTCTCTCTCTCTCTCAATCTATCTCTCAATCTATAAGGAGAAACCGCAGTAGACAAAAGGCGTTGCTATAGCAACACGTCATGTTTATATGAAAAGGGGTGGGGTCAATATGACCCGCTTGGCGGAAATAGGTATAAATGGCAATATTTTGGGCGATTTCTTCAATCTGACTTCATATTGACCATTTTTAACAACATAGGGTGCTACATTACACAATTTCAGGAAAAGTCACAGACTGGAAGACTTTAATATTTTATTGAAAAAAAGTTACACACAATAAAAAACAGCTCTGGGTCAAATTGACCCGATTGGCGGTTCTAGTGTTAAAAAGTGCCTTCCACATTTAAGCATAAATCTAAAATGTTCTTGCAGACCGCTTTAGAAACTTGCAGAACCCACGGACAGCAGCCAATCGCTGGCGTGCGTTAGCAACCCACTTGTTTCTCCAGATTACAGCTACGACTGCAACAACCGTGCCCTCCTCCTCACAAACAGTGTTATTGAAACACACACACAGCACACGCTCACACATAAACATAATCAGACACGCCTGTAGCTCCCTCCTGCTGTGATGAATGACGTTTGGAGACAGTGGATCAGAGAACCCCCTGCTAGGTGTAATTAGTCATTGTCACAAATCAATTAGGGAGAGGGGGATGTTCGATGTCTTCATCTCTCTGCTCTCATTTGGCGCCACTGGCCTGACGTCCTCTTGCTAAGACGTCAGTGCGAGGGAAACCTAGCAAAACTCTGTTCAGCAACTTTTTTTTATAGAATTGAACAGTGTTTTTAGGCTTACATACATCATCTTTATAGTCATTCATTTTGGCTCCCAACTTGGAATGATGATAGTATTCCTACCTTTTTGTTTTATCAAAGAGATGTGAGATGTTTTTTGGGACCAGACTTTTTGGAAGGAAAACTGTGTTTTTAGAAAAACACACTTTCTTTTTCACTTTTTCAGATCAGATTTATTTTCCATTTCCCTTCCTAACTTCGTATATGCTCTGGAACAAACTATCTGTTTTCTTTGGATCAAAGTTGCCATCTTGGGGTGATGTGATCCTGTCTATCACTGAGCACCCAAGTGATCTGATTTCAGCTTTTTGCCCTGGCAAAATGTATTTCCCTCAATTGATAGACAGATTGGCAGCATCTCTTCATCTGCACCTCTTAGCAAGAGGACCTGAGAATACCCGGACGTAGCATCGCTGGCTGCGGCCTCAGAGGACTTCTCCTCTGAAGCAAATCAGACTTTGAACCATCACTGCTTCCCTTAATGCTGTGACTCCCATCAGCTGTGGCTCCACAGCTGTCAGCCATGAATGTGGACACATTTCCACACCTTTCACTCTCAATGCTTCACCACCAAGCCGCTAACAAAGGACCTTTTCACAGTTCGTTTTCACCAGGAAATATAAGCTGGTTTTTCCCCTCTCTGTCTCTTTCTAATTGCTGTCAATGGGCCCTTCCAACTGGTGTTCACGAAAGCTCAGAGATAGCAAATCAATTTTCTTATCCCTGATCTCTATGACCGTTGATATGGGGCTTGGCAGAAGGGTCGCCTCAGCAGGGGAATCAGAGGTGGAGGCCTATGGCTAACCAGTCTGCTCCTCAGGAGGGCTATAGCCGATCTGATCGGAAAATGTTTGCCCTACTTTTTCATATCCGTGTGGTAGTCTTGCCTCAAGTCTGTCATCCGGCTACCCGAGAAGGGCGGGAGTTTACTGATAGTAAAGTACTTTTATAGGAAAAAAAAGTCTTATTGTTTTATTTCTTGGCCTTTAATCATTTTGCATTCTTTTATGTTTTCTTTTTACAAAGCATTTTCTGTTGCATTACAGCCTTTTGAAACCATGTTCCCTTATGTTTGCTGTTCTCTACAGATTCTGGTCTAAGCAGTCCTCACAGTGAAGCAGATTTTGACTATGAAAGTTAGTCTCTATGCTTTTAGCATTTGCGTACCAGCTTTCTTTATCTTTTTTTTTACGCACGCTTGCCTCCATTTACAAATACATAATTTGCATTTGTTTGTTTTTTCACATTATGCAGCAAAAATGTCAGCACTAATTAATTTGATGTTGGTTTCTATTGGTATACCGGGCTTTTTTTCTGTAATTGGATGTCAGTCACGATATTCACTTGGGCTGTTGGCTGTGCATTAATCCACCATGCATAAATAACCTGTATAATCACTCCCGCTGATGTAGAGATGGTTGAAAAGAGATGTGTTACAGGAGTACAACCTCTGTTATCCCTTTTTCTCTACCTCCCCTTCCTCACCTCCTTGTTGTTGTTCTCCCTTCGCCTTTCTCCTCCTCTTTCACCACCACTGCTCCATTTCCATTCTGAAGTAAGGGGGTCTTTTCTGTGCTCAGAGATAACGAGCAGAATTAATTAAAGCGGTGGCAAACAATGGCTCGACATTTGATCACCCTGCGCACTGCCAAAGGATCATCCTGGAGAAAAAGAGTTTCTGGTTTTCTTCTTCCCCCCTTTCCCCCCCCTTATGTTCTGTGATTACCCACAGACAGACTTCTTCCCTTTTTATATGTTAATATGCAACATCATAAATAGGCTTTTCGAGACAGACTGCTTTGGCTTATCAAAAAGAATCATTATATTTGTCAGGCGCATCGACTGCGGATCGGGAGATTGGAAACGTGTAATTAGACGCTAGTTTGTTTTTCTGTGTTCATTGATCACGCTGTTGATTGCAGTGAGAAAATAGTGTGCACGTGGATAGTAGAAAGCCGTGCACAAGGGGGTTGTGTTAAAGGAAAGGATGAGAGCTTTGGAGTGGGGGTAGGGAAAAAAACGACAATCTGTCCTTGAGTGACTTTGCTCGAGTACGGGTCACATCAAAGCCCTGTTTTCAATGAAAATATTCTGTTGGATAAACACTGCAATGTGCCGTGCAGTTTGTTAATGACTAAAGGAATGAGATAACAAATCAGCAGTTACTGACTCTTTTTTTCATTTTCCAACCAAACATATTGGTTAACACTAAGAGAGAGAAATGGATGCATGAAACAGATTGGTTAAGATTAGATTCATTTGTGAAAACATTACAACTTCTAGCTTATATAAGAAATCATGCTGGTAAAGGGCAAAGTGGAATATACTGTAGTAAAATTAGATGTTTTTCAAGCCTAGTTTCCTAAAGTATTCTACCTTAACTTTAATGGAATAAACAAACAGTATTTACCATATCCCACTGGCAGGGCGTTATATTTTATTTGGATGCATTTTTAAACACTTTGGCCTGATATATCTCTCTAACTGTACCAGGCACTTAAACATGCAGACAGTAATGTGGGCAGTAAACACAAACTGAAAGGAATTGATTGAGTTTGACTATATCAGTAACTCACACACACTCACAAATACACATAGACACACAGATTCAACTACACAACCGCACACACACAAACATTCTTTGATCTTCCCTCAAACATCCCGGTCTTGTTCTCTCAAGGAGAAGTGAGGGCCTCTCATTTGCATACACGCTTACTTATTTTCCTTCTTTTTTGATACCTTTTCCCTTTGAATTTGATGCAAGTAAACTGACAACTAAATTGAAGTTGCAGTATTCCCTCTTTTTCTTTATTCTCATTTTAATAAATACCCGCAGCAGAAGATGATTAATAACTTATTTTCAAAGGGTGCCAATCTATGTGCTTTGTCAGGTCATTGAGAAACTGAAAAACAAACACACACTTTTCTCAAAATACATATATAATTTGATTTATTCTATTACCTTCAAACATTTCTTTTAAGATATTGAAGGAAACGTGAAATTCAACAGAGGGTTAAAAAAAAATAAAAAGGAAACTATAAATGCAGTAAACATTATTTAAATGATGGTGATCATTAAGGGCCCGGCTGTTTGTCAAGTAGGCTGCTAATGCAGTGTGTCCATTCATTTTCCGGGGGGTTGTCACGGCATCCAGTGTCATCTCCATTTGTCTCATATGCATTGTAATCTTTGTTCATCTTCATGTAATTAATGCTGCTGCATTGTTCTGTCAGTGTAAAATGAATTGCCATTACTAATGAAGAGCATCAGTGTAGAGTTGGGCTCCCTCTTAAGCGCAGCCAAAGCGTCAGTGACCCCCTTGACATTGGGGGTGATAGTAAGCATTGTGAAAAGGGAGAAATTAAGGATGGTTAATGTGATTATGCAGATTAGCACGCCCAATTACTTTTTTTGTGAAGAGAATTCAAAATGTTGACTTTTGACCTCATCACTCGACAAGAAGAGAGACCTCTTACTCCAAATATAACAGCGTTAAGTAGTGCCAGTCGCCATGCAAGGAAAGAGCCACAATCTATGGCTGCTCCATATTCCATTACATGGCCACAGCATAATGCTCCTAAATGGATTAGTGACTGGAGTGCACAGCAGTGCTGATAATATTGTAGCATGAGCAGCACAATATGCAGTGGAAATTGGAGCGAGCCAAAAAACACAAAAAGTCTCACGACTACCCCACCCGACTAAAAGTCACTTACTTCTGGACATTCCTTGAGATAAATAGCAGAAGGATTTGGGAGGAGAACATGGTGGGCTTTTTTGGAAGGTGAGGGGTGTTAAGTTGCGGGAACCAGCACATGAAGGGAAGTGTAGAAACAGCAGCTTGCTTGCTTTGCAATGGCTGGAATGGAGCAGCTCACTGTGTCACTTCGCATCACTCACACTCCTAAACCCCCCTAAATCCCCCTCACACCTCCCTTCCCAAGAGCCCCCAGGTCAGGGCTCTGCTCTTGTATAATTGCCTTTTTTAGAGCGGCGCCATTCTAAATGTTCACCTAACAACACAGCACAACAAGAGAATTAAAGATTACAGTATTGCAGTATTTTTGATCTGATCAAACTAGTTCATAGCTTTTCTCTCATCAATATTTGAATTGAGGATGGTGCTGAAAGTAATAAAGTTCAAATGTTAAAAATAATAATATATAGTAATGATTTAGGTAATGACAAACAACTTTCCTCAAAGGGATACTTCCTTTCAGAGATTGATTTTCCCACTAACAAATGATCCAGCATTAAATTATCCTCTTGTTCTCGTTGGTAACAGCTGAAAGCAAATGTACTTTTAATTATCTTCAATGAGAAGTAAAAGGCATGTTTTCAACATTTCAAGCATTCCATTGATTCCAAGACTAAAAAAGACAGTTGAGTTTCTTGTCCTGTCTTTCATCATCAAACACGTATACTTTTCATCTTGTGTCGTTCTTAACTGATTTAACTAGCTATTAAAAATAATTGATGCCTTCAAATGTTTTTCTGTGGCTTCAGTCAGCAGCATTGGTCCTATTGGTGTGTGTATCATGACCCTTGCAATAATTAATACAGTTTGTGTGGGTGTTTGCTACCGGCTGCTATAGTAAATAATCAGTCAGCCCTGCTCGACAAACCTAGCTGTTTCTGAGCTCTGGCCTGGTCCAATCACGTGCCTATAACATCACCCGTCAATACATGTTTGTGTGTGTGACATTCACCATGTTCTGCACAAGCTTCCTCACCACTAAAACACAACTTCCATTGTTATGTAAGCAACATTTTCTCACTCATAAATGCTGTATTGTGTGACTTTTACATTTTGAACTTGTGTCCTGTGTGCTTCACTAATGAACCTTCTGTCCTCTCTTACGCTGTGTGCAATTTCTCTCTCCATTTTTTGGCGAGCAGGTATGATGAGTCATCCTCCCATCCCTATCTCAGAGCTGGCTGAACACACAGAAGTTCTCAAGGCCAACGACAACCTCAAGCTCTCCCAGGAATATGAGGTGAGTGAGCCAAAGCTCAAAGTTTTTCTTCTGAGTATTGATTTCTGCCTGATTGTGTTTTCATTGGAACGGGACACAATAGTACTTTTTTTCCTCCAGGGAAATGGCTGTTTTGTTGTTTTTTCCTGCTTGTCCACAATGCTGTAATAATGAACTATCAGTTGTTGTCAGCCACCTATTTCCTCAGATACATTGGCAGCCTTAACATGGCAAAGCAATGCATTTGTCATTTTCAATTATATAAAATTCCCCTTGGCGGGGGACTAAAATATGTGTTGGTATAACACTGAAAAACAAGTAATTTTATCGGAAAAACAAATGTATTTGCTTAATAATAAAAATCATGCGGTCATGCATTCAACCATGAAACAAGGGGGAAAAAAGAAGGTAAATATTTCTGCTGCAAAATGAAAAACTCTCCTTGTGACATCCAAAATGGATGTGCTTACAAGCCAATTTGATAACTGCTTTCAGGAGAGAACATTAGAATGACTGAGAAATCAGGGGCTTAAAAACATGAAATCTTTTTGATGAATTAAATCCTAAATATTTTAAACATTTACTTAAGAAAGCGTGATAACGTAATGGCTCTACTCTGGACTAAGCAAAGATGTTTGTTCTTTCAAAATGTGGGTAGAGTGTGGTGTATGCACAACTCCATCTGTTTTTTGGGGTAAAGCTAACTGATTGTCAGGCTTGAACATAGTACTTGTGTGTGTGTGTGTGTGTGTGTGTGTGTGTGTGTGTGTGTGTGTGTGTGTGTGTGTGTGTGTGTGTGTGTGTGTGTGTGTGTGTGTGTGTGTGTGGTGTGTGTGTGTGTGTGTGTGTGTGTGTGTGTGTGTGTGTGTGTGTGTGTGTGTGTGTGTGTGTGTGTGTGTGTGTGTGTGTGTGTGTGTGTGATAACTGAGCTGTCTGAGCTCTGAGCGCGCGGTGGTTATAAATGACACCAGAGTTGATTAGAAATCAGGAGTGCTGAATCAGCTCTCGTTTGCATACAAGCAATATCCCCTCTCCGCCATTCCTAAATCACCGCGCCTGTCGCCTCGCTGCACGCCAGGCTAAGGTAGGAAGCAGGTACCCAGGCATAGATTGCTGTCATCATGCCTGCCGGGGGAATGTTTGTGGATAATGACTTCTCATAGCAATCCAGTATTTCTCGGGTATCTATTATTCATAAATCTACATCCGGGCTATGTACCAAGTGGACAAGCTTGTTCCATTCGCTGGAAAGAGAGACGTGATGCCAAAGTTGACGCTTTGCTACAACTACAACTTCTAATTACTTGGCTTTGAGGGAACATTAAACCGCCCGTTCCTCTTTTCTCCCACTCTGTCTTTTTCACTCTCTCTTTCCCGCTTCCCCTTCACAAAACCACCCCCCAGGAAAAATAAATGACCAAATTAAATAGAGAAGTGTAATTTTAATTTTGTTATTTTCTTGATGAATGGCTGCTCGTCCGGGCGCCCTGGCTTGCCAAGCGCAGCTCTACGGGGCTTTGACTGATTGGTTTTTAGCCAGCCGGGATGTGAGGGTGGAGGAAAAATGAAGAGAAGAGGGGAGAGAGTTGAGGTGGGGAGGCTTGGTTAATGATGAGGATTCAGCGAGGGAAAAGAGAGAGAGAGCGGGGCATCTCAGCTGGAGAGTGGAGATGAAGAGGAGATAATCTGACATAGAAACGGCAATGAAAAGGCAGCCACAGTTTTACTGACGATACTGAAGCCATAGAGTGTATTATCTATCTTCTGTCAGGCAGTAAGCAGCAATGTCCTGCAAAGCTGGCCTTCTTAACAAGGAGCCGTCCCTCAACTACAAAAACACCAGGTCATGAAACATAAGAGGGAGAAGTTTTAGCTGTTGCTGAATTTTTGTCTGGACTTTTGCCATACACAAGTCCTAAATCGAATTGATGATAAAATGATTAAAGTTTGGTCGACACAGATGTGGTTTTAAAATGTTTGAGTTGATCGATGTTTCAGGGAAGTGACCCCAATCTTTATACAAACACACACATGCTCACATAGCCTGCCTTAAGGTAATCTCCAAAGAAAGGAAAAATAGCTGGAGGGGGCTGCTATAGAGGGAGTTTAAACATCAGAGGGGAGACAGGAGATCGAGAAAAGAGATAAAGAGAAAGTAAGAGAGAAGACTTTGAAGATTGAGAGACGAAGATAAGGAAAACAGGGACAAAGAAAGAGGGATAGAGATGAGGGGGCAGAAATAAAGACAGAAACAGATGGAGTGAGGCTAAACAGAGGGAAGCTCTGATTGCTGTAACGATTGCATGGAAATTGTTAGATCAGCTTTCCAGTTGGACTTCATTCAGTCTCTCTCCGCAGCCCCCCACCCTACATTCTGAAGCCCTAACTGCAAATAACCTTCAAGCCTCCGTCCCCACACCAACAGAGCGGCAGACGCCAATGAGCAAACATCAGATCGTAATGGAATACTTAATTATCCTGACAAGGAAACAGAATATTTAACTGGAGTTCTTGTATTTTAAACAGGCAGCTGAATATATCTTTACCCGAGCGCCAGGCTCGTTGTAAGCCCTCGCCTCGAGGGGGAGATCTGCCGCCTTCATCAATATTGTTGTTTGTCATTATGCACACGCTACATTAATGATCTTGATAAAGTACCGTGTGCAGATGCTGCCAATGAGCAGATTTTCATGATACCAAGTTCCTTTTCCCTTTCGGGAAATCACACTCTTAATCTCTCTCCCTCACCCTCCCTTTCTTATTTCTTTGATAACATTCAGGTTTTATTGTTATTGCTCAGCTCCTCCCATAGCTCCTCTGATTTTCTTATTGGTGTGTGCTTGTTTTGCCTGTCTCTGCCCCCCCCCCCCCCCCCCCCCCCCCCCGTCAGTCTATCGATCCAGGCCAGCAGTTCACCTGGGAACATTCCAACCTGGAGGTGAACAAGCCCAAAAATCGCTACGCCAACGTCATCGCCTACGACCACTCCCGCGTCATCCTGGCCCCCATCGACGGTAAGGCACACCCATCCTCACACTCTGCATCTACACCACACGGAAGATGAGATCATTTGGGAAATCCTCATAATTACAGAGTCAGTTTGAGTTATTAGGAATTTATACTGGATAGACCGGATGGGGTTAGACAGAGAAGACTAAACTAGAACAGTGCATGGCAGTGCAGAACAGAATACATTAAATACAATGAAGTCCTTAAAATAGGAGAACAAAAATCGAGAATGGACAGGATTACACAATTATTGTCTTAAGACAATGCAGTAACATGAAACGAAACCGAATAAGACATTTAAAATAGGATTTAGTCATTTATAGTGAGGTTCAGATTTAGTTCAGCAGAAACCAATTGAATTTACAGAACAAAACTGTATGTTCAGTAAATCCTGTTATTTGTGAGGGGTTGGTAAGGACTTGTTTTAGCTCATCTATGGACCCAGCACCCTGTCAGAACTCAGAGTGACCAAGGAATTCAACCAGTGTTTCACCGTCCCATTTGTCTCTTCAGATCCGCCCCCCTCTCATGACTTCCCTCTAACTGCCCACAGACACAGTGCTGAGTATCTGGGAGCCAGAAAAGCTCCTCCTCTGACTCCTAAATCTCATTGGACATTGTCAGAGGTAGTCACCCTTCGCCGCTGACATTGTGCTGGCGTTGCATCACCAAAAGAGACTCCTCAGAGGAGTGCCAAACTCTCTACTCCAGTACTCTCCTTTTGTGCGAGATAACTGCTCGGACTACATGTCGACATCTCGCAATAGTCAGGCCAATTTGAGGGTGCAACAACATGCATAACAAAATTATCCCAGGGAAAAAAAGCCTCGTCCATAAATACATAAATTAATCAAGTCTGAAATTTCTATTTTACACTGCAGTGATTTTGCCATTAGTCGCAGCAGTAGAACAATTCATGCACGCTACCATTCTCTGTTCATTTAGCTATGACTAAAGCCAAGCCACTACAGACGTGGTATCCGTTTTAATGACATTTGCCTTTCTTTAGCTTTCTTTCTTTTTTTCCTCTTCTCCATTCTTTGTTCTCAATGTCTCTCACTCTCTCTCTCTCTATATATATATATATATATATATATATATATATATATATATATATATTTCTCTCTCTATCTTTCCCTCTCTCTCTCTCTCTATCTCATTCTTCCTCTCGACCCTGGTTGTTGTCCACACTGCGTCTCTTCTCTTAAATGAGCCCAGTCAAGTGTTTCATTGTTTGTCGCTTGAGTGAGTCACGTCACTCAAAGAGAGACGTGACTCTTCAACACGGATGCCTCCACACTCCAGTCTCTTCTCAAGTGTTGGTGAAAGGTTGTGATGTTCTGTCTTATCACTGTCAGATGCTCAGCGTTAGACATACTCTAATCGCAGATTACAGAAGCAAGCTTTTTGCGATCGAGCTTACAAGTGCCATATACACCACCCTCGTCATTATGTCTCCAGTACACATCCGTCTACCCCAAAACGTGGAGGCGTTCCTCCTTAGGGCTAGATTTAGTGGACTGATGTGCAACAGAGCATGGTGGCGGGATGAGAAGGATGGTAGCTGGATCTACCTCCTGGCTGTGGTGGCTGAGAGGCTGATTTACTCCTCGCTATCCTCCATCTACAAGCATACTCTGTCTGTGGTGGCGGTAAATCACATGTAGGCTGTACAGAAACCGAGGCAGAACCACAGGGGCAGAATAAGAAAATGAGAAAAGAGCAGTACAGGAAGTTGTGAATCTGAGGCAGTTGCTGCATTGAAATCCATTCAAATGGAAAAACAACTGAGGGTTCCTTCAGCTCTGCTGTAGCAAAGGGGGGAGAGGGGTTATGAGAGGTTATTTTAGTAATATAGTATGGTAGTATACTTAGTAGAATATATTAAGTCCCAAAAGTTGACACTGCCACTGTGCTCTGGATAATTCAATATATCTACAGATCTCCAATTTTCACTTCTTTTAACAATAGAGGTGTAAGAACTAAGCAATTAACTTCTTTCCTTTTTTTCCTTTCTGCAATCTTTACACCTTCATTGATTGGGACACAGGGTTAGTGTGTGATAACTGTGAATTGTCGAGGCAGATGGCACAAAACAAAGGGGTGCGAATAATGAGGAAAGTAAAACAATGAAAGAATCAGAGAGATTAAGGCAAGGTGTGGATTAAAAGTGAAAAAAGCCTACAAAACAGATTGATCTATCTCTTACTGTATATATATATTCTCTGTTGTTTTTATCTAGGTATCACAGGGAGCGACTATATCAATTCCAACTACATTGATGGCTACAGGAAGCAGAACGCCTACATCGCCACCCAGGGTCCTTTGCCAGAGACGTTCGGGGACTTCTGGAGGATGGTGTGGGAGCAGAGAGCCGCCACTGTGGTCATGATGACCCGGCTGGAGGAGAAGTCACGGGTAAGTCCCTGGTGGAGATTGGCTGGTCTATTTTTAAATCTCTTCAGCAGTGGCCTCACAAACTTAGAATTGTATATATAAAACCACAAATTGAAATCACTGGCCAAGGATATGAACCAGCTGCAGAGAAGGGCCCAGCTTTACAGGGATTTCCCAGTTTCACACACATTGGTAGGTCAAAATAATATATTATCTTGAGCTGGATTTCTTTCAGAGAAATGTAGAAATGTTAAGTGGTGAAAACAGCTGGGAGGGTTTAAAATAGACTTAATTCAAAGACGGACTACCTGTTCACATCTGATAAGCTAGGCTGCGTTTCCACTGGGAGTATCTTGGCTCTCATTTCTCTCTTTATTTGCAGTGAAAAACAACAAGCTGTTACTTGTTCCCTTCAGTACTCAGAGCTTAGCAAGTTTTGCGCTCCGAGTGCACAAGGCAGGATGCTAAAATTAAATGTAAAGCAACAGAGTGCCTACACTATCTGTGACCATTGCTTTCCACAACCATCTGTTGATAGTGGAAGTTAGAGAAAAGTGCATTGAGAGTACAGCAGCTCAGTCCCAAATGGGAGCAATGAGATGTCATACAAGTTCATTATTTTAGTTTTTCTGTTCTGTTCATACTTTTATCTCCATGGAGAAGAGTATTTTTGGAAGTTTTACAGATGGAGTTTAGCCTGGTATCCTTGAGCTTGCAAAGACACTTTTCCCAAGATACCATAAGTCCAACCTAAACTAAACTGTAAAATAAATTGTAGACAATTTACTCTTGCTTACAATAGATCAAAATACGGAAGGCAACAGCAGCACTTGGAAATCGTTTAGGAAAATTGTCATCTGGCATTGTGAATCAGTAAAAACCAAGGTGGCACTGTTAGGGAAGTCTCTTACATATTTAACATTTGCTATCAAGGAGTGAACTTGTCTAAATGTCAAAAAGCCAGCTGCGATGATTCATCTTGTCAACTCCAACATGTGTCAACATCGGGCTCGCTCACCCCAGGTGTCTCCACTAATTTACCTCACTCTATCCCTGTTCAATTGTTTACCTATCCTCCATCCTGACTTGCGCGTTCCACTCCTGTCAAACGTGATCAGGATTAGTGGGCGGTAGAACTTGAGTGTCAGCTTGAGCAGGAAATGGGAGAGAAAGACGGAGAGCAGCGAGTGCATCTCCCTCACTAGCTGTCAAATCTCATCTGAAGTCCACTGGCTCGTCACACCCCATATTGAATGAATCTTTATTAAGGGACCTGACAGGGGAGGGATGGAGGAAGCTGGTGCTGTGTTTTAAGATATAATGTAGAACCAGTGGGGAAAAAGCCAATCAAAAGTAAAATTGAGATACTTATCCAGAATTTTACTACAAATTAAACTCCTTCTGAAGCATTTACAAGAATACATTATTGTATGTAAAGTTCTGAAATGATGACCCTGTATTTGTGTGTTTGTTTTGACAGATCCTAAATCTAAATGTAATTGTTAAGGTATAATGTGTCCTAAATGTTTAACATGTACAAGACGTACGGAAAGACGCTTGCAGGATTTGTATAAGATGGGTGAAGTTAAGCTATTATAGTTGAGTTGCTGTGACAGTCTGGTTCCATCTGTTCAGTCTGCAAAGCGTTATTTCTCAGCTTTGAAATAGAGAAGAGTTACCTTGGTGTTTCTGTCAACACCGTCTTGAGTTTTAATCCCCAGGAGGGCTGTCTTAATGAGTGGTGCGTGTGTGAATGCAATTATGTCAGATCGAGAATGTTTGGATTTTTTCTTTAATTCTCCATTCGTGTGTGTGATCTTTTTAACACTGGAAACACCATTTATTGGAATGTAACATGCCTCTTTCCCTTGCTCTCATTTCCAGATTAAGTGTGACCAGTACTGGCCCAGTCGTGCCACAGAGACCTATGGTATGACCCAAGTCACCCTGTTGGACACCATAGAGTTGGCCACTTTCTGTGTCCGCACTTTCTCCTTGCACAAGGTAAGATTATTTCTCTCTCTCTCTCTCTCTCTCTCTCACAGTACAAACTTTAGTACACAACCTCTTATTCACTAATACTGTAACAAACTAGCAAGGACATAGAGATAATTCTAGAGTGGACGGTTTCTTATGCAGGACCACAAATAACAACATCCTTATTCAACAGGGATAGTTTATTGATAGGACACACATTGTAAAAACGAGACACAAAGTTTGCAAAGGGAACTCAAATGTTTGTATCAACCGTGTGCTGATTTTACATTGAATGTCAAGGTACATACTCTAAAACACTTATTTCGCATTGCCCTTCCAATCCACTCCTTTTACCTCGTTCAGCTCTCTCTCCTACAATAGATCATCTGTTTATGTGTGTCTGCCAAATTGAAGCACTTAGGTAAAGTGAGCAGAAGATAAACTCAATATACATAATTGGCAGACTGCTTTCATGCTCCTATGCCCACACACACTCACACAAAGACACGTTTTCACACTGAAACGCACATGAATTTAAAAAAAGACACTCACACTTAGACACACCAGCTCATTTACATGCAAACTCACTCTTACCGACTCACACACCTTATGTTCAAACACAATTGTTGTAAAAAAAGACCTGTGAGAAGACATAAAGCTAAAAACCTGCCATTGGACAGATTAGACGTTTCCAAAAGATAGCTCCCCCATAATGTCACAGCTGAGATGTTTGCTTCGTAGGAGTGCAAACAGAACACACACCAGGACAAACCAGTGACATAAATACAGCAGCATTTCAGCAGCCACTGTGCTTTAAAGCTTGCCAGTTGACATTCAGGGCCATTTACATTCTGCTGCTCTCAGCCTCTATCAAACTTCAGGATAGGGTTATTTTTCTATCCATTGTCTCCCCCCTCCTTATAACTGTAGCAATTGCTGTGATTTTTCACTGAGCTGTTTTCACTTTATATCTCTGAGAAAAAAGGCTGTGCTGAATCTGTGTTTACGAATAAGGTAGCAGAAGCTGGCAGTACACACACAAACACACACACACAAATAAACACACACTGCATCTACAGAGCAGTCACCATGGTATCTTTGCATATGTATGTGTGTCCTGCAGTGATGCAGAATTGTGTCCACTGATAAATCCTTAACAAAATAATTACATTTAAATAAAACCAGCAGCCAAGCACCAGGCACATCCATGCATTCTGTCTGAACTGCAGAAACAGGGAATGTCCAAAAGAAAATAAAGGAAAAAAAGATTTAGGCCAGTTTGCTTTTAATGACCACTCTCATTTATTCATTTATTCAGCAAGGAAAACATTCCCTCTGTCAGGGAAGCAGAAACACCGCATTGAAATGCAAACAGTCTCCATTAGAGGAGCTTCTGAGAGGAAAGAGAGGAGTGGAGGACAGAAAGATGCAAGGGAGATTTTTTCTCTCTCTTCTCATCCTTCTTAAAAACCTTCCTCTGGATCCAAGCTTGTATCTTTGATGCGTCGAGCGTTGAGTTTGAGGCGGGAGCTGACAGACGGCTGTGTTATGTGGGGGTTGCTGCATGTATCTGTAGATGTTCAGAGCAGCAATGTGAGAGCAAGAAGGTACTATATCTGTACTGTTAGGTATATAAATGATCGCATTCATTAAACTATGATGTATCCATCCGATCAGCTCCATATGTATGAAAGTGTTTCCCTAAAGGAAAACTATTCCCTTTTAAGCTGCACCAAAAATATTTTTTTCCATTTTGAAACTATAATCCCCTTTTAAAGTAGAAGTATAGATAGCATATGAGAGATGGTTCCTCTATAAAGGTTAGAATTTGAGATTGAGCAGTTTCTCTCTTAAGCCCCTGTCACACTGTCCCGAAATTGACACCAGATGGACACACGATAAAGGAAATGTTCAAATTCGGCTCTGATCGTAACAACATCGGGCCATTCATGAGGGCATCTTAAGCCATCGTATGACCGCCGGTGGAGTTTCTCAGGCTCCGGCAGCAACTTCGTGAGCGGTGGCAAAATCTTTGGCATGCCAAAAAATTGCCAAAGGACCTTGCGAAGGTTCATTTTCGTGTTGAATTCGTGTGTCCATTTTGCCCTTCGTAAGGCACTCGTGAGGGCATCTTGTCAAATCGTGTCATCTTCGTCTTTACTTCGTGTGATCATCGGTGCCATCGGGCATTTTTCACCTCACGAAGACAATACGAAGGAAACAAGAAGCTACCCGATTGTCTTAGGAAGGCAACACGACTACGTGAAGCCCCCGCAATGCCGTCGTGTAGCCATCGTATTATAGTACGATGACATCGAGATTGCATTTATTTCACAACAAAATCATGTAAACATATTATTTAAATAACCCAATTTGTGTTCTGTGAAACTGAAAAGGATATTACATTGTTTTTGTTACTTTCGTTGCAGTTGTATGTCTTAAATGTAATTTAGGTTAACTTCCTGTTTTATTTAGATGCTTTTATTTTGAAGGCGAGTTTACGCTGTTGACAGGAAGTTGTTGTTGCTATGGAAACAACATGACGGAGATAAGTAATATCTTCTAATCTACATGTAAAGACGGAGAAAGTAAAGAATAAAGTGTATGTTTAAATGTTAGCACCCCACGAAGAGGCACAAGGTCTTACGTTGAGTCTGGATACATTCTAAATCATCAGTAAAGTCTACGACCATATTTTCGTGTGTGGTTCGGGTGCCATCGTGTGGCCTTCTGTAGGCATCGTACTTGCTTCGGCTGTTGCTTGGCTGTTGACCAAGTTCGGGGCCATCTTCGTGCGAAATTCACAATTCCATATTCGTGTGTCCATCTGGTGTCAATTTCGGGACAGTGTGACAGGGGCTTTAATCAAACGTAAGATTCAGTGAAAGGTATTGCTTAGTGCACAGTTTCCATTTCAACACACACCTGTCAAGCTTCTTAGTTGGCAGTTGCACATACCAATACTAGAAAAGGTTTTGCAAACCAAGAAATCTGTCAGGTTACACATGCTAATCCTATTTTCCATGTAGGAGATATTAAGGCTTGAGTTGAAGATATTTTTTTTTCAAGGCAGTGTATGTACTGTACCGGACTGAATTCATGCTTTGAGTCAGACTACCGCAGTGAATAGTTAACCCTCCTGTTGTGTTCGGGTCAAATCTGACCGATTTACTACTTTCATCAATCATAACTTTTTTGTTTTACATTCAATTGCATTAAGGCTTTATGATATCCTTCACAGTAGACATTTGAACATATACAATTGCTGATCGACACTTTCATTGAATTTTTGATGATTTAGTCAACTTTGTAACACTGACCGCCATAAAGAAATGGAAATAATAGATAGATGAGTGATTCTACAATTTAGGGTACATTCCATGTCCATTGATGTCCATTGATGATAATTATAATTATTCCAACTATTTTCTTCAAAAATATCATATTTTGCCTATTATTGGAAAGCATGTTATAATATCACACAAACAGTATGTGCATCCTATGCTTTATTTACCTTGAAATGTGTCATGATGTTCTTAAATTGTCAGTTTTTGCTCTGTCCGTTTTTCAGTTGAGGGTGTCTTGGTTTCAAAATAATGAATAAAAACCATTAAAGTAAATAAAAAAAAGTATTCATTTATTTCAAAAGTCTAAATACTAAAGAATAATAACATATTTTTAATTGATTTCCTCCTTTAAATAATTTAAATATCTTAATATATGAATGTCCGCAAAAGTTCTGTCAACTATGTTACTAACAGAACTCCCCCATTTAACTCAAAAATGGTTTGTCCCAATACCATGTCACCAGCATCACATGATGCCATGTTCCTCTTTGGCAGACATTTTGAACACACTGTGGTGATTGTCCTCTAATTTTTTACAATATTTTATGTATAATAGCACATTGTCAATGAGTATATTCATTGACCGTCAACAATGTTACGTACATTGTTATGGTTTACAATTGTTTAATGATTTTAATTCAATTATATGTTCAAATGTGATGTTAACCTGTTCAAGAAAATGACATGTGGTCATCCAGGCAAGGCCTACCATTGAAATGATGGGTCAAAATAGGGAAATTGTCAACTAGGTTACCTGTCAACTAAGTTACCCAGTACTGTAATAACTATAGTAACAGTTATTACATTTATATCAAATAAAATAAAAAAATGTTTAAGCTTTGCAACCAGTGGATATGTTACACTGAGGAATATACTAACTTGAACCACTGATTGTTCTATTGAGAAAGAACACTTTCTTTGTACTGTTTTGTTGATGTGAAATGCACCCTAAATTATAGAATCACTCAGATAAAACACAAACACCCACACACATACACTAGATGTGTCGTCCCCCCCCCCTTATGTGCCCATCCCCCCATGTGAATCACACCTGGCACACACAAACACACACACACACACACACACACACAGAACAATTTGATACATTTCCCGCTCTTACTGTATGTGCCCATCCCCCCACATGGATCACACCTGGCACACGCAATACATGTTCAGTGTCTATTCTTTGTATATTTACTGCAGTTGTTCATGTATAGGCCTACCATAGTCTGATACAATATTTACAGTTTGAAAGGGTGTTAAATTAAATTTGGTGATGATTAATGTTTTTGTGTTAATGCAGTTAAAACAGGACCGGTCAAATTTGACCGCGAGGGGGGGGGAAATGAACAAAACAGGAGGGTTAAATGGGCTCTGTGGGGGCAGACGATCCAGGCATCTAGTAGATGAGCTGGATTGAGGGCGAGTCGCTGTACCTATAAAGTTAATTACAGCTCTCATTGTACAATAACCCTTAAAATGCCCTGAACCATGTCTGTAACGCCCATGTTGCTAAGGAAACACTTTATTTGTGTTTATTTTTGTTGTGACACAAAGAAAATGAGTCGGTCAATGACTCCAAACAAAACTCCACCACCAAATCCAACCCCGCCTCGCTTTGTTATTTCCAGAATGGCTCGAGTGAGAAGCGGGAGGTTCGTCAGTTCCAGTTCACGGCGTGGCCTGACCACGGAGTACCAGAGTACCCCACCCCCTTCCTCGCCTTCCTCCGCAGAGTGAAGACCTGCAACCCGCCTGACGCAGGACCCATCATCGCTCACTGCAGGTCAGTAGCAACGTTTGGTTGGATAATGTACTCTTTTGATGCTCTGGGATCCAACATGTTTTTACATGTTTATGTAACTGGAATTGTCGTGGCCAACTGGGACAGTTGAATGTGCCCCTGTGGTAAGCTGAATGCCAATAAAGTCAAATGAACCCTGCACATGGAAGGTTTTTTCTCCGTGTTGCCCCGCCCATGTGGTATGCGTGTTTGTACTGTATGTCCATGAGCAAACAAAATGCAGAACTCCTCCATGACTGCTATTATACATTACATAACGCACATTATACAAACACATGCTCTCTTTCTTACAAGATCCCACATCCTTTCTTCCCTCCGTTGGTCACATCCTCTCGGTCACATCATCTTTCCTTTTAAGGCATCCCTTTTTTCTCTGCTTTTATTCTCTCTATCTTTGTCCTCTTTTTTTCTCCTCTCTGTGAAAAGCCTCAAAGTAATCCCTTTCCATCTTTCGTGCTTCTCCCTTTTTGCTCCTTAGCCCATCCTCCCTTTACAAGTGATATTTCTCAAATGGCTTATTCAAATTGAAACCTTCCTCTTTGTCAAGATAAGAAGACTTCAGTGAGTCCAAAGCACTACCCAATAGAACTGAAATGTGACAGCTTGCTTTGCTCCGTCTCCTTCCCTGTCCTCTTGTTGTTCTGTGTGTCATTTTCTTTTTTTCAGTATTCCTGCTCTTGCTTTCACTATATCTTCTCCCACTCATTTATATAAAATGCAATACCCAAGCAATCTACAAGCATTACTGGACATACATAATCTCTAATTCTTTCAATCCTTTATATATTCAAGCACTGATAATAGCTATACCTTACACACAAAGCACCTCCGATGACTGGATCTAAAAGCAGGGGTGAAAATCTATGAAACAAACCCTTTAAAATCTATAATTTATATTTCTTCTCATTTCTTCCCCTCCTCTTGTAGTGCGGGTGTTGGCCGAACAGGTTGCTTTATTGTTATCGATGCCATGCTTGAACGTATCAAGCACGAGAAGACGGTCGACATTTACGGCCATGTGACGCTGATGCGCTCGCAGCGGAACTACATGGTGCAGACGGAGGATCAGTACAGCTTCATTCACGACGCTCTGCTGGAGGCGGTCGCCTGCGGCAACACTGAAGTGGCTGCCCGGAGCCTTTACTCCTACATCCAGAAGCTGGCCCAGGTGGAGAGCGGCGAGCACGTCACTGGCATGGAGCTTGAGTTCAAGGTACAGGAAACATAGGAACTTACTTTATAACATTATGTCTATTTTTTAACTACATTTCTATAAGTGAAATACCAAGGTTTTATGACTTTTTCAGTATTAAGTGTATTTATTTTAACTATTATTGGTGTTTGACGTGTACATTACAGACATGTCGGATCACTGTCTGTATTAACCTTCACTCCATCCACTTACAGAACATAATAATGATTGTAAAATTAGGCCAGTGTTATCTTTCTTCGCCTCACACTTTTTAATTTGTTATTGTTATTTGCGGTGTGCCTATTTGTTGCTTTTAATAATGGACTTTTCATTAGATTAGGTTAATTTTGTATACTAAAATATAGTGGTTCTGTGTTTTCTGGCAAGAAACTATGAATCTAAATAGGAACACTGAGGGAAAGATACAAAAAAAGGCCTTTCAGATGAGTGAAGATACAGTTTACAAGAAATGTGTTTATCTCAGATAAACGTAGTAATGAGTTACATAAGAGGCAGGTTAGATGTTTCTTTCCGCTTGTTGCATACAAAGACACAATTAAAAAGGAGTGAACAATTTGTACAACACAGAAAGCGTAAAGATTACAAAAATATGAGATAAAGACACGTCTCCTGAAGTTGTAATACTTGTCAGCACCAGGTGTGTATAATATAGATTAAACATCCTTATTTACATGGCAGCTACTTGTCAATGTATGCTGTACATGCTCCCAAAGTAATAGGATCTCAGATGGTATAGAAAGCAAATCTCTTTTTTTTTCTTCTTGAGCCTCACTTCAATGACTTAATCACTTAGATACACACCATTTGAATTATTATATATAAGCCCTTCAATGTTGGGTCCCAATGTTCATTTTTGAGGATTTGTAATAATATGCTTAAGCAAAGAAATTGGGTTTAATCTAGCAGACACAAGACAAAGCATTTGGCTGGAACCAACATGGAATTAAGTTTAGTTTTGAGATAGAAAGCATGTACGCTTCCTTCGAGAAATACATGACAAAGTAGTAGGTGCGGAGAAACAGCCAGGTACAGTGTTTACATAGATCTCCATTAAAGATCTTAATCATCAGTGTATAAACTCACACCAGCTCGGGTGTTTCATTCAGTATCTGCTGACCTTGAATTGCACACTTGCTCACTCTGAAATCATCCATCATCCCATTGCCATTCACCAACACAGCCCCCCCCCCCCCCCCTCCCCAGTAATAACAGTACTGGTGTGTTACCTTTTTTTTTTTTTTTTTTTTTTCGTTGATGGAATCTCCATCGCCATCTGTAGCGGGGATAATGCTGAGCTGGCGTACAGAGTCAACTGGGGATTAATAGCATCCGTGCTACATTCAGGATACAAACGATAGGTCTGGTGAAGACGGGTGGGGAAGCTTTGTAATTAATACTTGATGATGACAAATGGAGGGAGATGGCAGGGCAAGTGGAGGGAGGAACGTTTGGCTAATGAACAAAGGAACGAGTGTATGCTAACTTGGCACTTAGGAAGTGATTCGACAAAATGCTGCACTATGGGGAAGGGTGGCAGAGCATTGTCATTCTCAGGTGGGAAACGGTGTCGCGCTGAGTTAAGCTGCGACTGGAGGGATTCACAGGAGTTCAGCACGGGGAATAAACAGAGGACAGGGACTTGCTATAAAGTTGTCAGACTGCTGATTTCTGGCATATGTGTGTAAATAATACAGCTTTTTGCGGGGAAAGATGGTTGCACAGGAGAATTTAGTGAACATAACACACATGTAGGAAAAGTATACAGCAACATACTAATTATATCTCAAATGTATAAGCTATAAGTGGGCTACTGGATTCTATTAGAAGTCCGAGGAAAGGAATGATTTGAACTTCAGCAGCAGAGTTTTCAATTGGGATCGAAATGCAAACAACAAGACAAGAGAAGAGGAACTGTTCTGTTTTTTTTAAATATTGTGAAGCGACATTTTCAAAGATCCTTTCTAGGGGTTGTGAGGTATTGTAGCTACATCATAAACATAATTAAACATTGATTGTTCAAGTGTTTGTTAAGGTTATGGCTTGGGCAGGTTGGGATTAGGAAAAACAAATTGCCCCGTTGTTGTTGTTACGTAAAACCCAAAACGTAAATGTCCCTTTTGCTTCCTTACCATTGAAGTGCAGATATACTGTGATTTAAATAAGGAACTGGCAACCGTGACCAGCAGTAGGTGCTTCTCTGGCCTGATAGATGACAGGTTGCCAGGTTTGGCTCCGTTCCCTGCACCCTCTGGTGTTTGGTGGTGTAGTGGAGAGCCTCTTTAGAGCTGCCAGGCCACCTCGAGCCTTTCCAGGTGCCTTTGTGAAACACAGATCAAAGGGAGGACGGTAGCAAGGGATGAAGGGAAGCAGGGAGAAAAAAGGGCTGGACGGACTCCAAGTGGCCACTGACACGGAGATACTGGTGCTATAGGGGATTTAGAGTGAAAGAGAGGACAACGTTCTAATGGGAGAAATAGCAAATTGGTAAGTTCGGCTGTGTACACACTGAGAAATGTGGAGGTACACTTTGACTTTGGACGACAATTGAGAGACAAGGAAGTAAATCTGCACTCCTGCCTACCTTTTATTAGGGTCAATTCAACCCATCTCTCCTCTCTCATCTGATGCTACTGGTGCCTACGATGCGCCAAGCCGTTTGCTGTTTGAAAGGGCCTCTAGACCATCTTATTAGAGTGTCTTCCATTTTCAGGCGAACGCTAACAAGCAAGCACACACACCCACACACACATGCATGCTTCATTGAGACATTGAAGCCAAAAGGTGGCGATCTTATTCCCCCTGAACAGCAGCTCCCGCTGAGGTCCATGTGACGGCGACGACGTAGCAGTACAGCTTGTTTTTGATCATTATGCAGTGTTTGTGTTTCTGAAGTTCCCTTTTTTTAGTCTACGTTTTATGCTCGCATACCACACTGCTGTTATCAAAGGCACTGGTGACCCACTTTTAGAAGAGTTTTTAGTTTCACACAGGCTTGATCCAGCGGCTTGTTACTCTGGGTGTGTGGTATATCTTTCGTTGTTGCTTTCTGACACTGCAAGACCCCATAAGTTACAAAACGTTTTTGAATTGCTTAAATATATACTTAATAAACAATGTTCCTTTGAAGTGGTGTCATTATATGCAAAGCAGATTACTTTCTGTCATTGATATTCTCCCTTTATCTGTCTCGCACCTGACCTCCCCTCCTGCCATATCTCCCTTATCTCTCCACCTTTTATCATCTTCTCCTACTCTTCCTTACTCTTTCAACTCTTTTCATGTCTCTTCTTTGCTCTTTGTAACTACCTCCACCATACCTTTCTTTTCATCTTCTTCCTCCTCCATAACTTTCATGCCACACTTTCTATGTAACACTTTTTTTTCTTTCTGTATTTTTCAACCTCACTTATTTCTGTGAATTCCTTTCCACCATTTCTTCATCTAATCCTCCGTCTTTCCTCTCCAGCGTTTGGCCAACTCCAAAGCCCACACGTCGCGCTTCATCAGTGCCAACCTTCCCTGTAACAAGTTCAAGAATCGGCTGGTGAACATCATGCCCTATGAGACCACGCGCGTCTGCCTTCAGCCAATCAGAGGCCTGGAAGGATCTGACTACATCAATTCCAGCTTCATCGATGGATACAGGTAGGAATAGGGGTGGGATGGCGGGAAACATGCCTGTTCTTATCCGTTGCCAGGAACATCTTTAATAATGCAAGACATACATTTAAAATGTTCCTTTGAGGTTTAACTTAAAGATACAATTGTGTAGAGAAGGTACGGTACATAAGGGAAATCAGGATATGATTTAGATTTCAAAGGAAGATACCTACTTCAAACTGCAAATGTAAATGCATTCCTATTGTTGTTTTCTAGATCCACATATAAAGTATAACTTGTTAACACGAGGACCAGAAACGTTGTTTTAAGCTTCTTCTTGCCCCTGTTGAACATGACTATTTGATTGAAATTATTATTTAATTTTTTTATGTTTGTTTTTTTCTCTTTGTTATAATCATTATTATAAGAAAAATATATATATATTATTATTATTGTTGTATGTTTTGTTTCTGACATTTTAAAAAAATGGACTAAAAAATATTAGCTATCACTCGAGAATATTTTAACTATCAGTTTTGTACCAAGAAATTGGTACAAAGTAATTCTACAAGCTGAACATAAATGATTTTGATATGCTTTTGCTGTATTCAGGCAACAGAAGGCATACATCGCCACGCAGGGCCCTCTGGCAGAGACTACAGAAGACTTCTGGAGAATGCTCTGGGAGAACAACTCTACTATCGTAGTCATGTTGACCAAACTGAGAGAGATGGGACGGGTAGGACATAACACACATCATTTCCAAATATTTGTTGTTGTGTTATTTCTCAACTTTTTTTATACAAGAAGTCAAAGGAAAAGGAAATGTAACAAATGCAATAATTAGTTGTCAAAATCTAAATTAACAAAGAGTTTTTCTTCCCAATTGCTCAAACAGGAAAAGTGTCACCAGTACTGGCCCGCAGAGCGCTCTGCCAGGTACCAATACTTCGTGGTCGATCCCATGGCAGAGTACAACATGCCCCAGTACATCCTCCGAGAGTTCAAGGTCACAGACGCAAGGGTAAGTCATACCTAACAGTGTTGGATTTTGAATGAGTGTGTATTCAGTAGGTTGCGATGTGGAAACAAGCCACACATTATGATCATCCGAAATTAAAGACAATCATAGTAATTACAGCATGAAACATTTGAAAAGGTCTATTGTTTGGTTTTATCGATGTAAACAGTAACACACTTGACTGAATTGTTGTCTGCAAACATAATCATCCTTTGTAAATGTTAAGCTCCCGTTATGAGTCCCTCAATTTCAAAGACCAAGGAGCTTTTTGGATTCTCGATCTTAGACTGACTTTCAATACAGGACCAGTGTTTGGTTAAAAAATAATCATACACAGGCAAACTTTATCAGCAGGCTCACAAGTTTAGAAGGAAACAAAATTATGCTATCATTTCCACAATTGCACTGGCGACCCACCCTTCACTGAAGTGTGAGAAATTTAGGAGACAAAGCAGGTTAAGGGAAAGTAGGTCACATAAATATCACAAGTAGATCATATTTATTTCCTTAAAATCCCCTAAAATGGCTCAGATATTAGTTAGTTGGGTTCCCACACAAAACAAGATATCACGATAACTTAATGTTGAAAGTAACTTCATTCACAAAATAATGAGAGTTCATAACCAGCCTGACTTTCTTCATCTGAACTGCTAATAACCTACTGCAGTAATCTTTTCACCTCAGGATTTCTTTTTTGGATCCAATTAGGTCAGACAGTTTGAAGCAGCAGCAGCAGAAGTGAAGCGAGGATAAAAAACCTGCTTCCTCTCTCTGTGCCAACAGGCTGACATATTCAATGATTTCCCGTGCGTTGTGGCAGCTAGTTAGCAGTCATCCTGTTGTTATTAAAAGTGAAACATATCATATCATTGCACACACACACACACACACACACATAACAACACAAACACATACACACACAGAGACACACACACCATACACTTTAATACAAACAACACACACTTTTCAGTGTGGAAATCAGACAGAAATGCTGTTTAAGCTGGTATGCCATCACCCCCGCATAAAGTAACACACGCACACATTTCTCTTTATACTTTATGCAGTGTGCAAAATATCTCTTTTAACAGGCCCACACACAAACACAGACACTTACACAGGCTTACTTCTCACAACATACCTTTTTCCATGCTGATTTTCTATATTTAGACACATCCTTGTATTTCCTATGTTTTTCAATTTAAATTCAAGGACACAGACATTGAGTTCACAGTTAAAACTCTGACAAATGCACACATGTGGCCTAATGCCCTGCCCAGTGCTGAAGTTATTCCGAGGATTCTTAAAGGAGGATAAAAAGCCAACAGACAGTCAAAGCTTATCATTGGAGTTAAAGGTGGGGTAGGTAAGTTTGAGAAACCGGCTCGAGATACACTTTTTGTTATATTCCATGGAATGCTCTTAACATCCCGATAGCAATGAATATCTTAAGAGCTTTGACAAAAAATCCATAAAAAAATTTCATCTGTGGAAGCCGTAGTACTGTAAAAAGCACGACCAATCATTTTAGCTGGCCCGGCTAAAATAACTGGATGGCCTACCTGCCTGTCAGCCTTCCATCTGTGCACAAACTTATCTCGTGCCCTCATTGGTCATGTGCGCGTTCGTGTGTGTTGGAGGGGCTCTGTAAGGAAGTGGCAGATTTTTTCCGGCTGTGTATTTTCAAATTCTAGCGCACTCGAGCTGGTTTCTCCAAAATGACCTACCCCACCTTTAAGGAAACAAAGGAAAGATAGTAAAGAGATGGTATATGGAGGGTTATGTCTCTGTAAAATATTAAGAAACATGTATGTGTTGATGTAAGTGTGTGTGTGTGTGTGTGTGGTGTGTGTGGTGTGTGTGTGTGTGTGTGTGTGTGTGTGTGTGTGTGTGTGTGTGTGTGTGTGTGTGTGTGTGTGTGTGTGTGTGTTTGTGTGTGTGTGTGTGTGTGTGTGTGTGTGTGTGTGTGTGTGTGTGTGTGTTGTGTGTGTGTGTGTGTGATTTTGCATGTATGTCCCATGCCCTGCGCAGTAATAGCATAGACTCCACGCTTCAACACTCACATCTAGCGAGCCAGTCACGTATTTAATCACACAATTTGACACGCCGCGTGGGCCCTCAGGTTGTGTGTTAAATTTTCCTCCCTTTTTTTCTTTCTTCTTTCTTTCTTTGGCATGCTTGCTTTATTGTGTTGTTGTCTTTGCCCCTTTTTCACTTTTAATCCCCCTGCTGAGGCAAAATGTTTATGAGATGAAAACAAAGGCAACGAAAGAGAAGAAACATGCGATGCGTCATAAAACAGGGAAAGACACGAGACGTTGGACAAAGAGAGTCTGCACACAGAGATTAATTTATGAGAATCCAAATCACTGTATTTGTAGAGCGCAATAAATGTACAAGAAATCATCTTGGCTGCATCAATGCAGAAACACACCAACAGCTTAAATAGCAACACGGTGCTTACCGCCGTGTGGGACAGCAGGACTTCCCACAGGAAGCACAAAGACTCAAAGGACAGATTAGGTAGACATCTGCATGCAGTATGCTTACATTAGAGCGGGGGTGGTTAGCTCGTGGCTAAAATGGATGAATTAGAACGTGGCAAAAGGCACCGTGACAACATGCATGATGAATATAGAAGCTACTTACATCAGCACCTACTTTTCTCCCAATATGCTCTATATCATTTTTGACACAGAAATATAGATCAAGAAAACTCTTTAGGTAAGCCATTGTTAGTTTTACAAGGTTATCATAATTAATCATTGTTTTAACCTTCTTTTACTGACACATTTTATTCTCCTCTGCATATACTATCCTGACATGATGTTATTTCTCACCTCAATTATCCATTAAGCTAGCTAGATGTAATGATACCTTATGAAACCTGAGTTTCAGTGTGGGCAGTAAGTAGTCTTTAGTGGATTTAATTATTTTTCATAATAGAAGTACACCACTCCATTTGTGTCATAGTTACCTGATCAAACATCTATATACGCAGACAGACACAACTGCTATAATATAAATGTACATTTAATCTTGTAATATAACTATAAATGTAAACGGTTCTCTCTTGGGTGTTTCTATGTCCAGTATCAGAGGTATTGTGGAGATGTTAGCCCCTTACACACTGCTTAGCTTTCGACTAGTATAAGGTTGTAGCGAATGAGATCCACATTGATTGTTACTTTCCTCACTGGCTCTGTGAATAAACGTAATTTGTTAATAATTATCACGCTACTTAAACAAGTGCTGATAATTTGCTTTAGGGGAAACATATTTCAGTTTTCCCAACAAAGTTATATCTGTTTCACACAGTTCACATTCTTGCATATATCATTGATTTGCTATTTCGACAAATTCCCCCTAAAGCTGATTTTAGATTTGTTTAATTCTACTAGCGGGATGACAATAGATAAAGGACAAACATATTCCTGTTTACTCACCAAATGAGTATTGATCAAATTAAGCCTTTTGCAAAGTGAGCACATGAGAGGCAAATGTGTGAGAGCTTGTCTAAACACAAGCATAGGGTAGTGTGCAAAAAGGGAGAAATGAACACCTGGTTGTATTAATTGCTGGTGGCTTCAAGCGCACAGCAGCGCGTCTCAAAATCTCTGAAATTGCTACTCTTTGCTTACTTGTGTAACAAATGTATTCACTCCAAACTACTTCTATAACAACTTTCTTTACAAGGACACAAATATCGACTGTGCATTCTCAAACTCCAAGATCAGCTCTCTTAAAACAAAGCAGATCAATTCACTTGTCCTATTGTGATGCCACCTCATTGTAAAAATGTATCTAAGGGTGTTTGTTTGCATTGGAAGCAAATGCAAGTGCACTGCCAACACAAGATTATAAGAATCAATATTAGATTAAATTGTTAAGATTGACATTTTGTCTAGCGGGTTTGTCAGCGTGTCAGGGTTTTTATTTTCAATTGTCAACGTCCAATCCCACCTCCTGCTCCGGTAGTCCTCCGTTCTTCTTACCTCCATCAATCAGGTCGCTGCATCGATCGCATCGCAGGATTATCCTATTCAACATGATGTCTGGGAGAAGACGCTTGTCATGGCTATGACACTATTGATTAGCTTTAACCAGGACCTACTCGTGCCACACATGCACACAAACACGCACACTCACACACACTTTGGTAGGGGAGAATATAGGGACAATAGGGTTGTAGGTAGAGGACACACGGTCCCCTTGTAGGGAGACGTTTGTACATGTATCCATATGTTATGTTACTGTTATAGAGAAAATAATCATCAGTTTACACTTTTAAAGGGACAATGAGTTAAGACGTTATCACCTTTTATCAATTATCAATCTGCATTATGGTCATAAAATGATCCAAAGAGTGTAGAGTGTAAAAAAACATGAACAAAGGTCCTCTCTAACCCAAAAAAGCTTTCTTTACATATTTGTTCCTCGCGTCTCTGCCTCCTATTCTTTGTTCGGCTATCTCTGTATTCTATTCTCACATTGTTTTTCTCTATTTTTGCAGGATGGTCAGTCCAGGACAGTAAGGCAGTTCCAGTTTACTGATTGGCCGGAACAAGGCGTGCCCAAATCCGGAGAGGGATTCATTGATTTTATTGGCCAGGTGCATAAAACCAAGGAGCAGTTTGGACAGGATGGACCCATCTCTGTTCACTGCAGGTAACAAACTCACTGTCATGTCGCGCTATATTTCTCTGCTTTGTATTAAAGTGACAACACACAAAAGGATAACACTTTTTTTAAAACATCATCAATTTGATTTCTTGAAAAGGGGGGCATCACATACCATTTTCCAGGTATTGCAACAAGTATGCTTGAAGGTAAACCCTACAGACACACTTTCCTTCTTGAAAGATATATAAGGCTTCAAATATCAAGACTAGATTAAATCACATTTTAAGATGGTTATTGTTTTAGCAACGTAGCCCCACCTGGGGGGGCAGCTCTTACAGCATTGTCACATCCTCCTCACCTCCGCAGTACACTATCTCTGCTGCTCCACAGGCTCTGCTCCTCCATAATTGATAAGGCTGAAATGCGGCTTGGCATTTGCAAAAAAGTAGGCACATGAAATGATACAGCCATTCTGTTTGATTTTTATGATAGCTCCGTGATGCATTTTTATCACATTGGCTGTAGCTTCCAAGGTAACCTTTATCATTAACTCAAGTACAAACCCATATTTGGAAGTGTTCAAAACCGAGGCTTTCTCTTATTCATGTTAGACCTGCAGTAGGATCCATCCGGATTTGTTTTTACCTTTTGTTCCCTGGAGTTGGATATCTTTGATAGACTTGTTTTTGTATGCTTTGCAAGACTGTTACAGAAAAGAAGGAAATGTCTATAATTCCTTGAACAAAAGCAGGTAGGTGTATGATTCATTATACAGCGGTTTTGTCATCGTCTGGCATTCAGAAAAAGCTTTTAGGATACAACAGTTTCTTTGAATGTGATCGTGTTGACAAAGGTGTGAACACACTGAATAATTTCCTTGCCGTCTCATAAACATGGGATACTTTGAAGGCTGATCAGGTGTCACTATGTCTCTTCGTTTTGTATCACAAAGGCGCCATGACATCATCAAGCATAACCTCACCTCCCCTGTATTAAAAAGCACTGATGTCACCAGCTATGAATAGGCCCCTTGGGAGTTGTGAGACGTGACAGGGAAGCTCCAATAAGTCTGAGTTATTCCTCCCTTCTGTGAATCCTAACAGTTACTGGAGGGGGGGGGGGGAGAGCTTGTTTTCAAGCAGAAAGGGTCTGTTATTGCAGGAAGAATTGCGGGACTGGAGGAACAAAATGACTGCAAGAGTCACATGACTAGGTTTTATTCAGCTGCCAAATGCACAGTTACGGCATCCTTCACACATCTCGGTGAACTCTGTTCGATTTTCAGAGCACTATAAGAGGATTAGCACACAACGCCTACAGCCCACAGTGGAGTAAATCATTAGAATGGCATGCTGTTAATCAGGTTCCTATGTCACCTGCAGTCATTTGAAATACTTGGCGGTCATTTTGTACTTTTTTTATATGTATATTTTTTACGAGTAGGTGTCACTTTGTCATTGGATTTTGGAAATGAGTTTCTCTTGAGTAGTGATGAAAAAAAAGAACTACGCTTTAGTTGGTTTCTTTGTCTGTTACTGCCATAGCCACCTCCTGCTCCTCCCTATTATCCTCCTCCTCTCCCTCCCCCCTCCTCCTTCAGGCTTTTCATCTTCAGAGCTTATGTCTTCTTTTTCTCTTACTTTCGTCTTCTGTCACTGGTCTTTCCCGTCTGTCATCCCTCTGTCTTTTTTTTTTTTAATCCTCTCCCTGGCTCTTCTCCTCCCCTCCATCTATCCTTTCTCCCGGCTCTCCTCCATCTATCCTTTCTCCCGGCTCTCCTCTCACACCCTCTGTTCTTCCACCTCCTCCACTCCCCTCCTCAGCCACTATCTAATAGACCCACATGCTTTTTGTCATTAATTGCCTGATTACTTCCTGTGAATGGGGACACCAAATCCTCTCAGTCTGCAGCGGCTCGGCGAGCCTTCAGATTTGGAGAGTCGATCTTCCTGGAGAGACACAGAGAGAGAGAGGAGCTCTGAGTGAGTTTAAGAGTCCATGTGACAAGCTGTGACCGACTCCCAGGAAGAGGCTTTGGGTGGGATGAGAGTTCCTGCGGTGTGGGGGTTGGAAGTGGGTGGGTGTGTGTGTGAAAAGGGTGGCCGTATGTTCTGCATGATTAGACTGAATAACTACTGTGTTCAGTATAACTTAGATTATATTTAAATAATGACTCATCTTTTGTCGTACGTCTAGGATTGTCTCCTAACAGACACGCACTTGCAGGCATGCCGTACGAAAACACACACACCAAAAGTGGCTGCTAGGAGCCATCACTTTCATTCTTCACACAACCAAATAGCATCGGAGGCTGGAAGAAGCCCAAATAAATCTGTTGTCATATCAATTATTGTTCCATTGGTGAAGTGGAAGTCATTTCACAGAAAAGCAGCTTAGAGAGGCAGCTCTCAAGTATTTCAGGATCCGAGTTAAGACTCAGTATTTCTGGAGAGCAGCAGAAGGCTGAGTTTCTCGACACATGGGAGGGGCTTAATGAGACAAAATGTTTGCTCGGTTGTTGTTGTGCCCGATTTGGAGTGCGTATGTGGGTCCTTGAAGGCTCATACTGTGTTCGACGAGAAGGTGGTCGCACATGAAAGTGGATTCACACATACACAGATTGCGTCCTTTCCATTGCTCACGTTGCGTTACCCTGCCGCACTGGATTGTTGGCTAGCAAGGTTTGAAGAAGAAGAAGGCATAAAGTCTTATCTTATTGTGGAAAACGGTATTTCGATTTCTCTGTCTGGACACACAAACTGGAAGATTGACGATAAAGTTGACTTTGACTTATCCTTGGTGTAAATAGAGTTTCAAAATGCTGCTCATTTACATCTACAACATGCCTATTAAGTCACTTTGCTTTTTAATGTTTCTAGTGCTGGCGTGGGCAGGACTGGAGTCTTCATCACCCTCAGCATCGTCCTTGAGAGAATGCGCTATGAAGGCGTGGTTGATATCTTCCAGACAGTGAAGATGCTCCGGACACAGAGGCCAGCCATGGTCCAGACTGAGGTGAGAGGAAGTAACTGATCTCTCATTATCATAGCAAACTCTTTAAACCACTATTTTATTCTAATGCATTTCTCTTGTACGTGTGTGTTCTTCCCCTACAGGATGAGTACCAATTCTGCTATCACGCAGCTCTGGAGTACTTAGGAAGCTTTGATCACTATGCAACGTAAAAGCCATCTCGACCCCCCAGAATCCTGTCGCCCCCACTCAACAGTCTCCTGAGCCATAGAAACTTTTGAAATTTGAAAAGATGACAGCAGACGACAACAACACCATAACTAATTCAGACACACTTGATCCTAATGTAGATTTTTAGAAGAGGCTGCCCAACCAACCAGTTGAGAATAATTCCAATTCGACTAAAGAAACCTTTTGTGAAGAATCAAGGGAAAATTGCCCATCATCAAGAAAAGGAAAATCGGAAGAAAAACCAGGTGCTGTGGCTCAAGCTGTGGGGAGGGATTTGATCAAAGTGTCAGACTGCTTACCTTACCTCAAGTGTTTCAATGTGGAGGATATTGTAAACATTGGTGGACATTTCTCTTCTCAAAAATATTCAACGGTACCAAGCATCAGTTCAGAAGAAGAAGAAGGCAACAGCAAAAATCTATGAAAGGCAGATGGATGTAGCCAAGATGGGGTGACTTTCTCGTTTTGTTTTTTTTTAGACATACCTGGGTGTCCAAATTGTATTTCTATCAATACATTTTGTGAGTGACATCCAGAGAAAATACATATTGTGGTTGCCTGTGTGAACACAAATGGTTTTCTCCAAACTCCGTTAAGACAAAAAAATATAAACAGTGGAAATGTCACTAGCAATGAGAACATTCCCATTTAGCAACGATCAACTTAACCATGAGTTTTTATACACTCAACTATTAAAGAATACATCAAATATCTCTGTTCTTAAGAGCTAGGAGTAGGCACTGTCAGTCGTTATGGGGAAGTAAGCAGCAACAAATACCGTAAAATCAGCTAGTTTCATGAATTGAGAATTTGTGTAAAACCAGTATCCCGCGCCAGGTAACCATAGTGATGTTCAAAAGAATCCCAGTGTATTTAAAAGTCCCCCAGGAGGCTCGTGTCTCAATCACCAGAGAACTCGGGGGGGGGGGGCTGTTGCTACACACTGTGGCTGGGTCACGGTGGGAGAAATGGCGAACGTGTACCATGGTTTTTTTACAATCACTCCACTCTTTGGAACCATTGCCTCATGGGGCTTCAGTGTTCAAATCCACCATTTTGAACGAGAGATAAATCTGCTGGGCGAGAAGCTTTGGAACAAACAGAACAACCAAACAAGGATTGCCACAGATTCTGGGCTTTCTTTGTGTACAGTGACCAATGCTCATCATCAATATTTCAAACTTTTTTTGTCTTATGAGGAATTAACTTTTTCTGTCAGAACCAAACATGCTGCTTATCTCGTGTATGCTGTAAGTGTGACTCTTGAGGGAGAGGAAACTGACGAACAAACGATGCCAGCTCTGCTAACCGCTAGCATCGAGGCGGGCATGCCTGAAAGCGCATCCACACGACAACATCGTCCACTGGTCTTTTCCACCTCTCCTTTTTCTTTCCCCCAGCCTCCTCTATAATCATCTATTTCATTGTATAAGACACTCAAGAGTGGCTGAGGCCTGTTGCAATTACACAGCTGTGCGTTCATGTGGTTGACAAAAAATTGGCCTTTAGTTCCAGTGTGTGTGTGTGTTTGGTAACAGGTGGATAAACAAAGTAGTTGCTTTGGTTTTGGTCCTCTGTTTTATAGACGATGTCTCTGTGGATGACACAGCCAGACCAGGCGGCCATGTTGGATCTCGACGCCATGATGTGATAATGAAATTCTTCGGTACAAGTTACTTGCACATCCCTAAAGAAAAGAAAAGAAAGTTGAAATGAAAACCCCAAAACAACTCCCTGTTGGATATGACGTATGTGTCTGATAAAAAAAAAATCAAGCTTTTGAGATCACCAGGTTATCATTTTGAAATCAGTGCTTTGGTACAGACGAGTGTACGGATTCTGTGGCGGTTTGTGATGGGTGTGCACAAAAACCAGAGCGATGGACAGAACTGTGTGTAATCTTTTCTTATTTCCAAAAAAGCCTTATTGTTAATGTAACATTATGAAAACATTACTGTTGTATTATGACGACTTATTTTACATTACATAGTAGACTCTTTATTTTCTTTTTTGTTTATTTTCATTTAGTTTTTTAACAGAGATGTTGTATCGCATTTGTTTAAATTAGCAAGAAAAGAAAAAAGCTTATTTGTTCATATTACGTTAAAAGACATTCTATTTTTTCACTGTAGGAATGTTAAGTATAACATGTCTGTGTGAACGTGTGCATATATGTATATATACTGCACACTCACACATGCATATATATTTAAATGCAGAATATAAAGATATATCCAAACACTTAGTATTAATTACATTTTCCTCCTCATCATCTTTTTTTATACCAGTGCTCAAATTATGAATTTTATTATTTTGTTTGTGTGTTTTTTGTAATCTCAGCAACATTGTGCGTTTGATGAGGGAAAGGGGGGGGTGTCAGTTCTTTGCCTGAATCCCCTGCCTCCACTCACCATGTTTCACTTCTACCCCCGGGTAGAACCTGTGCCGATGAGGATATGCCATTTTTAAACCTTTTTGAGATTCTTTATTATCATTACCTTGTAGGCATTAGTATTTTTTTTTTTAAACTGTTGAACGATACCTTGGTCTACGAAATATCAAATCAAGCAAAAGTTTCATAATTCAACTTTTGTCAGCTATATCAGCCTGACTTGACGTACTGTACCTTGTATGATCATGTACAGACTACGGCCCTCACAGATTTTAAGTAAATCCATTTATTTAAGTTCTTTCTCTGTTTTTACTTTCATTATTTTCCAACATACTGGCTCATTCATTTTGTTAGATATCCACTATGAACTAGAATATACCTGTAAATAAACAAATATATAGATTATATGTATTTGTATCATTTGACCCTCAAAATATCAAACTTTGAGTGGAAACGGAATCACAAAGATTGAGGTTCTGCTCATATACGACTTCCTGGTGTTTGTAAAGCCTGAAATGTTCTTTCTCCAGCCCTGCTCCCTGGTCTTTAATTACCACTCGCTTTATTTCTGCCTTTAATTTCCCATTCAAGCAGTTAAACCGGGAAACAAGCCAGCTCCAGTTCTCACACCTATAGCCTCAATGAGGGCACGCAATCAGCATCAGTGACCTGCTGGTATCATTTAGCCGAGGATGGGAAGTTAGTCCACTCGCTAGCCATTTGAAATGCTAATTGACCATCAATTCAAGGTCCTGTTACATTCTCATTGTCAATGTGGACATAAACGTCCTCCTGCCCTGGCATTAGCAAGGGTCTACTAGAGATAAGATGGACTTTTTCCTCTTTCCTTACAGCAACTGGAGAGGTTTTTAAAATGATTCTGTTTAAATAATTAGACCTCCAAAGACTCAAAGTCTAACAAAAAGGGAACACAAAGATGTAGCTTCCACTAATAAGAGAAACAGTGGACCCCCAAAGGTGTTTTTGCCTAAAAATCCTCAGAAGGTTCCCAGCTGTCCAACTGCCTAAAATGCCAAGGTGTTACCCATGAATATTTCATTGGCTGATGGACGAATGCAGCTGTGTTAAAGGCCATACATAGTTCAGTTGCAACATGACATGTTTTTTTCACCTTAGATAATTTTTAAGCATTGTATAGAACCATAATGTGTGTTTTTGTTCGGCCATATTTTGTTGTGGGATGCAGAAAGAAACCAGGACTCAGTGAAACAGAGCAGTGCGATGCAACTAAGGGAAGACCAAGACAACCAAAAACTTGCTGCAAATTCTGATTTCCAGCACGTCACTTCTGAACAGTGGGAACCTTGAGATGTTTCATAATGAACTAAAAACCTGAAGTGAAGTCTTTTTGGAACCCTAAAGGACTGGTTCAAATGGCCCAAATGCCAAAACTGAAACCGTGGACCGGAAATCTTTGGAAGCTTGTGCAATGTGTTACTCTTTTGACTTCATGTAAAGATGCTAGACTTTTGAAAACCGACGCCAAATTTACTGGAATATGTCACCGAATATTTGGGGGAGGGGAGGGGACTAACAAAAAAAAAAACTAACAAAAAATGACTTCAAAAAGAATAGAACATATACAGTACAAACCGAAAAATGAAAAATAACCCAAATTCAGCTAAATAGTTTTTCCTTTCTATGAGGGCCAAGAGCTATCACTTTCAAACTGTTACTTCTAACTGAAACAATAATTGGTTTAAAGCCACTGTGTATGTAGATATGTTGACTTTGTATTAAAGAAATGTTGTCTGAAAACCATTTGGCTGTGATTTGTGACTGATCAAGCATGATAAGGGATGATGCCATTCTTCTAGATATCTGTCGCAATGTCTGTTTGTCGGCGGTCGATCAGTGTGTATGTGCTAATAGCTGTAACATTTATTTAACTACAATATTTCAATGTTTCCATTATTTACTTTGTACATCAATCATTACACTGGAAACTGAACTGAAAAAGCTGTGTTACAACAGCTCAGAGGACAAGTGGTGTAGCGCACAGATGGCGCACTTCTGTTGATAGATGGCTTGATTATCTTCCTCCTATATTTGTCCACCGGCCTCTTCACAAGCATGTCCCGATGGGTCCCTAAGCCCCTCTTTAAGCTTGATAAATGTCACCGAGACACACTGATATTGGTGTAGAGGTAAACCTTCACCTGGTGGCATGTGCTCTCTCATCTATCTTCAGATGTTTGAAAACATCAACGTGTATGAAATGAAATGAAAATATTGGTACCATAATTGAGTTTGCGTAGCTTTTTACTACAGCTTGCAATGTGATGTAAGTACAAGGAGAAAAGAAAATTAACAGAGTAAGGGGGTTACGACTTTTAAATGTCTCTGTCATGTTTGGTTTTGCATGTTCACATTTTTTTTGAATGCATGCATGAGTTACTTTTTAATTGAAGTGCAACACAATTAAGAAAAAGGATTGATCAAATGTAAATAATACAGTGTAAGACCATGTTACGCAAGCTGTAACATGGAGTGGTTACTTGCTATCCCTTTTCACACATTAATTTCAGGGTATGGAGGCTGTTAAATAAAGCATCCTCTTGGTTAACGCTTTGGGTATGCAGGCTTTAATTAGAAAAAAGTACAAACAGTGCAACCTATTTCTGGAACCCACTAAGCTTGTGTGTTTGTGTTTGTTACCTATGTCTTCTGTTGTGCCTTCTAGTAAATACCCAGTAATTATTTCATTGGCACCCTACGTTTTTACATTTTAAAACTGTTACTTCATTTTTGTAATCTAAAGGGTTTTTCTAGCTTCAGATCTAAAGATTTAGACAAACAAATCTAGTCATAGACACTCTGGGGAAACATCTCAGTATTTCAACCCCTCTCTGCTTAGAACTCTCTGTTCATGAGTGTTTCATTGACACGTGTGCGAGCTGCAGAAGATGTGCCAACGAGCTCATTGTCACCTGAAACCACAATCTGTGAAAAGTGAGTAGTGTGAAAACAAACTGAGCCACATGAGGATTGTCATTTATTAAAGGCAATAATATATGCAGGATGACACCCGTTTGGAGGATGATGTCACTAATTGTCTGCTCGGAAAGCTGTGTTTCAGTCCATTCTTTTCTAATAGTGGTGAGCCAGCCGACCGAGTGTGAGGGCAGAAGTGAATTAGGGCGGTGATTATGCAGTGATTCAGACAGCAGCTCATTAGGACCTAGCTAAGCAAGCAATCAACGAATCGATGTGACAGTGGACCCAAAAGCCACAGAAATGTGTAATAAATGGCAAAGCGATAAATTGGATTATCCACAGCCCCGTGGCCAAGCTCTTTCTGTTGCAAATGACAAATCAATCCAATCACGCGATGAAAAAAGCCAAAAGAACCAGAAACAAGGGCCTCGAGTTGCACCGGCCCCTGAGGTTGTCTGTCTGAGATGTGCATTGTTGAGGGTGGGATTTCTACAGAGGTCATTTCTGTATGATATCCAGGCCTCTAAAATATTCATGCCAGACCATTAGGTGTTTATGACCCCCTTTTATAATAAGAGATTTACCGACAATTGAACTTCAGCCAGACTTGTGGAGGTGTCAGAGGGGTACCGCATGCCTACTGAGCAGCACTGCATTGAGATCTGGATGATGTAAATGAGAAGCCGAGGCACGATGATAAATAAATAAAATGCAGATACAGCAGGATCTTCTCTCACCGCAGGGTATTACAAGCACATGGGAGGGATTTACTCGACGGATAGATAGACAAATGGATATATAGATAGATGGATAGATGGATAGATAGATAACTAATACAGGTAAAAGAAAATACAGCAGCTAACATAAAAGTCTAACATTTATTTAGCATTTTTTTCCCTTCCAGAAGAGAACTCTTGAGCTGTTTTCTCAAAAGTCTTTGCTGCCCTCTGCAGGGTATTATATGCTTCTTCATCATAGTGTTAAACACACTGCCAGCCCTATTGCCGTTAAATTAAATTAGAGATGAATGTAGATGATGTATTGTGTTCTCCAGATGCTAATTACATCAGTGTGAGATATGCTTAGTAATGCTGTCTATCAGCAACCTACACATCAGATGTAATACAGTACAGTAACCAACACATGGAACCTGTGCATTTAGACAAATACTTATGGATTCGACCCCAACAAATGAAGCGCCTATCTACAGTGTATAAATCATACACAGTTTTGAGAAGTATCTTATATGCTGCAACCCCCCCCTCATCACCGCTGTTTGAGCATTTGCCATCAGTAAACTGTGACATGACTCCTGTGTTTATGCCCTGGCTCGTGCTGATATTTCCTATAATCTGTCTTGTGTTCCCCTCCATCCTCTCTGTCTCTGTGTTCCCAGACAGAGCTCTAGCACTGACTGATTGCTGCTATTAAAACAGGTTCCTGTTGGAGAGGGAAGAAGGGCTACACTCTCTCATTTTCCCTCTCGCCCTTTCTCTTTTCACTCACTTTGTCTTTCCCTCATCCACCATTTCTATTTCTCCCTCTCTCTGCACTGTTAGTCCCCCCCGCTCCTCTGTTTACAATCGACATGTAACCATGCCAGTGGTCTTGTTCTAGGCACTGCTCTGCTGATTGATCGGTCCAATGCTGGTCCAGAGAGAAATAGGCATACAAATATTGGATGGACGACCGTATAATCGGATCCCCACAGGATAAATACTTTCAGGGTTTTTTTCATCAGGGTTATCTCAGCTTGGGTTTAAACACTACAGATGTTTTTACATAGGCTGCAAAACTAATGAAAGTCTGTTCCTCGCAATCCTTACAACTTTATGGAAGCTCAGTACTAAATTGCCTGACATTCACTAATCAAATGGCACATGGCTTGGCCAATATCTTCACCTAATCATAGTTTGGTGAAGTTGTCTGATCTGCAAAGTGCTTACATGGGTTACTTTGAATGGAAGTGTAACCATGTGTTTTGTTTTTGGTGTTTCTTTGAGAATTATCAGCTGCTTCAATTGGCAGCTGGATATTGTCTTACGAATCGTAATTATGGTTCATTTTTTTGTAATTGGAAGGATTAATTAATTACTTGTGTTTGTTAATATTACCCGCCATATGGTGGTTGTGTCAAAGCAATCAAGAGATATGCCTATTTTAAAATGAATACATCTGCTAAGTGTATTTCGTTGGTGTTTTATACGCACTCGTGTTTCACGATAACTGCCATTTGGGTGTGAGACAACTCATAGCAGGTGTATTTCTCAGGACCTAAGGATGCAATGAGTAGAGTGTTAAGTTGTCGTTCTTAAGTGCTGCAAAAGCTGCAAAAGCAAATACGGCAGCTTACATATAAATACAGTATTGGATACAAGTAGGGTTGCAAAATTCCGGGAATTTTCAAAGATGGAAACTTTCCATGGGAATAAACGGGAATTTATGGGAATAAACTGGGAATTTTCTAAATTGAAGGTTGGCTCTTCATAGGGAACTTAAATATAGTTGGGGAAAGTATATTTTAGCATAATCTTGACTAAAACAAACAGATGCCATTCAAGTACACTTGAATATCCAGCCATAGCACACTGCTTACTGCATGGCTATTGAGACCACACAAAGGTTCGCAACAGGCTCACAAATGTGAGAGTGTGAAAACTGGTTGGCATTCGGGCAAACCTAAGGCTCTTTGAGCCTGACAGAGCCATCCTCAACAAGGCTGGACAGTGACACTGAAGAGGAAGACTCAGAGTTGGATGTTGATGAGGCCCAGGAAGAGCCCGTTGACTGAAAGGGTTTAGCAAAAATGCAGAGGATTGCTTGAAGGAAGTGCATGTTTAATGGGACTTTTTGGAGGGAGAAGGGCTCTTTTCATTTAACATTTTGAATGGGACTTTGTGCAGATTTTTGGATGGGGGTGCATATTTGTTCATTTTTTAATGAGTGGGGTTGGGGGGGATGAGTAATATTTAACTCAAAATTCCTGTTTTCGTTCTTCAATGAAACAAATAATTGTTCAATAAAATAATTAAAACTTGTTCTGTTCTACTTTTAAAAAAAAATGTTTTTAAATCTGTTGAAATGTCATGTTTTTTTGTTTAATTCCCCAGCTTAACTTCCCATGGAAAATGTCCGCCCCTTTGCAACCCTAGATACAAGCCAATGTTCTGCATTCTTAGATGATGTTTTGATTAAGTGGGATCTCATTTTGAGAAAAAGCCAAATGTTTCTATTTAAAGTTTTAACAATTATGTCCATATAAGGAAAAGGAATGTATCTGGCAAAAATGACTCAATCTCTCTCTCTTTCTCTTGGCTTGGATTTATAGACATTTACCATCCATGGCCCTCAAACATAAAAAGCAGTGAAAGCGTTTAAGTCGTATATTTGAAAAAAGAAAGCGGAATAAAAAATGGTTTAAAAAAAGAAAAATGAAGGAACTCATCTGGACCTGGGTCTCGAATGTCAGCTAAAACCCCCAGATCATCACAAAACAGGCTCAGTACTGTAGGGATAATGGTTGTGTAATGGGAAACAGAATGTAAGAATGATGGCAGAGAATAAACCCCCACAGTGCTATCTGCTTTGCGATGCTCTCAAGTGAATTGTACAGTAATGACTAAGGATACATGAAACCATCAGCAGTGGAACCATTAAAGCCTGCCTGTAAACATGTCCATTTGAGCACAATCACATTCTGGAAAAGTGAGGAGCTGAGAAATTGAATTTAGGCTGAAAAATGATGTTAATGTTTTATAGTATGAGTTTTACTAAGGCAGGTGGAGCTGTTAACAGGACTTTTCTATATTCAACCTCGTATCCGAGTGCATACACGGACTGAAGTTTGGGTAACACTTTATGGTAAGGGTACATGAATCATCATGAATTCATGCATGAAAGAGCATGAATTCATTCATGTAGTACTTCATGAACTATCAGTAATGTACAAGGATTAATAGTATTCTCATGCATGACTTAATGCAGGAACAATACCTTAATGAATGCATCAACTAAGGTATCTCAATCATCATGGCTTCTGAGTTATTAATGATGTTCATGTCTTCTTCATATAGATCTGCAGTTAAAGTGACAGGCCAAAAAGTTGACCAGTCACAGCAATTCCAAGTGTTGTAATCATGATTAACTAAGCATTATTTTGTCATTACTTCATCATGTTTGTGCCCCTTCAAATAAAGTGGTGACATGTTCCGTCGTTTACACTGATAAATAACATATGATTAACAATAATAACAATCAAATGGTTATTAACCATTTGGTGCTCATGCATCAATCATCTTTGTGATCCCTCAAATAAAGTCAGCCCTTATGTCTATTTAGGCATCATGTATTTGGCAATATTACAAATGCAAATTAGATCATCATTTTGGACTTAATTTCAATTATCAATTATTTAGTTAGGACTTTTTTTATGTATCATACAGTATTATCTTAAAGCTCACAAACCATTTAAAATAACTCATTCATAATATTAACAAACTTTAATTTATAATCCAAAGCCAACAAGATCACATTTTCACATATCATGTCACATAAGAAAGCAATAACATTTTTCGGCAAAGACACAAGATACATGGCAATAGTGAAGTTAATAGTAAATCATACCATGTATATATTGTTGAATTATTTGTGATTTTAACTTGACCACAACAGATAAAATGCACTGCACGAATGTCCTTCAGTCAACGACCGAGAGGTCCTTTCTTATGCCTGTTTCCAAGCCAGTAAGTCCATTCTATAACTGCAAGATGTTCTTTCAAAAGTTTCCCAGTTCGGTTTCCCCTAAGCCGCCAAATTATTGATAGTTAATCATTCAACAGAATACATGCACTGCTGTGACCGACAGACCGGGTCAACACTTTATTTGAAGGGGCACAAACATGATGAAGTAATGACAAAATAATGCTTAGTTAAGAAGACATGAACATCCTTAATAACTCAGAAGCCATGATGATTGAGATACCTTAGTTGATGCATTCATTAAGGTATTGATTAATAAGAGATACTATTAATCCTTGTACATTACTGATAGTTCATGAAGTACTACATGAATGAATTCATGCTTTTTCATGCATTAAGTCACGCATGAATTCATGATGATTCATGTACCCTTACCATAAAGTGTTACCGAAGTTTGTGTATAGTCAGCCATCCAGGCTTGTAAAGCAAAATGAGAGTGTTCTCTAACCACTACATCCCACATAATGAATTGGGCTTTCCCCTCTGTTCTTTATGTCACCACTATGGGTTTAGGGGCAACATCTGTACGTACGATGTTGTGAAGCTATAACCTTACCATTCTGCTTCCTTCCCTCTCACTCTGTTTGTGTGCTTATAACATAAAGAGGAGTGAAATGGATGGGCCATCAATATGAGAGCAAAGTGCAGGACCTCTGTAATGGTAAATGTGTCCTTCGTCTTTCGATATGTGTCAGGCTGAGACCTGCATGTGAGATTGTTTGCAGACATGGTCTAACACTGGGCCATGACCATTATCAAATCCAAAGAGAAGAAATCTCTCTCCCCCTAGTGTCTCAGCTGATCCAGTGCATGTACTGTACAGGGTGTAGAATGCTGTTATATACTTAAAGACAAATCTGTGGTCTAAAACCACTCTAATATTGTTTTTGGAGCTCAGGCTGTTAGATCTTTTATTAAAGATGATGTTGTGTTCACTGCAAGTATTGCTGAGATTTCAGAACACAATAACTTTGGTGAGTACAATTCAAAAACGAAAATCAAAACTTATGATATCTCTTTCCACATGAAAACCACAAGTCAAAGTTGAACCAAGAAGTATGCAAACTGTGATGGGAGTTTACAACACACACTACGGGTCGTTAGGTTTGCCTTTATTGAATTTATTCTTTTTATGCACAGGCTCCAAGCTGTCTGTTTTATTTTTGTTTGGTTGTTTTTGTTGGCTTATTCACTTTAATTAGAAGTAACTACTATGTACTTTAACGCACTGTGAAAAAGGGAGAGCAAAGCTTAGCCAAGTGTCATGCATAAGCAAAGAGCACAATGTCCTACAGTACAATGACCATGTGGGCTCCTTAATTATGGCCTTTGTGTCACTGCTGCACTGTGAGAGCGTGGGATTATTTGGGTGCTAGGGGAGCATAAGCAACAGCTCTCCAGTGGGCCTTGAAAGTCATTTTTAAATGACAGAAGCATTATCAGTGTATATTAATTCAAATTAGGTAGCTGAGAAGCAGAGCTGTTGGATTAACGTGTGAGCAATAATGCCTCAGAGGAATTACGATCCTCATTATTTTCTCTAGGAGATTTTTTGCTGAGAGGTCTAAAGACAAGTTTACCTGAGAGGGGAAAGATTGGATTAAATAATAATTAACAATGGGCATTGATTTTAAAGGAAAGGTACTTTTTAGTTACTCTATTTGGTGTATTACTAATCTGAAGTCGCAATGACAAGGAGCAGGAAATTCTTCTTACTTCAAGAAGCCATACCTCATTTAATGACTCCATGTCATCCATAAACTCAGAGCACTTTCCTTTTGCCTCCCACCTCCAGTTGTTGATTTACAACAACATTGTCCTACCCATCCTGTTTAACCCCTTCTTAACCCTAATAACCATCTTCAAAAAACAAACTCACCAGCATCACACACACTACCTACAAAATAATCTTCTTCTCATAAGTTTTTCAGATATGAATCCATATCCATATGAAGAGCCACTGAACCGTCACTTCACATTACTCCTTTCTGTTCGGTGATGAAAGACACTCAAATGGAGTTGGGCTTGATTGAGCAGGAGTATTTTTCTGAACAATGCCTAGCTGACCATTATGGATGCATGCTTGCTATGTGTTGCTGTTTTGCTATTTGTAAATCTATATGTATATATGTTGTGCACCAGCTGTAAATAAATCCCATGAGAAAACAAATCTAAATCGGGTAAAAAAGCAAATAACTCCCAATATGTATCAATTAGCACCAATTTGTCACTGATAACCCTTTCTTAAATCTTGGTTTTGAACATTTGAAGTATGGTATCTATCATTGTCCTGCTGCAACAGGTTTCATTCTCACAAACTGCCAACAGCCAGGTGACCTGTCAATGTGTCTACGTGCATTAGCAAAAATGGCATCTCTCTGAAATGTATTTTATGTTACATATCTGTCCATTATAATTGTACTGAAAGTAAGTTTGCCCCTATTGAGACTGGGCCAAACCAGCATACACCCACAGTATGCTTCACGCCTTGCTAATAAGCAATTGGCTTCTAAAACTAGTTCCAACATGCCTGCACTGGCAGTTGAGAATGACGTGAAAGGAGAACGTCTTTTCAGATGTATATCAAGGTGTGTTTATTTCTGCAAGAAGAAATCTACAACTCTCTCAGCAATTGTACTTGAACAAAACATTAGTTTTGTCTGTGCTGCATCTATGGAGACATTTGCTACAGGTAGGACCCTCTGGCGGAGTTCACGTGAAGTTCAGTTAGTTAGTTTGTTTCTCTGTTGCACTGTTTCTTACCCTTATACAGCTCATTAGGGTAACAACGAAAAAGCATACATGAGGCTGGTGTTGGTACATTGATGTGTGTCAGATATAGAAATTGATGTTAGATGGAACAGTCCTTTGTACAGTATGTTTTTACGTATACATGTTTGTTTGTTGCTCTGAATTCTTTATGGGTGTCTTTCTTCTTCTTTGAAGATCTGACACTGCATTCAATGAGCAGCACGCATTTGTCTGGGAACTGTTCCAACACTATCCTGATGCACGATTCAGCATCTACACCACATGTGTCAAACTCGAGGCCCGGGGGCCAAATCAGGCCCGTGGTGGATTTAATTTCGGCCCGCAGGATAATTTCTAATTACTATTAGATCTGGCCCGCCGGTATATTGCACACACACCTTCACTCAATCCTGAGGATTTCCTCAGCTCAGAGCCTGACCCCAAACAATAGGTGCGTTCACACCAGAGTACTTTGGTGTACTTTTCCCACAATAGTTCATCAGAACTACGATATATTTGCGTTCACACCAAAAAGCCCCAGGAACTAAAGTAGCTCAATTTAGTTCGTCCGACCCGCTTTTCCGTCCCTGCTAGAGAGCAGGGACTGTCGTGGGAGAAAGTAGTTCGTACGTCTGATTGGCTGTGCGGAATGCAAACCACGCCCGTTTGACTCTGAATTTTTTGTTGTAAGCGGCCATTGTATTTGCTCGCTTCGGACAGCACACCCGAAGAGATTCCTTTTGTGAAAGCAGTTATTATAGCAACACTAAATAAATCAATTGGAGCGGTGGAGTGATGAGGATGTGTCTGCGCTTCTGGCGATTTACTCGGAGGACGCGAAGCGCCGCATTCAGAAGCTTCTACTGAATGCAGTTTCTGTGGCTCTGCAAAGTTAGCAGACCTGGCAAAGTCATGTCGGGACGACTACCAAGGTAAAATAAAATACATGCACTGCACTGTTTTAATCTGCACAATACTGGTCTTATATGTACTTTTATTTGCTCAGTAGATCGAGCTAGCCATGCTAGAACTTGCTAACGTTAGGTCCAAGCTGGCTAACAACATCTAGCTAGCTAGCTATTCTCAGCCATGCCCGCTATGAACACGTTTTGACTTGTGAATAAGTGTGCAATGTTCTGTAATTTGCTACACTAACTCATGGCACTAATCGTGTGTTTCAGGCGAGGTGTTTCTCTCAGGATTAGAAACTAGTTTTCCCCTCCGGGATAAAACGATAATATAACGTTAGCAATTAGCATGCTAGCTGGACATAATGCTACCTCTAACAATACATTAGTTGCTATAATTTCAAGTAATTTGCAACATTCATTCTACATGTTAATGGTAAAAGCTTAAACAGTTGATTACCTGCATGCCACAAAGACTGATGTTCTAATATTTTTGCACATTTAAGTAGAAATGTAATTGAAATTCTATTTATTTTTCCTTTTTTTTATTGATTGTTATAATTGTACTCAGCCATGTTATGTTAGATGTCAATCCACTTACACTGTAACTACTCTGGCCTTGAAAGAAGAAGAAGGTGATATAACTATTAATAAGTAAAAGTACATCGAAATATGTATTGCATCACCGCTGCTTAGAGTTCATGCACAAGTCATTTGCTTGATAATGAATTGATGCATTGTAGCAATAATTGTAGTCAATATCAAAGAGAGATGTAATTTCGATATTTCAGTCCAAACTTGATTGGCCCAGCTACCTGAGTATATGTGATGTATAAATAAAAGGATTACATGAAAACGGTTTGATCTTCTATCTCAGAGTAAACTGGACTATTAATCAACATTTTGCCTCGTTGTTGCGATTAAACTGATCTTGTATCTTGCATATTTCACCTTAGGAAAGTGGGCACGCGATGACAGCTTCCTTGACACCATCATGGCGATGGACCGCCGTGCCATGGTCAGCAAGGAGAATGAGGACCTGCGTGCCAAGGAGATACAAGGCCCAGGAATCGAGGTGGAGCAACAAAATACCTTTCAGGCTGGGCTTCTGGCAGTGCTAAGCGAGCTGATTAAATCCAACAGGCCTTCAATACAAAAATGAAGAAAAACTTGTCGTTGATAAACTGTACAATGACTTGTTGGGAGGCGTGTGGTGCAGTGGTCTGGTGCGTTGGTGTTCGGATCAGGGGAGCACAGGTTTAAACCCCACTGCAGTCAGGATGTCGTTGTGTCCCTGGGCAAGACACTTCACCCCAAATTGCCTACACCTGGGACAGTTAATTTTGTATTATTGTGATTATATATATATGCCACTGTTATTAATACTGACACCTAACTTTGCACTAAGGTGTGTCTGCTGCTGAGCCTACCTATTGTTATTATATATATATTAGGGCTGTCAGTCGATTAAAATATTTAATCGCGATTAATCGCATGATTGTCCATAGTTAATCGCGATTAATCGCAAATTAATCGCACATTTTTTATCTGTTCTAAATGTACCTTAGAGGGATATCTTTCAAGTTTTTAATACTCTTATCAACATATGAGTGGACAACTATGCTTTATATGTTTGTTTATTATCATTTGAACAATGACAAATATTCTCATGAATATTAAACACAACAACCTGAACATTACAAATATTCGCCTCAATTCAACCTGGAACCTCTCTCATACAATTGTGTGTGTGTGTGTGTGTGTGTGTGTGTGTGTGTGTGTGTGTGTGTGTGTGTGTGTGTGTGTGTGTGTGTGTGTGTGTGTGTGTGTGTGTGTGTGTGTGTGTGTGTGTGTGTGTGTGTGTGTGTGTGTGTGTGTGTGTGTGTGTGTGTTGTGGAGAGACACTGTGATGGATCGTTGGAGCTATGTGCAGCTCAAGGCATATATGCTCAATGGGAGCTGCCTGGACGCTGCAATCATGTTGTGCGCACTATCCGTGCTGAGTGTGCTGACTTTTCGTACAATGTCCCACTGTCTGGCTACCTGCATAAAGTCAAGTGCTCGGCGCAGTTGTCGGCGAAATGTCATTGAAACAGCTGCTTATATCCGTTAGCGCAGCTAGCTAGCACCAGATGCTAACAACAACAACACGTAAGGTGTGCCTCGCTCGCGCGAGTCGCGCCACACATACACACTCCCTCCCGGTGGCCAGTCCGGGCCTGCCAGTGAGCGTGGAAGTGTGGTCTGCCACAAGCGGGCGGCAGGAGCGGGGCTGTCAGCATCAGCTTGTAGATGGTATTTTACACTCGATGCGCTCTGAAACTACGGCGGCCGAGGACAAAAAATACACATGCGTTAATCGCGTTAAAATAATTAGTGGCGTTAATTTTTTTTTGCGTTAACGCGTTATTAACGCGTTAACTTGACAGCCCTAATATATATATATATATATATATTGCCACTGTTATTATATTGTTTTGATACTACTGACACTTATTGATCTGCTGCTGATAAATAAAAGAGAACCTACATGCACGGCACTAGCATCATGACTGTCTTTGTTTAAACCAGCAGCAGTGCAGCGGTACACAGACTAACCTGTGTGTGTGTAACGTAGTTCTTCAGGTGTGCATGCTTAACATGTATGTTAACATGTATGTATACAAAAGTTTTTAAAGAGCTTTCAACCTCATCCCATTGTCTTTAACACACATTTAACATAATATACTCATTAATATACAAATATACAGTATGAGTACTGTTTTGATACTGACATTTAATCTTTGCACTAAGGTGTGTCTGCACTATTGTAATTGTGTCTGTTGACTGGTAAATAAAAGAGAGAACCAAATGCACTGTACAAAATATCAGCTTTATTGTCAATTTACAATTTCCATGCTGTTCAGATGCCTCTCCACAACGTTGCTTCCAGGCGAATACAGAGGAGTTGAAAAGAGCCCTTGGACATTCGGAAATCTTTGATCCACTGCACATGTTGGCACCACCTCCCACCAGGCCGACGTTCTATTGTTCACCCAGAGTTCCGTAGTATTCGCATATCTGGAACACATACAAAGACACAAATTAGCCCTACATAACTCCATAAATCCTACATTAGATAGTATTAATGTGATTTAATGAACGTACCATTGCTGTTCTTTGGGCGTGATAACGGCCATCATCCTCGGCTGTCCAACGGCGAAACATGTCCATAGCGTGTGCTTTCGTCGTCCAATCCTTTTGTTAAGGCTTCTTAACCGCCTTCGCCTCCGACTCAGCATTTCTATTGCATTTGAATGGTCGATCTGTATTTGTATTTGTGGCTGAGTTATTGGCTTAAATAACTCCGTTACGAAGCTGTATAACACGACCACCAAAACGTCAACTCCATACCGTGTCTGAGGTCGGAAGGTAAACAGAAGCATACAGCGGAAGCGGAAGTTTTTTTTCTTCTTCTCTCGGTTTTTTGGCAAATTGCAACTTTAAGGTGCATACCGCCACCTACTGTACTCGCCGTGAAGTTGTTTGCGGCCTGCCAGTAAACCCAAAGCAGAAGAAGAAGAAGTGACGTCAGCGGCTCATTTGCCTAATCCACCCCCAGGAACTCATTTTGGTGTGAACGCGATCTGCTTTAGTTCATCAGAACTAAAAGAGCTCTCATGAACTAAAGTTCTCAGGAACTACTGTGGGAAAAGTACTTGGTGTGAACGCCCCTATTAGGGGTACTGATAAACTTGCACCCAAGATGAGATGCCAAGTATCTGGCTTGAACTAGCATCACAGAGCAGCAAACTGAGTTTTAATGGATGTTTCCTTCTGCACTTTTTTTCTTGCGATAACAGGGCATGTTTGGTTTTTTCTTTGAGGGGAATAGTTTTTTTTAAGCTGTTGTTGGCCTGTGGAAAAATGTAATCATAAGAAATGACTCCGGAAAAGCTGCAGATAGAGCCATAAGAAATGAATGCAACTGATTATTTAACGTTTAATGTTGTTTGTATAGGCAATCATTTAAGCTTTGTTAGTTCCAGGTTTAATATGTGCAATAAGTTCATTTCAATAACTTTTGCAATAAACATTGAACCAGTCCGGCCCTCGACTAGTACCAATTTTTTAATTTTGGCCCACTGTGTATTTGAGTTTGACACCCCTGATCTACACCATAGCAAACAGAGTTTAAATGACTTCATCTTGAGCAAAAAGTCAACCAACATCCTTGTTTACCAGCATACGTAGGTGAACTTGCAAAGCTTTATAATGTAGATGTAAGAAAATGTCTAAAATAGGACAAATGTTATTTGAGACAAAACATATTGTATAGGTTAGCTGCAGGGATGTTTTTATGGCTGCTGATTACTTTGCTCCTTATGCAATTTAAAAAGGCAAACTGTTTTTGTTCTGTTTTGTTCATTGTGTGTGTGTGTGTGTGTGTGTGCGTGTGTGTGTGTGTGTGTGTGCGCACGCGCGCCTGCGTGTGCGCGATTGAGCGAGCAACTAGTATAATGGATGGAGAGAGAGTGAATGTGTGTTTGTTGCTGTGTGGGAGTTTGTGTTAGGAGAGAGATGAAAATGGAGGCCAATTGTCCTATTATGGTTGGGTCTCATTGTTGCTTAATGTTGAGGAAATCACTCAGAATCCTTTTAAGGTGTGAGACAGAGTGTAGTGTAATACAATTTAGTAGGATACACTGAGCTTACAGACACACAGAGTAGGTGAAAGAACAAAGGAGCCGTGCAGCTAATCTATACTGGGAACAGAATGATACAGTAGGAACTGATGCATGCATCGTGATGTCAATAGGAGTTTCAGGCTGGTCTGTAGTCAAACAAGGGAACCAATATTCAGTTAACGATGACAAAGGCAGAGTGATGAAGTGGACTTGATGAGATCAGTATGGGGTGAGATTCCATGTTTAAAACACAAAAGCTGAGAGCACTGCGCTTTCAAGTGTGCCTGATGAGTCCGTGGCTGTTCTATTTCATCCCTACTGACCGCCAGAGGATATGTCCATCGCGTGCATGGGCAGGTCGAGTACCAATCCCAACAAAGTCACCTGTGACCCCACGTTACATCTGTTCCTTTCATCTTCTCGCTGCGCGAGAGTACCGTGGCTACATGTTTGTAGCCTACAGCGTTCGGGTTCGAACTAAAGGATTTTCTGCATACAGATGGCTGCGTGCAGCTTCGCGACTGATCTAGTCGGAGCCGCGGGTTGCTGACTCGTCCTCCAGCGGCTGTGGCCGGCTGTGCGGAACTTCGACGGACAGGTTTGTGTCAACTTTGTTGGTGATGGCAGTGTCCCCTCTCCCGCTCCCAGCTAAGTTGTCCTTATTGTGCTCTTTTGTACTTTTCTGATTGTGGCGTTGTGCCCGAGCTATCAGTAGCATTTTGAGTTTCCAGCTTTAGCTGCGTTTTCTCGTTTAGTTTAGTTAGCAGTAGCGTGGCTCAGCCTAACCCCTAGATTCCACCGGGTCCGTCTGCACCGCGTTACGGCCGCGTTACGGCCGCGTTACGGCCGCGGTGTTCACAGCGATCGCGGCCACTCTAGTCAATGGGTGCTATTCCACCAGACGCGCCACGTTACGGCTAGAAGCGTCCCAGAAGCGTCTCGGCGCTCCGATAAAAATAGGATGCAAGTCTATTTTCGACGCGACGCGAGGTGTTGCATAGCGCCGGGCAGGAAGTGGACCGGTCAGAGCATCCAGTCAATCCCAAAAATAAACTAATTTTGCAGATCCTATCCCTCCGTAGTCTTTCAAGTAGGAGGAGAAATGCTCCGGTTTACAGGCACTGTGTAAATTATATATAGAATAATTATGATGATGAATGAATTTTACCACTAAAATACAGCAACACATCTTTGATTCATGTCGTTTATAACTGGAATATTACAATTATTATTAACTTTGTCTGCACAAAGTAGCCTGTCCAGGAAATATGCCCAAATCCTGCCCCACATCAGTGATTATGTGTTACAATGGCGTTAGCAACCAGAAAATGACACCAGTACTGACAAACAGATGAGAATGCTGCATGGGGTCTGGGTGCCGTGTTGGCGGGACGTTGCGGGGCTCGCTGCTGGAGTGGACAGTGTGAGCTCTGCTGGATTACTCGTGATGTTTCCTGGTTGCTGCGTGGGGTCTGCGGGACGGCGGGACACGGCGAAGCTCAGCCTGGACTCAGCCTGGCTGTGTGTGTGTGTGTGTGTGTGTGTGTGTGTGTGTGTGTGCTCAGGCTGAGTTCGGGCTGGGTTTCGCCGTGTCTCGCTGTCCTGCAGACCCCACGCAGCAACCAGGAAACTATGGGCTCAGAACAGTCTCATAATACACACATGCACACAGAAGGATTCACACTTGTATTTTCGGATCCACACTTGTGTTTTTCAATGCACACACAAATGTGTTCCGTTTCATATACATGTAAATAAAATCCAAACACAGAAAAAAGTTTTACATATGTATTTTTGATCCACACATATTTGTTTACCGTTTAAATCCTCTGAACCTGCAAACACAAACCGCTTTCTGTGCATGGATCGCTGTGCATTCGTGTGTGGGTTTTTTGAGACTCCCCTGACGGTCACCCGATTCATACTTGTAATTTCTTTCATCTATAGCCAATCAGATGTCTCCTCCAGTCTAAGCCAATCACATGAGCGCGCCCCCACGAGGGTAGGATTTCTTGCGTTGATGACGTAGCACTTCATTTACGCTTTTTGCGCTGTCAGGAGCTGACAGGTCAGAGGTCATCTGTAAAATGGCGTCTGGTGGTCGCGCGCCTCCCGCTCCAAGTGTAAGTTATGTTTAAATTATGAAATACTCCTAAATGATGAAGGATTGGTTTTGCTTAGTTGTTAGTTGTTTAATTCGAGAATTATATAGAACTGTTTTGGTTAGCTTAACTGTGTTGTAGCTGAGCTCCATAAGCTAACATTAGCTAGCGTTGTCTGTCTAACGATCTAACGAACTAACGAGTTTGTTGGTCTAACGATCCCCCATTCTTATTAGGTGCTTCTGCTACCAAGTAAAATGTTGCAGTGAAGTGAATGTGAGAGAAAATTAATTGACTGTTTGACAGGGTGTAACGCCTCGGGTCGAGGTAGCAGCACGGGCTTTAGTTCAATTAATAGCCAGGGAGCTGTCTGCGACTCCAACTCCACCAGAAGTGAGCATAGCAGAGGGTGCACCGGTCAGCGTAGCAATCAGGGCGGTAGACAGCGTCCAATCCCACAATGATGTTAGGGTGAGGCAGGCGATGAGAAGGTGATTTAATAGACTTTTTTTTACATTTGGCAGTACAAGATCAAACTGTGGCTTAATCCCGTAGATATGTAAACATCTGATATTTGATCTCACCCCTCGCATGACTCTAATGTAATGTTGAGTTAATGTTTTAAAACATTTTTCCATAGTCTGTATCCTCTATATCCCCATTACTGCTTTTAAAACCTTTAGCAGCCCCTTGCCTTGAAACGTCCCAAACACAATATATTAATGTTTTCAAAAGAAATATTTTGGTAAGATAAAGCTAAGTGTCAAGATTGTTTTTGTATCGACAGAATATTAACTATGATTTTGCTTTTTATTCATGCAATTTGTTCAAACTATTAACACAACCATCAACGCAAGCCAAGGATTTGGAAATGATATAACAATCTTAATATACATTTAATAGAATGTCTAGTCTCACAGATCCTTTTGTCATTCCCACATCAGGCAATTCCCAAGTATGTTCAGTACTGATCAGCCAAGAGGCAAAAGACGATTTCCCACCCCGGCTCCTTGCATCGTCAAACGGACGGACTTTCATATATATGTCCTTTCGGGACCCAGTCAGTTTACACCAAAGGGCTCGGAAGAGCTACCACTTGCCTATGCTGGCCTTGGAAAGAGGATGCTAAATCTACCGGACAACTTATTGCACAGTGAGGTAATCATATAAACAGTATTGAAGATTTCTCAAAGATTTAAAATGTGAATCACTTGCTGAATATTGTATGTTATTTCACTTTGTTTTAAAGACTATGGCTTCGGTTGAGGAAGAATTTCCCAAACTGAAAACATTAAAAGGAGGCTGGATGTTTTTCAAGTCAGCAGGTAATGTTCTCATCTCCATTGGTGAAAATGCTGTGTTGTGTTTTTCACACTCAGAAGCCCCACATATGTGTTTTCTGACGCCCTACTTTGAATTACCATTCATATCACTTCTTCAAGTTGTATAAAACAGTACTAAAGTTTGCCTGACAAAGTGTAACGTATATCCCTAATATTAATGTATGTACTGTCAGTTGGTTTTAAAGCACACTTGTGTTGTTCCTATTTTGATTTTAAAATAGGTGGTAGTGGACGTCGAAAGCTGTCCATAATCCCTACTGACTCCGAGGGGTACTCCACAAGGCTCCTCAAAACAGCGTCCAACAATGGAAAAAACATTGTGTTTGTAATTCCACTCCAGGAGCAACTTTCTACTTTGCAGCTGTTGCCTTTACATGTGGAGGAATGTAATGACATATTGACTGTAAGCTGTGTAAGGGACTGAGAGGCAGAGTAGTGGGAGGCACCTACATTCCCAATAGGTGGCTCCACCCGCTGCCAATTAGCAGTATTGGGACCAGGTGTAGAGACCTCACACCTGGTGCTAATCACTCCCTCAAGGGAGACAAAGCACACAGAGTTGCTCAGTTGTGTGTGGCACATGGAGGGAGCAGGAGGCTCCCAGCGTGAGGAAACATTTTTGTAAGCTGGTAAGTCGGTTAGCGGCCCGGCTACGTTAGCCTTTGTTTAGTTAAAGGTATTTTTGAGTTTGTTAGCAATAAAGCCTCTTTTGGATTTGAACACTGCCTCTGTCGTGATTGCTGCACTACCACTTTTCTCTTTATCTGCCCTGTCCTGTTACACTGGTGGAGAATGCGGGCAGAACAATTTTTTTTTTTACGTTTTCAAGATGGAGGATGTACTAAAGGAGTTGGTGCGTATTTCTACTGAGCAGCAGACTCTGCAACGGCAGATGATACAGGAGCAGCAGAAACAGAATGCACTTCTCCACATGGAGGTCCAAAAATGCCTTACAGCAGCCTCTCCTGTCCAGAGGGAAGCAACCATGCAGCCTAACCCAGGTCGATTCATCCCCAAAATGACAGAGAGTGATGAGATAGAGGCCTACTTAACGGCCTTTGAGCGCACAGCTGAAAGAGAGGGCTGGCCAAGGGACTCCTGGGCTGATCTGGTTGGACCGTTCCTCCTGGGCCCGGCACAGCAAGCTTACTTCGACCTCCCTCCGGACCAAGCAAAGGATTACGTCGTCTTGAAGAAGGAAATCCTGGCGAGGTATGGCTACAGCTTAGCAGCAAGAGCCCAGCGGTTCCATGAATGGAAATACAAGCCAGAGTTGTCAGCCAGGGCCCAGATGTATGACCTAGGCCGGGTAACCAGAGCCTGGCTGACATGCAACCCCGAAAAGTTAAGTGTTTTAGAGAGGATAATGATGGACAAATATATTCGGTCTCTGCCCTATGAGATCAAGAAAATGACAAGCCAGCAGAATCCAGCCGGTCTGGATGAGTTGGTTAACGTAGTGGAGAGCCACGTGGTCACAGCGGACCTGCTTAAGTCCACACGACCAGACACCGAGTGGGGCCGGAAAGTCAGTGGGGAAGCATCACGGACTAGACGGGCACGAGAACCGCGATGGGAACCAGAAGAGGTAAGGCGACGACAGTCCTACCTGCCAGAGGGCCAACCGCGTTGCTACCAGTGTGGGGAGACAGGCCATATTGCCCGGGACTGCCCAGGGAAGGATGAGCTAATGCCGACCGCCAACTCATCTGGTGCAAGGCCCTGCCACCTTCTTGACTCTTGCTGGGTACAGGAAAGCTCCCTGGCTCAAATGATACCAGTCAAAGTAAATGGAAAAGATGCAGAGGCGCTAGTGGACTCAGGAAGTGTGGTAACCCTCATTCAACCCCACCTCCTCGACCATTTGCCATCTGAAGAGACTGTGCCCGTCTCCTGTGTCCATGGGGACACTAAATTATACCCCACTTGCCTCATCCACCTTACCACAGTTAAAGGCAGCTGTGAGATGAAAGTGGGGGTGGTTCCTTCCCTACCAGTCCCAGTCTTGGTGGGGCGAGACTGCCCACTATACAAGCGCCTGCGGCACCAGAAGGAGGTGAGTCCCAAAAAGCACAAGCGTGCCAAAGGAAAACGAGAGAGAGGACAAACTGCCACCCAGGGTACTTCTCCTCAGCAGTTCCCCAACGTTGTGTGTGCTGTGCCGGAGGAGCAGAGAGGCAACCAATCTTCCAGTGCAGACGAGGCAAATGATAACCCTTTTGTTGCTTTCCCTGGAGACCTAAGCACAGGTCATGAGGAGGGGGAAGTCTCATTGCTTCCAAGTTTGAAGGGCCAGTTCGGGACCGCCCAGATGGAAGACCCCAATCTGTTGCATGCACGCAGCAATGTTACGGAAATAGAGGGAAAACCAGTTCCAGGAGTGGGTGAGCTTACATGTCCTCATTTCCTAATAAAAAATAATCTGTTATACTATGCCAAAGAGGTTGAAGGTCAGCGAAGAGACTTGTTGGTTGTCCCAAAACAATATGTGTCCACAGTGTTGCATCTGGCTCACAGCCATGTCCTAGGGGCCCACCTAGGGGTTGAGAAGACAAGGCAGCGGATTGGGAGCCGGTTCCACTGGCCAGGGGTGGTAAGGGCTATAGAGGATTATTGTCGCACCTGTGTTGAATGTCAAAAGATGAGTCCCAAGCCACACTTTAAAAGTCCCCTAATACCTCTACCGATAATCGATGTACCGTTTTCTCGCATTGCCATGGACTTAGTGGGGCCGCTGGTGAAGTCTGCCAGGGGACATCAGTATATTCTTGTGATCCTTGACTATGCAACCAGGTACCCGGAGGCCATTCCCTTGAGGAACATGACAACGAGAGTGATTGCACGGGAGCTGCTTCACCTGTTCAGTCGAGTTGGGATCCCTAAAGAGACGCTAACAGACCAAGGCACTCCCTTCATGTCCAAGTTAATGAAGGATCTCTGCAGGCTCTTCAAGGTAAAGCAGCTTCGTACATCTGTCTACCATCCGCAGACAGACGGATTGGTAGAACGCTTTAACAAGACGTTGAAATCCATGTTAAAGAAGGTTGTTGACAAGGATGGTCGTAACTGGGACCAGCTTCTGCCCTATGTCCTGTTTTCAATCAGGGAAGTTCCACAGGCTTCAACCGGTTTCTCCCCCTTCGAGCTGCTGTATGGCCGACAGCCCAGAGGACTTCTCGACATCGCGAAGGAAGCCTGGGAGGAGCAACCAAGCCCCCATCGGAGCCTGATTGAGCATGTAGAGACGATGCAGACGCATATGAAAGATGTTTGGCCCATGGTCAGAGAGCACATGGCTCAAGCCCAAGAAGCCCAGAGGAAAGTGTATAACAGAGGTGCCCAACCACGTGAGTTCCTGCCCGGGGATAAAGTGCTTCTCCTGGTCCCCACCACAGAACACAGATTCCTGGCATCGTGGCAAGGTCCCTATGAAGTGACAGAGAAGGTGGGACCAGTCAACTACAAGGTACGCCAACCTGGCCGTCGCAAACCATCCCAAATATACCATGTTAACCTGTTAAAGAAATGGTATGCCCGAGAGGCACTGCTGTGTTCTTGTTCCCTGTTTGTATCCCCTTCTCCAGACCATGAGGTGGCCGAAGTTGAATACGGTCCAGGGCTATCCAAAGCTCAGTTACAGCAAACCAAGGAACTGGTTCAGCAGAGTTTGGATGTGTTCTCACTACGACCTGGACGCACAACGATGGTGGAACATCAAATCCACACAGAGCCTGGCCAAAAGGTAAAGATGCGACCCTACCGGGTGCCGGAGGCAAGACGGGCGGCCATTGAGCAAGAAGTGCAGAAAATGCTGGCTATGGGGGTGATTGAAGAATCTCACAGTGAGTGGACCAGCCCTGTCGTTCTGGTTCCTAAGCCAGACAAAACCAACAGGTTTTGTAATGATTTCAGAAAATTGAATGAAATCTCCAAGTTTGATGCGTATCCTATGCCCAGGATAGATGAGCTAATTGATCGGCTTGGGGAAGCCAGGTATATCAGCACTCTGGACTTGACGAAAGGGTATTGGCAGGTCCCACTTGAAGCTGCCTCAAGAGAGAAGACGGCCTTCGCCACCCCCACAGGGCTGTACCAGTACACTGTGCTTCCCTTCGGGCTTCATGGAGCACCAGCCACGTTCCAGAGACTGATGGACAAGGTTCTGAGGCCACATCGTGAGTATGCAGCTGCCTATTTGGATGACGTTGTTATCCACAGTGACTCATGGGATAGCCATCTCATAAGGCTTGCAGCAGTGCTGGAATCTCTCCGCAGGGCGGGCTTGACAGCTAATCCAAGAAAATGCAAGCTTGGACTAGAGGAAGCCGAATACCTGGGCTTCACCATTGGGCGGGGCAACGTTAGACCACAAGAAAGGAAGGTTCAGAGGCGATCCAGGACTGGCCACGGCCGTCAACAAAGAAACAGGTGAAAACATTCTTGGGTCTGACGTCCTATTATTGCCGTTTCATCCCAAACTTCTCCACAGTAGCCTCTCCCCTTACAGACCTGACCAGAGACTCACAGCCGCTAATGGTCAAGTGGACAGGAGAGGCTGAACACGCCTTTGAGGAACTTAAGAGGGCTCTCTGCGCACGGCCGGTGTTGGTGACCCCAGACTTCAGCCGGGGGATGATTGTGCAGACGGATGCGTCAGAGGTGGGCATAGGAGCAGTACTATCCCAGGAGGTTCACGGTGAGGAACACCCCGTCATGTACATCAGCCGGAAGCTGAACACAAGGGAACAAGTGTATGCTACTGTGGAGAAAGAAGGCCTAGCAATAAAATGGGCGCTTGAGCGCCTCCGGTATTACCTCTTGGGACGTCACTTCACTCTGGTAACTGATCATGCCCCACTGATCTGGATGGCAAATAAAAAAGACACAAACGCTAAAGTAGGAAGGTGGTTTGTCTCACTACAGGAGTTTAACTTCTCTATCATCCACAGAGCCGGAGCCAAGCATGGGAATGCAGATGCCCTGTCCCGTAGAGATGCCCTGTGGACCATGGTCACCTCTCCTAGGCCAGAACTGAAGGGGGGGGTGTGTAAGGGACTGAGAGGCAGAGTAGTGGGAGGCACCTACATTCCCAATAGGTGGCTCCACCCGCTGCCAATTAGCAGTATTGGGACCAGGTGTGGAGACCTCACACCTGGTGCTAATCACTCCCTCAAGGGAGACAAAGCACACAGAGTTGCTCAGTTGTGTGTGGCACATGGAGGGAGCAGGAGGCTCCCAGCGTGAGGAAACATTTTTGTAAGCTGGTAAGTCGGTTAGCGGCCCGGCTACGTTAGCCTTTGTTTAGTTAAAGGTATTTTTGAGTTTGTTAGCAATAAAGCCTCTTTTTGGATTTGAACACTGCCTCTGTCGTGATTGCTGCACTACCACTTTTCTCTTTATCTGCCCTGTCCTGTTACAGCTGTTATTAAAACATTTCTCTAATTTATCAAATAAATATGTAATATTTTAGTTTGCTCAAATGACTGTTTCAAAGTCTATAGAACCAATTATCTGTACCTTTTTTGTTTTTTAGGAGAGTGAATCTGGGACTTCTCTTGATGAATTGATTGAGCAGCCAAATCCACCTAACACAGGGATGGAAGAATCGTCAGAGGTAGTTGATGCTGTCTTCTCCTGTTAAAGTTACTTTGCAATTTAGTATAAAAGCCTTATTGTTTTCAGTAAATAATGACAGTATGATTGCAGGTGTGTATATAGGTAGGGTATAACACATTTCACCAAACTGACTTTTTGCACACTGTCTATGTACTCATTTTTTATCATATAATTATGTTTCCTGTATCACTTATCTGAGAGAGAATTATTAAACATAAAACCTTTCTTATAATAATGTGATATGTTTTAAAGGTATTGACATTTGTTTATGTTTTTTACAGGTTTGCCCTATATGTCTTGAGTCTTACCTGATTGATGTCCTCTCATTTCATGCAAGCACATGTGGTGAAGGGTAAGAAATGTTGACTTGTTCAAGCAAAAGATGGAAGATAGACATGTTTTGAGTGAGGTGAACAACATATAAAAAGTGTCAAACCTAATAACGATATCCAGTGTTTCCCCTACCATTGTCTTGGAGGGGCGCTGCGCCCCGCCAACGGAGCACCGCGCCCCCCCTGAAATTCAAGGTATTTAAATAAACTAAACGCTTTCATTTTAAGTAGTGAGTTTAGTGTTTTTGACCCTAAGGAACACTGATGCATTAATCAATAACAATAATCCACAGCTCCTCTCTCTGCTCCAGAGGATTTAAACAATATATATCCCAATGCCACCCCCCTGCTCAGGCAGCACCCCCCCAAAGCAGTAAACCTAGGGGAAACACTGATATCGTTTGGTGAATGTGCTTGTTCCTTTTTTGTGTTTTTAAAATGCTGTAATGTTACAGCTATAGCAGCTGCATCAGAGCATGTGATGCATTTTTAAGAAATGTAGATGTAGAAATCATAACAGAGCCGAAATACTTATTAGGGATCTGATTTAAATTACTTTGTTTGATGGAGCCTATATGCAAGAAGAAATATGTAAAAAAATAATGGGCACTCATCACTTGTCTCTATTTTCCATTCCTGTGAGTATGTTTTTTGTTTTGTCTTTTCCAAGAATGGACCCTGCTCATCATAGCAGTATGACAAGGACAGAGGAAATGCCAAGGACAGAGGAAATGCCAAGGACAAAGGAAATGCCAAGGACAGAGGAAATGCCAGGACCTTCAGTTCAAAGATTGCCAGCAACAGTTTCAGCAGGTTATTTATTCAGAACAATTACTGCTGTGGTGTAGTTTGAAACAGTGACTACTCACAAACACTTAAATAGCAATGATCACCAAAATGAATCTTGTTACATGTTTGATCCAGTAATATGGAAAGGATAATTGATTTCAAGTTACTACCTTTTAATATATTGCTTTAAAATACAGGGCTTACTAAATGAGACAATAAATGAAGTACTATTTTAAAATTGAAGCTGATATATTATGAAGTTTATTGTACCAACCACTTTTTTTTTCTTCAAATTACGTTTTCAGCATGGGCCAATGAAGTGGACGCCCGGAAGGCATGTCAGTTGTTTAGAGAGGAACTGCTGGAACGTAACTATGAATGTCCACGCCTCTTTCTGTCAATCGACATGTTTGACGCAGAAGAAGAAACAGACAGTTCATTGATTTCATTCTTTAAAATGAACAATGTTAACTGGGCAGCTCCATTAAAGTGCAGGCTGAGAGGTATTAATAAATAGTGTAACTTCTCATGTTTCATTATAGGTAGTCATCTGGGTCGAATTTTGCCTTTTTCTTGCCTTTTTGTTTGTTTTTACTTGCATGTTGAGGATTAAGTTCATGTCCCTTAGACCAGGGAAGAAAGAACTAGTTACATTTATTGTATTGAAAGCTTGAAGGATGATTCATGTTGTCTCTTGGTAAGTGTATGTTGAATATCATCTTGTTGGTTGTACTTTTCTAAATGAGGTCGTCTTTTCAAGGGGATGCAGCAGTCGGCCAAGGTGTCAACCGACACGTTTTGTCAATGGCCATGCAGAAACTGAAGACCGGCTTCAGTATAAATTTAGGTGGGGTGTCCCCATTTGTCTTTCAATTGAAATAACCACTTGCAGCTAAATCTTAATAAACCAACAAAGATTACAACATGCATATTCACAGTTGAACCAACACTCAATATAGCTTGACCTAAAAATTACGTTATAGCAATACATGGCGTCTAAACTATTTCTCCTTTTTTATTAAGGCTGTGCAGCTCTGACAAGCCTTTTTGAAGGGGAAATGGAACATCGGGTTCTCTCCGCAGCTGCTGTGCTTCGGGAAAGCAACCTGTTTGAGATGGCAGGTCGGATGATAGGCCTTTCCTTCCTGCATGGTGGTTTTGGTTTCTCAGGACTAAGTGTGCCTGTAGTGACTCTGTTGACTGGTGGGAGCACGGATACTGCAGCATCAGCGCTTACCCTGCTGGACTGTCCTGATCTTGACCACCGTGAAACAATTGGTTTTGTGAGTGTCCTAGTTAAAAAGTGACATGTCATACACCACTGCACCACAATGCTACATACACTTGTCATCTTGTGCATTATGAAAAAGATTCCATTCATGTGTCAAGGCTGGGCTGTTTAGCTAGAAATGATTTCCAACGCTTTTTTGTGTCCCATTTTGATTTTTCCAGATTTAGGCTTTTTGTCCACTTTTGCAGACTGCCGTACACAATTTTGCATGCATTTAAATGATGTCCTCTTTTTTCCTGTTTTAGCTCAAGAATACACAACTTACTGCTCAAGAAACCACCAGTGTGACTGATCTTTGCCTGTCCTGGGACCTCCCTGTTCCAACCTCCACCAATCATGACTGGCTGTTCCAGGAACTTCTTTCCCATGCAGTAATCATTTTATATTGTACCATTTTTATTTATCAAATCAAATCAAATCAGGTTTTATTTATATAGCACATTTAAAAGCGATTTTTGGTCGAGCCAAAGTGCTGTACATGTAATAAAAACACATTACTACAAATCACAATAAACGACAATAAATTACAACAGATATATCTTAAAAACAAAATAAAAATAAAACACACGGAAAAGTCAGGAGTCGTGCTCCGCTCTAACTAGAAAGCCAGAGAGAAGAAGTGTGTTTTTAGTTTTGATTTAAAAACCCCTAGGGTCTGGGCCGACCTCACATGGAGGGGCAGAGTGTTCCAGAGCCTAGGGCCAGCTGCTGCGAAGGCTCGGTGCCCTCTGGTTTTTAGCCTGGTCTTGGGCACTACCAGCAGCAGCTGGTCAGCAGACCTTAAAGCTCTGGCTGGGGTGTAGCGCTGGAGCAGTTCAGCTATATAGGCCGGAGCCAGCCCATTTAGTGCTTTAAAAACAAATAAAAGGATTTTAAAATCAATTCTGAACCGAACTGGAAGCCAGTGTAGTGAGGCCAGAATAGGGGTGATGTGGTCGCGCTTTTTGTGGCCAGTCAGCAAACGTGCAGCAGCGTTTTGGACTAGCTGTAAGCGTTTGATTGAGGCCTGGTCCATACCCACATACAGAGCGTTACAATAGTCCAGTCTCGAGGTAACAAAGGCGTTAATAACCCTTTCTAAGTCATTAAAAGATAAATACGACTTGGTTTTGGCCAATAGTCTTATTTTAAAAAAGCAGGATTTTACTACGGTGCTAACCTGCTTGTCGAATTTAAAAGTGCTAGTGAAGGTCACTCCAAGGTTCATGACCGAGGGGAGGATGTTTTTTTTGATAGAGCCCAGAATATCAACCGGAGAGGCTGGAGGTTGCGGTCCAAAAAAGATGACCTCGGTCTTGCTCTCGTTGAGGTTGAGGAAGTTTTTGCTCAGCCAGGATTTTATCTCTGCTAAGCAATACAATGTTTAGGTAATTAGTAGGTTTGCTTTGTATGTCCTCCTGTATCTGCTACTGTGGTGTTTTTCCATTAGTGCCTCGTTTGATTGTTCCTTTTACTTGCAGGTACTTCACCGTGTTAGGCAGCCTATCAAACAGATTCGCAAAGGCCTTAAAGAAACGGGAATCTGGCCGCTTGTTTCAAATAGGCCAGATGTCCACCCCATATTATTTCCAAGAGAGAAAAATGATGAGCTGAACTCACAGGTAAGTACCATTTTCTTTATTGGATTTATGTTATTCAAGGGATTTGTTTGCAAACACTATCATGCAATTTCATTTGTTGGGGGCTCTTAAACTGGTGTGTAGATCTTAAATCAATGCTTTACAATTTTAAGATAATTCTGTAGCATATAACATGAGCTTCAATCTTAGCAAAGAACACGTTTGTATTTGATCTCCTATAGACTGTGATCCAGAACATCCACTGGCCACAGCCCAAAAGTGACAGCGATGAGGACGAGGACGACGCCGTTCCATTGGAGAAAGTCAGTCTCGTCACTGGATTTTTGAGGCAATTCATAGAGGAAGGTAACACTTTTTATTACATCTCTATTTTAAACTAGTTACTTAAGTGTAATGACTGCTAAAGCTGTAGTGCAGCTGAAGAGATGGCAGTTCTGATTAATAATAATATGCACACACATCGGTGTACAAATACAAATCTATGCATGAGTTAACCGTTGATATTCCTGCAAGTTTTACTGCTCAAATTTAAAGTTTTGATATAATGCAATTTGAGGTATCGCATACATAACAAATTCTCTCCCATAGCATCTCCGAAGGTGCTGCGTGACCTCTTGAAGTTCTGGGTCGGGTGGGAGCTGCTCACAACAAACCTTGAAGTTGAGGTTGTTACTTCAAAATACCCAGTGGCTCTCACCTGCTTCCTAAAATTGAAGCTCCCAAGCCACTACCAAACCTATGAAAAGTTCCACCAGGACTTGATGATGCCCTCAGTTCCATCAGTTCAGGCTTTGGGCTTGTGTAGCTACACACTGACTATTTTTCTGGAGAAGGGTTTGCCTCTCTATTCAATACACTGTGTGAGATACAGGGTTACAGTTGGTACACCTACCGTCTTTTATAAATAAAGGACATTTGGAAAAAGACTGTTTGTCCATTATCATTGTTACACTTTAACAATGCCCAATCCCTTGAACAGTATACTCCGAATAGTTCTTTTACAAAGTTTTTATTTTTTACCGAGTGTAAAATGAATGTAATTCTGTTGCTCTGAAACGGTTTTTGATCCTGACTGAAAATACATCTCTAAGAACACTTCCATTCATTTCTCTTCCAATTATAAGTCAAAAGAAAAATGTCAAATCATGCAATTGAGATTAATTTAATCAAGCATAAGCTATGTAAATATAAAATGATTAACTTTCCATCATTGCCAAATAACTGAAATCATGACACAAATCATACTATAGTTGTTAAATGTGTAACAACTATCGGTGCTCAATTAAGTTCTCAATGTATTGGACAGTATTGAGATATATGTCCACTCCGAAACATTCAGATTCTTCCAATGGATCAATGTTGTCTTGCAGTTGCATCATTTCAAGTTCTGAGAGAGGGAAGTTCAGCGTAGGGACATTGACCCCGGTATGATGCTCATTTGTGTATCCACTCTCTTCCCATTGAATCTCTGGTATGAGTAAACCCTAAAAAAGACAAAGTGCGTGTACAAATATTAAAGCAAGCACTGTGCCATTACTGCTTCTTATTACAAAATATGTGATCAGGTGAAATAAAGAGGGTATGCAATTGTTCTATAATAATAAAAAATGGAGTGATTGTGGAATAATGTTAAGGTAATAGTGTAATATTATAGAAAAGTGTTCTTGCTTGCACCCAGCAGAGGCTTTTTTAATCCAAGAAGGGGAGTTAGATTATGAATCAGATAACATATTATACTGTTTGGGTTTTTATTGATTGATAATAAACAAGAGATAGTGATGGTTTTGAAAATTCACAATTTACCTCAGGCTCAGGATCTGCAACAGGATTCAGGTGCTGGCCCACCTGCCACAACTGATTGGGTGTCAGATTTTGCTCTGTCCTGATGGGATGGTTGGCCCAGGCCTCACTGAACACATCCAGGTTGGCTTGGATGCGTGGCAAGAAAACGTAGTGGCAGCAGAAGATGTGCAGGACGTTACTGATGTCAAGCAGGTGTTGTTCCTCAAGAGAGTGCAGGGTGTTGTAAAAGACACCCGTAACACTCATGAACACATCACGCCAGAGGCGTTCAATTCTGTGTTAGAAGAAAACACAATTTTTTTTAAACTTAAAAGAAAATCAAAACTGTTCACTATGAACAATTTAAAGTTTCCCAGTCCTAGTCATTGAATCAATGGCAATGTCTCTAACTGAAAATTGCATTTATTTAAAAAAGAAATCAACTGACTTGACAGGAGAGTAAAACATAGCAGTGAGACTGTTAAACAATTGAACTGCTGAAACAATTTCATAACATTCATCTGCTACTTAGTAATATATATCTACTATCTAATATATATCATTCCTATAACTTGTATATAGACTCGTACTGCACTATTCCACTTTTTTTCTCTCTCACTTTATTTTAGAACTATTTTTCTTTTTGTATTACTTTTACTATCTGTATTATTATGTTGCATTGTTGGAGAAGCCTGTGACCTACTGTAAGATTTTCAACGACATAATTACTCTGTAGCTATGTTAGTTTGACAATAAAGAACCTTGAACCTTGAACATAGTGAGTTTTCAAATGTTTCAAATGTTTGCTTGGCTGGTACATTTCTGTGAAAATTGTCATTTTCTTCTTTGTGAAGGAATGGTCTCAACATGTGCTTATGAAGGTTTGTTAAAGGGAATATTAAGAAGAAGAAATATGCTCATAAGCTTACAAAATTAGGTTTAACTCACCGTTGATTGTGTACGCTTTTCCCTGCAATGAAGCTGTTACTGTCAGTTCCACGAACTGAGAACATTAATTGTGCTACTCCCACATTTTCTCCACCATGATCTCCTCTCACTCTGGAAAATAAATCAAATAATTATGCATAGTTAAAATATACGTATTTGAAGGTCCAAAAAACAAGGGGTACAATTCCATAATGATCTACATCCATAATGTGATCACAAATGGCTCTCTCTGGACATAAATATTTGAGATATCTGGACAGGTCCTTAACTGTAACCCTTAAGAGTTCTCTTTCACTTTATTAAACCTCGAGTTATCTTCCACACCTGAATGAGGGATGGTTCACATCAGCTTGTGAATAGATTATATTTTCATATTTCTGTACATTACATGAATCTCAGCTGAGGGATGGGAAAATCTGACATGTAGCTTATATATTGTCATATGTGAGGGGCTCACATAGAATTAACAATTTATATGGCTGTGTCCGACAGCACTTTTGTGGCCTGGAAAGGTACAGTTTATAATGGCAATTGTTTTAACTTATATGTTCAAATTGCCTCTTTGAACTAACAGTAAAGCACGACAATATTTGCAATGAATGAGTCCCATCAAAAGTAAAGTGGTCGTCACTGATGCAGCCATTGGAGGGGAGCATCTAAATTTGATGGAAAGGTCCGCAATTACACTAATGATTACATATGAAATAATGTGAATACCTCAGAGGAAACCCGTGGTCGTTCACAGCTTCATTGAAGAAACACAAGTGGGTGTCAGCCCGGTTGTTGTCTGCTATCTTCAAGTACATAATCTACACATACAAGTACACATAAAACAACATATTAGTACCTTGATGAATCAGTTTAACTTGAAGCATCTGTCAAATGACAATGTGCAACATTAAGAGAACAACGCACAACAGAATTATTCAATGTATAACAGAATATCATGATAGCTCAGGCAAGCTTCTTGACATATATTGTGCGGTTACTAGTATAAGTGTTTTAATTATTTCACAAGTTCTTCAAAGTATTTATTTTGAAATTAAGTAAACAAGTAAATGCATATTGTTTGATCTGAATCACTTAAAATATAAGGTGACTTTAGAAGTCCAAATCGTCTGTTTGGTAAGAGGTGATATGTAATTAACTATAGATTAGATTGTGTACCTAAAGATCACCACCTGTTGGTACAGAAAATAAACTGAAGCTTAGAAAAGTAAAACCACATGATGTTCGGCAACATTTTGCAGTTGTTGGTTCTTGACAATAGAATAGTCTTACCTTCCTTGAATAGCCATCTATTCCCCCAAAGATAACAAAGTTGTACCTGTTTTAAAAAAAAAGGAAAAGATAAGAATTAACCCCTAAACACAAAATCTGTTGATGTTTTGTGAAGTCAATGATTGACAATGATATGATTACATTCACAAGATATATACAACTAGACATTAAAATAATAAAATGAACAGATTACATACAGACAGCATGCAGACAAACCTGATGAGCTTGTGGTTGGTGTCAATGTACACCATGTACTTAGGGTAAGGAACTGTGTATGTTCTCCTCACCACACATCCCATCCGGGTCATCCTGGCGAGCACACCAACACTGTCCACACGATGCATGGATGCATACACCCGTTCCCATTGCACTCTGTGTCCCTTCGCAAGTAGAGCACCTCGGACTACACTGTAGCCAGCATCTGGCATTGCACTTTTTATTGTGGTGATCAATGAATCCAATTCGTCATCAGTGCAGCCACTATATGAAGCAGATATAGAAATGTCATTTTTGGTCATCCGCCTAAATAACGTTGCTTTAGACACACCCAGGAGTCTGGCGATGCAACTCGATGGCAGTCCCAGTTCAACCAGATGTGTCAGAGCCTCTACTGACACATTCAATCGTGGACGCCCACGTCCACAACATTTTTGCAACTCAAGGGTCACAAATGTCTGTTGATTATCTCTCTCTTGCTGGATAAGGCTATTCAGGTCTGCAAGTGCAGACTATATATTATTCCCTAAATCAACAATGTCACCCAGTGCACTCAAGATAACAAAAGCCTGACGGCACGCAAACTTTAGCCCTTCGAGATCAACAGGTGTCCTATCAAAGATGTATGTCAGTCGATCTTGAAGTCTCTGAAGGATTTCACGCTTTACTGATTCCTGGGGGGAAAAGAATAGAAAAGATAGATAAAATATGACCAACAGTGCTCAACGTTCGACCGTTTGTTTACCAACACCGGTTAATCCTATTTAACGTCAGAGGCCTGTACTACGAAGCTGGTTCAACCTAACCTGGATATGTTTGAGTTAGCCGGCTGGCCCAATCCAAAACATACGCGCTCTGGCTAAACTGTACTACGACGCTGGTTATCAAGTGGATCGCTCAAGCCAGCCGTGTCCTATCTAGTTAGGTGCGCGTTCACATGAAAGGGGTGGTATTTGGAGCATTCGACCAATCTCAAACACGGACAAGCGTACTGACAGCGCAGCGTCATACTTCCTGAGTGAAAAGTGAACTTTAATATTAGTCAAATATGAAGAAGTTAAACTTTAAACATCCATGACTTAAACACTTTATCCAGGATAAAAGCCACATAGCTGCACCTGCAAGGTGAATACAGCTGGTAAAAGAAAAAGTGTTTGAATGCGTACATTAACAGGTTTATGAAATCACTGCCCCGTCCAAGACACGAGTGGATCTGACTTTAATTAGGAGAATTTGACTCGAGTGTTTCATCAACTTAATGTGTTGCTTAAAATAATACTTCTGCATACAGTATGTGACACTGTGAGTGTTGCACGGCCAGATACGGCTCAAGAAGCTGACTCAAATAAGGAAATATATGATACATTATGATGTGATATGATATGAATGATAATGGAACACATCGACGTCTGCACTCACAGTGCCGCGGACTGTACTTAATGTTACTCTGATCCGGTTACTTATGTCGTGGCAGATATTTAAGTAAGCTTTCTTAACGCTAATATTATAATAGTCAGATTGCTCTGAAGATGGGAGGGGATATTCTATTAATTTTCACGTTCACACAGTCAGTTGATTTTGGCCGGCCGTCTTTCCTGCAACGGCAGTTTTTCTGTATTTCCTCTATCCTGTAATATGAATTGATCGCTTTAAACTCCGCACACGGAGCTCTGATTGGTCAGCAGGCGGTGCTTTCACTGAGTTGATCTCTTAGCCTGCCACCTAACCTGCTCCGGAGCAGGTTTGCCGCTCAGCATAAGTTACCATGGAAATCTAGCCTGCTAAAAAGAGAACCAGCGTCGTAGGACCGGAAAGCCCGAGATTTCCCTGAAGTTAGCCGGCTAAGCGAAAATCCAGCTTCGTAGTACAGGCCTCTGCTCTTAATGTTCAATTCCACCCCATCATTAAACACAATGGAATATATTTTGAATAATAATTTGAGCAGGAAACTTTGGATTCATTCTGTCTAAGCTGTCCCTAAAAAAGAAAGCAAGAAAATGAAAGAAGTTAAAGAAATGTTTGGCTAATGTTAGCTATGTAAGGTTATAATCCTAGGTAGTCTATTAGCATTATATAGCTAACTTGCCAGCAAACGCTAGCATTACATGCCACCCATATTACTTCCATGCTAACACATCACTAACATAACAAGAATTCATACCTAAAACATATTTAATCATTCACGCCGAGACACGTATCACTTACACTTGTGCTAGACGCCATGTTGAAGTTGACCTGTCAGCTCCATGGATGTTCCGTCAGCTCCGGAGTCCGGACAGCGCAAAATGCGTAAATGAAGTGCTACGTCATCAACGCAAGAAATCCTACCCTCGTGGGGGCGCGCTCATGTGATTGGCTTAGACTGCAGGAGACATCTGATTGGCTATAGATGAAAGAAATTACAAGTACGAATCGGGTGACCGTCAGGGGAGTCTCAAAAAACCCACACACGAATGCACAGCGATCCATGCACAGAAAGCGGTTTGTGTTTGCAGGTTCAGAGGATTTAAACGGTAAACAAATATGTGAGGATCAAAAATACATATGTAAAACTTTTTTCTGTGTTTGGATTTTATTTACATGTATATGAAACGGAACACATTTGTGTGTGCATTGAAAAACACAAGTGTGGATCCGAAAATACAAGTGTGAATCCTTCTGTGTGCATGTGTGTATTATGAGACTGTTCTGAGCCCATATTTTAGCGAGCTGCATGAGAAACTGACGGGCTGTCAGGAGAGAGGGAGGGAGAGAGGAAAAGAGAGGATCCTTACTCCCATGTTATTAGCCATATCCGGTCATAGTCCGGTAATTACCTGCTAACGGAAACTCTGCTACACAATTCTTATTATTATTCTTATTATTATTGAAACATGACCGGTAAGTTTCAAATTTGTCCGGTAAAATTAAATTCTGTCTGCGGAAACCCTGCTCCGGACAGCGCAAAATGCGTATATGAAGTGACATGAACGCAAGAAATCTACCCTCGTGGGGGCGCGCTCATGTGATTGGCTTAGAATTGAGGAGACATCTGATTGGCTATAGATAGAAAAAATTACAAGTACGAATCGGGTGACCGTCAGGGGAGTCTCAAAAAACCCACACACGAATGCACAGCGATCCATGCACAGAAAGCGGTTTGTGTTTGTAGGTTCAGGGGATTTAACGGAAAACAAATATGTGAGGATCAAAAATACATATGTAAAACTTTTTTCTGTATTTGGATTTTATTTACATGTATATGAAACGGAACACATTTGTGTGTGCATTGAAAAACACAAGTGTGGATCCGGAAATACAAGTGTGAATCCTTTTGCGGATCATGAAATACAAGTGTGAATCCTTCTGTGTGCATGTGTGTATTATGAGACTGTTCTGAGCCCATAAAACTATGCCGCGCCTACCAGTGGCGTCGCCTGGCCTGGGCATCCGGGGCTTTAGCCCCGAATGTTTTTTCTGTAGCCCCGGACAATTCTCCCTCAATAATATAATACATTAACCGTGCTTTACGTGAACCTCATCATGACACAAGAGAGGACGACAGCACTGTAATTTCCCGTGTTCAGTGAATGCAACAGAGGCATGACACCAGACCAATCAGAGAGTTGCATGGAAATAAATGTGTGCTTGTGTCATTCAAGCTCTGTGTGTGTGTGGCAATAGCGCATTTAGTGTGATAGAGAGAGAGAGAGGGAGAGAGGGACCTGTGCCAGCATGGACCGTGTTGTTAGCATCTGGTTAGCTAGCTGCACTAACGGACATAAGGAGCTGTTTGTTCCACAAGAAGCTGGAGGAGAGTCCTCTCCTCTCAGACTGAGAGACTCAGGTGAGCTAAAGGACTCTCTGAGTGTTTAGATACATAACTTTAGTCTAAGTTATCTCAGTGGGTCTCAAACGGTTTGGTCACAAATTATTCAAAAGATTATTTCCACAGCACACCTTCATATGATCATTATAGTTATAAAAAAAATAAGAGAATAAAGGAAAAACAGTTATGAAATACTATATGGCAGTAAAACAAGAATAGAGTTTAAAAGGGGAGTGATTAGTAAAATATCCATAAAGAAAAAGTACATCTGTTTACAGTTCTGCTTCATATGGGTGTTGAGAGAGGTATCCATAGATCTCTTCATTTTGCTCTCAAAGTGCACCAGATTGATGCATTTAACTTCAATATTTAAAAAAAAATCTTCCCGGGGGAGCATCCCCCCGGACCCCCCTAGAGGAGGTGAGCCCCCCACTCATAAAAAATACCACTTTACCCCTGCCTATATGCCGTGAGCTGATTATCGAGCCTTCATTGTAACAGTCGCGGGTGTTCTGTGTGTGTTCGTGTGGGGAGTGTTGCAGTGAAAAATGCCACTGTGGTGCCGCCGCCACTGTGGGCTAAGCCCCGAATGTTTTCAGGTCCAGGCGACGCCCCTGGCGCCTACACTAATCGACGCATAAGTCTGTGTGATCTGCGTGTAGGGAGGGGCTGCTCTGCCTTTAGCTTACTTTCAACATACACACAATGCCCTTTCAGATGTATCCACTCTTCAAAACACAGCCTTTTGTGTGAGAAATACAGCTTTAGTGTTGAAGGATTGTAAAAACGCAGCAAAGAGGTGACATTTAGATGTAGCCTGCTGTGTGAACACGCTCTCAGCGGTCATAATATTTACACAAACATCCACAGCAGAACAAATGTCATCTAAGCACGCTACGCTTGAAATGGTACCCGCTGCATCAGATCCATGTTTACGATATTGGGGAAATAAATGGTGTTTGGTCTGCTAGTTGCTTCAACGTGTTTCTAATCTCGGTTCTACTCTGCACGGCATCTATTTTCTCCCTAAAGTCATCCCTCTCATAACCCCGGAATAAAGCCCAAGGGATGGCTCAAGTGTAATAAATTGTAGTTATTCGGACACCCACCATTTCATTCCTTATCTCAAACCCTTTCATCTACCACATGGGGAATAGATGAGGGAATATCAGTAGCGCTCTTGTAAGAGAAAACACATCAACATGGGCCTAAAGCAAGGCCGTAGCTTGGTAAAGTCAGTGGATCCTCTATCGATCATTATAATTAGCTCTTCTGTTGTCCTATTTTTAGTTTTGTGCATAAGATTAGATTTATTGTCTTTTTAAATGATCATGTATTGGTTAATTGTGTATTAGATTGCAGTACTGGCATACCTCTTAAAAGGGAAACTTGAAAGCAACATGTATCATAATGAGTGATGCACCATAATATGTTGCTGATAGCCTCACCCATCACTCTCATCAAGCTGCATAGCAGGGATATCATATTTGATTAAATTAATCAAGAGTCATTGGCAACTATTACAAGTAGGGATGCTCCGATCGATCGGTCACCAATCGAGATCTGCCGATACTCACTCTCTACCGATCGATCGGTGCTCTCTAAACATGCCGATCGCGAGGGCCGATCGCATGACGTAAAATACATGACACTTTTCTCTGTACGCGGCAAAACAAGCTCGCCAAAATGGCTTCACCGGTCTGGCATTATTTTAAGGTGTCCGAAAAAGACAGTAAAATAGCGGTATGCAACGTGTGTGTGAAGCAGAAATCCTGCAGCTCCACCCGCTGTGACGGAGACCGGTGAGCGGAGCGAAACACACAAGAGTTAGACCTAACACACTTAGCTATTTTATCTACTTCTGGAACAAGCTAAACTAGTTATAAATATGTTTATTCTTCACTGTCGGCCTCACACATTACTGGATCAGTGAGCTGCATGAGACGATACTGGCGGGCTGTCAGGAGAGGGGGAGAGAGAGGGGGAGAGAGGGGGAGAGAGAGGGGGAGAGAGGGGGAGAGAGAGAGGGAGAGAGAGGGAGAGAGCGCTTCCGCTCATTTCTCCCGTGGTATTATCCAAAGTGAATGTAAACTTGAATAATATACATAATTTGAATGTAATAATTAAGTTGATTGTTGTTTGTGGAAGCTCCAGTGAATGAGCCCCATTAACTGAGTTTTAAACATCACTTTAAATGGAAGATTTAAAGTGATGTTTAAATCTTCCATTTAGGCCCCGCCCACTCGATCGGATCGGCGATCGGTTCGGTATCTGCCGATACTGATTCCGGCGATCGGCGATCGGCCCCAACATTGGCGATCGGAGCATCCCTAATTACAAGCTATATGTTTGCTGCCAAACCCTAAATAAAGGAAGATATAGTAATGAATTCTGGAATTAATAAAAGCATAACACATCTCCAGGTTATCATTAAAAAAAAATATTCATCTTCCTTTTGTGCCTAACCTGAAAGTGATAGCCCCACTTTTCCTACTCCTTGAGCATCAAATGATAGGCCTGTTTGAGAGATCACACCAAAATTACAGGCCTCTGTTTCTTCAAATTGACAAAAGGCTGCACAAACAAGAAGTGAGATTGCTCAAAGTGTTGGTAATGTGTGGGAAAATTACAACAATTTCTCACTGACACCATAATCCATCACTTTCATTCTTGTTTACATTTTTGCTATTTGGAGAGTCTCATGGGTGTCTTCATTGGATAGGATCCAGATTATGATTTTATGGTCAGTGATGATCCCGTGGCTGCCTTCTCTCTTAGAACTTGTGAGGCTGGCCAAAGCTATGAGTCTTCAGTTGTTTCCGTCCTGCAGATACTATCGACTTCGACTTTGTGGTTTTGTAATGCAAACATTTTATAGACTGTGGTAAATCGCTTCAAACACTTCTTGTAAGTGAGTGTATGTGTGTGTGTATGAATGTGTGCTGGAGAGGAGTACAGCCAAAGGAAACAAAACCATACCTTCATCTTTATTGTTAGACCTTTGTGGGTAGAAATTAGATTATAGATGCACAGTAATTTATCCACCACCTACTCCTTTGTACTGAGCATCTCCAACTATAGTCCTGGTTGCCTGCAACCTCTCTTTAATATCCAATAAGTCACTTTGCACAGCTGTTGCTCATCAATGAAAGGTTATACCACCCAACACCTCCTTTAACCACAAATGGTCATTTTTATATTTTTCTTTGTGCTTGGTATTAACACATAAATTAGCTAAGAAGTATTTTATCTATAGATGTTTGAAGTGTTTTCCCCCACTGGCTAGCTTCCACTCTTCATGCTAAGCTAAGCTAAGCTAATCACCGCCCCAGTATAGCCTAGTATAGTCTTTTAAGATATTTCCAACATTCGAAATTCAACACAAATGTAAGGACTGTAACTTTTGTACTTTTATAAAGCTTCATTCCTGCTACATTCTCCTTGTCACTGATTTACAGGCCTGCTTTTTGCTGAATTTGTCTGGCAGCCGTGCTCCACATCTGCATTGCATATGTCTATGTGAACAAGTCGTTAAGTTATATAAACTGTGAAAAGGTCAGATTCAGATGTAAAACCTGTAACCAAAGAAATAAAAGCATATGCTGATGGCATGTCCAGCTTTTTCCAATTGTTCTGTAATAGTCTTGAAACCTATGTCCTTAAAACAGATTGATTGCTCCATCCAAGTCTCTTCTCCGACAGCATTATGTATTATAAAACATCTTGTTGTACACCTTTTTTTCTTTACAGTTGTATGTAAAGAAAACAATAGCTTTTTTTAGCCTTTTTTCAGTTTTCTTTGACTATTGAGTATCAGATTATATAATGTTGGGCCACATCTCAATGTCAAATGTCAGCATTGTAGCTATTCAAATCTATGCTCGGTGCAAAAGTTAAGAAAAAACATTTTTACAGCTTGTAGAAATACTCCTATGCACCCAATACAATTAATAAAAAGCCTATTTGCACCTTTGAACACTACAAATTCAGTTGTATGCCTGGGGACTTTCTCTTGCCTAAAAAAACCATGTCTTCCAGGAGCCCTTCCCCTTTTGTTTTCCGGGGAGGGGAGAACTGAGCAAAGGAAAGCCTGACTTTCGGGGGAGAGAAGAGATGAGTATCTGAGCTGCGGGGGAAGAGAGTGGAGATGATCGAGGGTTCCTGCTAACAGGAACAGCCTGCTGTTGTACTTACTATATTTACATCAGATGGGACTTGATATGCAACCGGTTTCCCTCCTCTTCCTGTGACTATTGGGTTCGTTATTTATCTAACAAGTGCAGAAAGATGGTTTGAAGGGAACAGAGCAAACCTCCAAAGTGAAAGTCAACTGGGAACTTGATAGTGCGTCTGTACTGGTAAGACCCATTTAATCTCTTAGTAAACTAACTTCTGAAAGAACAGCTATGAAGCATGAAACACCTCAAATGTCTCATTAAAAAAAATAGGGGAAGTAAGTAATGGGAACACCAATGTAGGAATTGTTTTACACAGGGATTCTATGTTGTTTGAAATCAACCAACCCCTTTGATATGCCTTTTTTTGTTTCGTTGCTAACTATTTGCAAATGTAAATGCAATATTTTAGCGGGAAGTCAGTCAGAGTTGGGGGTGCGGGAGGCGCTTACACTGTAGGTGCGCCGCGTTTGCGCTTCAGATGAGGCTCCCTCCGCAAAATGAGCCACATTTTGCCTCACCTCATTCTGCCTCGCAGTCTGCGTGATCTGCGTGTATAGGGCGGCCCTGTATAATAACGTCATATTAAATGCAGTCATTTGGTCTTTAGCAACCGCTTGTCAGAGCAGCTCATTCATCGGTGTTCGTTTTAATGCTGCCAGTTTGTTGACGGCCTGTGTGTTGATGGGACTTCTCACGCTCCCTAGATTTCTCCCCTGCCTTTCGCCAGTTGTTAAATCCTCCTTTCACCAAACTCCCATCCCTGATCTTGTCTGCACTGACGAGCTTATTTTCTATAGCAGAGCAACAGACGAAGCACACCGCATTATCACTTTCTCTTATATAGTGAAGCTTTTTATAGACTGCTTACACTAAAATGCTAACTCAAAAATAGTAACTCAAAATATAACTTTTGTATTGATTTGTTTAGTGAACTTTTTGGCGTTGCAGTTACAACTCTCCGCCAACAGATGGGGGTGCTGCAGCCCCTTCAGCACCCCCCTTCCCGCGTCCATGAGCATAGTTTAAAGCAGGGGTACTCAAACTTTTTTATTAAAGGTCCAGTTGTGAACTTTATACAAGGTCACTGGTCCGGATCAATGCCAGTAAAGTCCCCCCCCCCGTCCCCCGAGCGGAGAAACGAAACTGAAATTAAGAAGCAGTTTCTTGGCGCTCTATGCATGGGGGGTTTTCCCGACATGTCGTTGCAGTAAATTAAAGGGTGTGTCATGTTGTCGTTGCTGTGGCCCTTCTTAATCTACCTTCTTTGGGGGCCCCCTTCTGCTCCAAGCACTTGCCTGCCTTGCCTGCCTTGCCTGTCGGTAAACGGCGCCCCTGTATACACACACACATTCAATACATACATACAGTATGGTGGCTTGAACTAGTGGGAGAAATGGCACTGTTTGTCTGTAGCAAATGCCTTGAACCTCGGCAAAAAAGGCATTAGAAGCATTAGAAAGTCAAGGTAAACTTGCGGTTAACTTGCGGTCTGCTATGCGTGTCACGCTCGCGCACACAAGTAAATATATATGCACGTTCATTCTCACAACGCGTCAGACACAAGACGCGCGTACATGATGATGTACATTAATTTATCAGAATATGATTTTTTCTTTTTTTTTTTTTTTATAATGGGACACAGGGTTCGGTCCGGATTGATTTGCAGTTCGGTCCGGATCCGGACCTTGGTCCGGAGTTTGAGAAGCCCTGGTTTAAAGGTTGGGTATGTAATTTATTTCAGAAATACTTCTTGTTATATTCCATGGAATGCTCTTAATTAACATCCTGATAGCAATGAATATATTAAATGCTTTGACAATAAATACATAACAAAATGTAATCTGTGGAAGCCGTAGCGCTGTAAAAAGCACGACCAATCCTTTTAAAATAACTGGATGGCCTACCTGCCTGTCAGCCTTCCATCTGTGCACACATTTATCTCGTGCCCTCATTGGTCATGTGCGCGTTCATGTGTGTTGGAGGAGGGGCTCTGTAAGGAAGTGGCAGATTTTTTACGGTTGTGTATTTTCAAATTCTAGCGCACTCGAGCTGGTTTCTCCAAAATTACATACCCCACCTTTAAGTTACGATAATGTAGTGATTTAACATTCTTTCACCATTTTAAAGAGTGATCATTTAAACCAGTGGTTCTCAACTGGTCAGGCCTCGGGACCCACTTTTTACTTGGTCAATACATCGCGACCCAACATTTTGAAGCACTCAAATCTATTCAACAAAAAATCGTGCTGTAATATACGCTTTTCAGAATACAATATTAATAAAAGTGAAGTACAGTGCATATATCCCTTATATCCCTTCACAGAACTAAAGTATGCTTTAAAAAAAGGTTTAATGAGATGATGGAATCAAAGCTGAACTATATAAAAAGGCACACATGCTGAAAACCCAACCCCAGCAGGGGGGTCTGGGGGGATTCTCCCCCAGGAGATTTTTAGAAATACTAACATAAACTACGCATTCTGGTACACTCTGAGAAGAAAATCGGGACTTCAAAATAAAAGTTTGAGTTTTTCCCCCCCAAAAAAAAAAAAAAAAAATCGAATTTTTTTTTCCCAACTTTTTTTTCTTCACTCACACATCCGCGACCCACTCGAAACGGGTCCGCGACCCACTTTTGGGTCGCGACCCACCAGTTGAGAACCACTGATTTAAACCTAACATTTTCTTTAACAAAATATTTACTGGAGATGAATGGCTAATGCTTGACGTCATCATCTATTCTAGAGTCCATATTAATCAACTCCCACTGATGATGTTAGAATAAACCAAAGCTTGGCTCCTGTGGGAGAATTCTTGTGGATTTCATGCTTTTTGATCCAACCTTGTTCTATGTAGTCTGTGGAAAAAAACACCTACTGTCTAAAAACAAGCTAAACAATATTTATGAAGAAAGCAGTTAGCTCCCTTTGAGAAATATATTGTCAGTATACACATCAGACTTTTGTAAAAAAAACAATTCAGTGTTTTTAGTTGAGATTCTTGGCAAGACCTAGTCAAACCTATAGGCTGTGAAGTTTCCGTTTTATTTATTCACCTCAGTGAGAGCACAACGTTTTCATTATCTCTCGTCTAATTGATCACCTCTATGTGCATTTGTCCCTGTTGCCTTGATAACGTATTGCATAAGAAATGTTTTTACTAAGGGATATCTTTAATAAAATCCCATTAAAAGGTTTGCAATACAAACAAATAAAACAAATAGTATAACTTTTTACAGATGGGTTATACAGGGCAGAATACTCGATGTACAGCAGACTATTACAGGTATCCTTGGGCAAGATATTTAACCCTGAGTTGCTCCCGATGGCATGGCCAACGGTGTGTGAATGTTAGTTTCTAAGAACAATTGGCTTTGAGGGGTCGTACAGACCTGATGAAGTGCTATATAAGTACAGTCCATTTACCATTTACCATCACAGATGTCTCAAAATAATTCGCAACCACAAGTATACTGTATTAAAAAATGGTTTGCACCACAAACTGTAACTGTAATATAATTGTGTCTTATGGAGGCTGGTCTGTTAAGTGGCTGAAAAAGATCCCATGCTCAGTTTACGAACCTCTTACCACACATTTTGCACACACTGCATTTTCCATTGCATAGAGTGCATGCACCTCATGATTATGTGTCTGTGGTTGACCATTAGTTTGAATAGAAAACCACTGTACTGCCTCCTTAATGCAAAATGGGATACAATATATTGATTTGAGAAGCTAACAGGATTTTTAGTCTAATTGCACACTCAAAGGGTTATTAGGGTCACAAAAGAGCTGGCGCCAATCTCCGACTGTCTCCTTATAGTATTCTCTATGGAAGTACCTGAACAGTGTAGTTAGCTTTTAGCTTTAGATCCTAATGTTGCCTCTTAGGAAAATGTCACAATTATACAGACAAATTACTGTCAGGGCTATAGAGTGCTGCAGGGACGATGTAATTTTTGTAGGCTACCCCGCAAGTTAGCATCGCACTGGTTCCTTTGACAAAATCTCTGTTGGATTTTGTATTTGATTTTAGATTATTGCTCAAAAATAAGCTCTGTAAACAAAAGTGTATGACACCCGTGATGATCACCAGATGGACCCCACTTTTATGATTTTTGAAGCTTAAATTAAATTGCCTGATGTAAAGCAAATGTAAGTCACAAATGAACTACTCCCTGTGGCATGAATTAATGTCACCACAGCTAAGCCAGTGTGTTGGACGCGATGGAGTAGTCTTATTTGGCTACTTGTATGTGACTGCTCTTTTTTAAGATACAAAGAAGCTTAAAGAATCTACGAGTAGAGGATCACCGCTGTCTTTTATGTCGTAGAACAAAGCATGTAATTGTTTCCAAAAATGTATCACTCTATTTTAGCCATAAATACAAATATATGCACAGTTTATTAATCAAACACTATCCATTTATTTGTTTATTTCTCATTAGCTGAAGTATGGCCTCTAGTTTGCTTTCTTTTTTCTCTTTAGCTGTCACTCTATTTCCTTCTACATTTGGATCGTATCTTGAAAAGTATTAAATAGCAGGACATACAGTGGCCTCACACCTTTTGTTGGCTGATGAAACAAGTGTTAGGAAGCTCACAGGAAGTTAAACCCACAGTTTGCTATGTGCAGTGTTATCTTGATCCACCTAGTAAATTTAAATGAAGTATTAGACAGGACGTACTGAGATCACTATTGAAAGATGAGCAAAGACATAATTGGCAAATCCGTGAGGCTTACATAAACATTTAATATTTCTTCCTATTTCGGGATTATATGAATATCCTTATAGTATGCCATCAATCTAATGTTTTGCTTAGGGAAAACATTATTATTTATTGCCCATATTTGATTTCACTTCACCTTCTGACCTAATGCATAACTGCACCTAGCTTGTCACCAGTCTCATACAGTCTGACTATGGCAGACATGATATTGGGGACAGACCACTAGGGACAGCATCACAGATCCATTGTGACACTATGTGTTTATTTCGAGTAACTCTGTGTCAGCACTGTTCATATAACTGCATTTCCTGCCAGGATATGACAGCTCTCCTACTCTCTGTCTATAGCAGTCTCTATGTCACTCTCTCCATGCTGTCTGTATGTGTGGGTATTATGTTTTTGCTCTATCTTTATATGGTTTGCATATCCATCCTAAAAATGTGCTCACAAAATGTTATCGATTTAAACAGACTTGTATAAGATAGGGTCTGTCGGTATTGGTTACAATTATTGTACCTGCAAGGACGATTGCTAAGATCTGGGAACATCTTCTCAAAAGGTGTCTGACAGGGCAAGCAGCAGTAACAGTCACACAATCAGACCAGAAGACAAAAAAACAAACGAAAACAGTAAATGGCCGCATTTAATCGTCCATCATAGTTAGCAGCCTTAATACCTCTTTTGATGTTGACTTTAAAGGTAGGGTAGGTAAGTTTGCTCGAGATACACTTTTTGTTATATTCCATGGAATGCTCTTAACATCCCGATGGCAATGAATATCGTAAGTGCTTTGACAAAAAATCCATAAAAAAATGTCATCTGTGGAAGCCGTAATACTGTAAAAAGCACGACCAATCATTTTAGCCGGCCCAGCTAAAATAACTGGATGGCCTACCTGCCTGTCAGCCTTCCATCTGTGCACAAACTTATCTCGTGCCCTCATTGGTCATGTGCGCGTTCGTGTGTGTTGGAGGAGGGGCTCTATAAGGAAGTGGCAGATTTTCTCCGGTTGTGTATTTTCAAATTCTAGCGATCTCGAGCCGGTTTCTCAAACTTACCTACCCTACCTTTAAGTATTTAGGATTTATCAGCAACATTGGTGCGTTTACTTTCAAATGTACCTCCAAATGAATAGTGGTTGAGATAATCTGGCTAAACTGTTTCTAACTCCTTTTTCAATGTTAGCCATTGTTTAAGCAAAATACAAAAGCCATGTTCCCAAATCTTAGCAAATACTTTGTACATAAAATGTTGAACCACTGGAAATGATGGCAAGAAATGTAAATGAATAAGAATGTACTAGACCAGCCATGCATTACTTTAGATAGGAATATGCATGTAGAAGATTGAATCCAAGCACCAGCAGTTATGCAACACACCTTGCCTTAATAAAGAGTTGGAAAAGTACCATTTAGCATTACATCCACAAAAGCGTGTTGGAATTGCAACAAAACCAGCCCACTCTCACAGCAGAAAGTTTAGTATGTCTCTATTTCTTCATGTGTTTTGAATGTCTCAATGTTTACATTTTCTCTTTTTTTTTACTTTTGAGGTTGAAGAGGGAAATGAAATTCCTCCTTCCATCTCTGAGTCATCTGTAATCGAGGAACTCACACCAGCTGATAATCATGAATGCCTCATCATTTGCCAACAACACCCAACTATGCTACTCCATCAACAGCCCTCCATTCAGGCCCATCCCCAACGCCTCGGCCTACTTCTCATCCATCTTCAGCGCCTTGGGTCTCACATCAAATTTCATCGCCTTCGTAGTTCTACTCAAGTCCTTCCAGCGGACACACAGCCGCTCGCGCACCTTCTTCATGATCTTCCTGGGTGGCCTGGTGGTTACTGACTTCATGGGTCTTCTGGTCACCGGGTCCATCGTGGTTTCATACCACATCACTCACTTTAATTGGCGCAACTTAGATCCAAACTGCCACTTATGCAACTTCATGGGTATGTCTATGGTCTTCTATGGACTGTGCCCACTGATGCTTGGTGCTGCCATGGCCATAGAGCGCTTCATTGGCATCAACCACCCATTTGCACACTCCACCAGCATGCCCAAGTGCCGGACAGTGTTCATGGTGCTGATGGTGTGGTTGATCGCAGGCTGCATAGCTTTGCTGCCCCTAATTGGCATTGGGAGCTACCACATGCAGATACCTGGATCCTGGTGTTTTTTCAACATCAGCTCTAAGGGGAATGATTTTGCCTTCTCCCTGATCTTCTCTCTGCTCGGGTTGATGAGCATCACTGTGTCATTTTTGCTAAACACGGTGAGCATTGTGACGCTAATCAAGGTGTGCTGCCGACAGGGTAAGAACCAGCGCCGCAGAGATGACGAAATAGAGATGATGGTTCAGCTCATCCTCATCATGGTCATCGCTTCCAACTGCTGGTGCCCCCTTCTGGTGAGTTTGCCAATTTTTTACAATAATAATAATATATACTGTATATATATATATATTGAATAATATTTCAAATGAGCCCTATATGTGTGTAATATTTTAAGGACTGGTTGTGTGGCAAAAGATAAAGATGGAACAAAAACACACTTCACACTCCTCCCTGTATGGTGATAAAATCACAAGGGAATGTGCCATTTTTGGCTGCAGGCAAAAGAGGGAATTTCTCTTCCCTCAGTCCTAGTGTTTACAGATGAGCATCTTGACATTTTGCACATTTTTGAAATTCATTATCAACGTCTTTAAATATCCACCAGAAAGCCACAAGACACCCTAAAATAAAACAGATATCTGATCTGTACACTTGACCAAAGTAACCATGAAACAACCTCAATTATAAGGTGACTAATGCAATTAAAATGTAGCCAGATATTATTTTGCAAAGCACTTTGAGTAATGGAGTCATCCATTATTCTTGGTAGTATCTGTGCTGTTTTTCAATTGTTGAAACCATAATAAGGCATCAAAGGATCCTAAGCTCCTTTTGTCCACTTTCCATGTATATGCTTCACTTCTCCTAAGCAATGCAGCTACCTAATTGATCTGAAAGCCCTCTGATCTGGATTAGAGAGCCCCTTAATGCCTTAGTTGAGATAATGCTTCAGCTTCAGATCATGGGTGAAATCAGTGCCTTTTAAGGTCAACTCCAGTTTATCACAACTTGGATTTAACTTGTGTAGCTATAGCTTTTGGTTTTATCCGATATAACATTGCACTCAACTTTCTTTACTGATAACATGGCAACATCAATACACAATCACACATTTATTGGGAAGGAAAATAAAAGTGTAGGTAAAGTGTAATCCAAGTGACCTTTTAATTTTTACCTACTGCTATTGCCATAGTTGGATTATAAGAACAAATATGGGGATAACATATTTAGAAAAACCTTAATGTTTAGGGATGTTGCTTTATCTAAGATCTTAGCTATTACTATCCTGAATAAGATGTTATCATTACTAATAGCACAAGCTACAACAAAATACAACCCAAGTTATTTTAAACTGCTGTTTTCCTGAGACCAGTCCACTAATTGTCTTGCTTACAACTGTAGAAGCAACAAGAGGAATTTACTCCAACCTACGTACACTCCTTTCATGATACCATCATGCTTGTTCCTACTTGTATTGGGCTTTGATACAAAATAAATGACAGAGGTGTATGGAGTGCCCTTTGATTACTGCTCAACATAAGGTCAAAAGATCATTAATCTGTGCTTAAAATGATATCTATGTGCCTATGTGTTGCTTTCAGACCAGCATACATAACCATCTACAACACCTAAAAGTTGTCAATTCATAACTTTTATAAAAAAAAATTGATTTTAAATGTAGCCCATCAGAGTAAGCAACACAAAGGCTAAAGTTACCTGACTGGAGCACATATTGTTCTTCAGTCCTGTCTTACCTCAGTTGTGTGACACCCTGCACAGATATATATTCTGAGGTACGTGACTCAGGTGACTACTGAGATGACTGCAGATCCTGAAAGAGATGAAAATGTTTTGTTCTTCATACGAATGGCCACCTGCAATCAGATATGTGACCCCTGGATATACATCATGTGTCAAGTGTCCCCACTAAGGCGAGTACAAAAACCATGATAGCAATAAGTTGATATAATAACACAGCTTCTCCAAAGTAACTTCTCATCACCAATCGTAACTTTGTGTTCTGGTTGGCTGGCTAACTCAGCATGTCCTGAACATCTGCCAATAAAACTCACGGATGGAGTGAACAACAAAGTTTACTTGCAGCTTCCAAAACATTACCCAAAAGCTCATCATGGGGAGCATGCTTCATAGTGAGGCCAATTTCTCATCTTGGCTTTGATGCTGCTATGTTAACTTCATTCCATTCCTAGTCCGTTAATAAACATTTCACCTAAATAGTTTCAGCCTTTTGTCATGTTTGTTTATTGCCCTTGTTATTCCCTGAAACTAACATGAATGATTTATTACCAGAACTTGATACCTTAACAATCTGAAGATTGAGGTTTTGTTTGGTTACTCAAACATTATTTGAAGCAGAGCAGCAGATGTCTTTTGGAAGAGTTAAACATCAAGCACGTTTTCCAGGCTCTGTGAATGTAGTATTCCGGAAAAATGCAATCTTGCTTTAGTAGCTTATCTAGCTAAAAACAAAGATTGTTGCCTGTAAGCAAGACTGTGAACGCTACCTTCTGCGAAAGTGAAAGTTAGCAACTAAAATAAACTTGGAAAAGTGACTGGTTTTTTTCAGTCCTTGGAGCACCTCTGCTTCTAAGAACATTTTGCCTGACTTAAACATTGGTTTGCATTTAATCTCAAAGCTTGCATGCAACAATTTCATGATGAAGGGGAAGTATATAACTGTTTCCTCTCACTGCTTGGGTGTAAACCACAGTTGAACAGTTTTTTGGCACCAGCTGAATTTGAAACAGAGACAACAACAAGGCAATTTGTCATTCCTAAAGGAGCTTGTTAGTATGTTTTTTTCTCCACTAGAGACTGCTTGGGCAAATGCTAATAGAGTGGTGCAGGGATGACGTATTTACCCGGAAATAAGCTGCGCATGGGTTCCCTCCACGGATGTATAATAAGAACGGTTCCCTCGACAAAAAAGCAATGGGATTTCTCCATAGGATTTTGGAAAATAGCTCGAAATAAGGTCTGTGGAAAACTCACCTGTTAGATAAATGCACGTTTTGTTCAGCCGGATAATATCCACATGTCTACCCTACTTTTATAATTTTCGAATCATAAATCTAATCGCCAGAAGCAAAATGCTAACGTTATGCTATAAACGAACTACAGCAGGGTCGCTGCTTCAACGTCACGCCAACTTGGGATCGATACTCAAAAATGGACTCTGAGACAAGGGAACCGGTAGTGGTAAAATGCTAACTCACTTCCAGGTTTTAGAACTCGTCACTGCACCACTCTATAAGGCTATGCCTCACAAATGCAGCAGTTTTAGTAAAGCAAGATAAATATATTTTAGCCATTTCCCTCAGTAGACCTAACACATGTGTATGTGTCTGTGTGCATTTGCAATATTAACCATCTTTTGCCTCTTGTTCCCTACTTCATCTCTCCTTCAAAATCTTTGCTGTCTGTGGTCATTAACATATTTTCTCTCCTGCAACTATTTTACTTCCCTTCTTTAAACCTACCATATCATGTCATCTCATTCCTTCCTCACTCCATTTCTCCATTATATCTTGCCTCTTTTTTCCTTCATCCATATCCCCACTTAAACCCTTTCCCCACCAGGTCTTTATTGCACAAACTGTGCTGTCCGGACGTCCTCTCCAGATCAAATACCTACTGCTGTGGCTCCGCTTCGCCACCTTCAACCAGATCCTGGATCCCTGGGTCTACATCCTGTTCCGAAGAGCCATACTTAAAAGAGTCGCCCCCCGCCTCGACTGGTCTCGCAACTCCATCGTGTCTTTGTCTTCTTTTGGCGACACCGTCCGAAGGTTTACCCGCTCCTCACTACGGAGCACCATGAACCAGGAAACCGCAGGAGACCGGCGGAAATCTAACCTCCCACCTCCTTCTCCGTAATTGTTTGGATTTGGGCTTTTGCGGCAAGCTGAGTGATATTGTTGTGGAAACTGGAGGTGTTTGACGGTGTTTTCAAGCTCTGTGACCAAAATACCAATACTGTGACCAAAATAAGAAGCAGATTATGAACAATTTGTTATTTTTTTGCATAGCACTGAAAGCTTTAGCAGTATTAGCAATGACACTTTAATTTAGAGCAGTTTATAGAATACAACAGTGGCTGATTGGAAACGTATACTTCAGGTTTAAAAGATGGATACAATCGGTCTCTGTAACCACAGAGATGCACTGCTCATTCTGGTGTACTGCTCCATCAGATGTGTATTGTGATATATGAGGTTTGAACAATATACTTTTTCTTGTAGGATATTATATATCTTAAGCTTGTACTTTGCTCAGTTGCTCTTGAGTGTCCCATACATTTGAGGAATAGGTATTTAGCTATGATTTAAGGTTCATGCTAAAGTGTGTATTCGTGTTTTGTTCCTTTTCTGAAAGTATTTACCCTTAAACTGTTTGGAGACAACTTTGTATGTTGAAGGAACAGTGACGGTGGAACAGTTGATCCCCAGAGCATCCAACAATGATCCTAATCTTGGAGAAAATAGTTTTGACTAAATTGAAATTTAGCTTAGGCCCCCTAAGAACTGTATTCTTAATATAATACTTTTTCTGATGATTCACATTATTCAAACCAAACTTTACAGATCTTGTAATGATCACTTGTAATTTTTCTGTAGATTTGAATAAGATCCTCTGGTTCAGTCATGCATGTCATTAATGGCCACATTAATGTTTGGCAGAATAGAAATAACTGCAGAATAAAGCAATGCCAATGAGAATGTGATTATCATAACAAAGATACATATTTATGCAGAACTTGCAAATGCCAAGTTTATGTTGTAAAGACACATCTTTAGTACTTTAGAAATTTGAAATGTAACAGTATAAGTGTGATTGTAAAAACGTTGAACAGAGTAGGGAAGGGTTTAGTTTAGTTTGTTGGATGAATCCAAATTCAGCCGGATCATTTGGGAAGTTAAATTACAAACATTGTAGCTGTATTGTAATAGATTTAAATGCACTATATTATGGTTGTATTTCAATATAATGAAACTGATTACATTCTTTATATGTGATTTCTAATTAACCTACATTAGTCACACTGATCTTTTATACATTGTATCACTCATATCAATGTGCCACTAAATCACCAAACCAATATCTAATAACAGCTAAAATGTGTTTTGCTTTAACTCCTTATTTGTATCATCCGGTGACAATGAAGTGTAAATGTTGAATGTGGTTGACAGAGATGGCATGTGATTGTACATATAAATAAAGGATTAGTGAAATGCAGAACATCCGAAATATTTTAAAAGGACTTTTCTGTTAACACACAGGCGTGATAACTCATTTTGAATCTTTTTACAATTTAAACATGTGAAGTCGGCCATGCATTTTAATGTCTCAATAGAAAGATGCAATCATAAACAAAGTGGTGAAACAAAACCAGACAAATGCAGATTTAGCTGAAAAAGTTGAACCTAAATAAATATAGTTGAGTCCAACTGAATTTCAGCGTTTACTTACCTGCATTTAAATAATATGACATTATACCTTCACATTGTTTGTTGAGTGAGAAAACATATAATTGTCAAAATCTAAGATGTAATTTGATGCCTCAATGCGGTGAGAGTATACATTGAATCAAAGTCAAGTATAAAGACTGTCATAAACTGGTCAAGCATATTTACATTCTTTACTTGAAACAAACCAGAAGAGTTTCCTGTGAACTCATGGCAAAAGTGGGAAGCAAGTTAATATGTGATACAATGTTATTTTATCATGAGCATGATAACCTTTATGCAATACAGATTTTAGGCAAAATGATGCATGACACATGCATCAGCAAACTTTATTTGAGGTTGTTTTGCAAATGTGTGGACATTATGGGCATGGTTCCTGTGTGAGATCACAATTTGGGTAAGTTTCTTGAACTTAGTGTTATTTGCGAGTTCAAATTCAGATCAGTCAATATCAATTAGATGATTTCAAATATGATATCTTTCTGCAATGGGGCCACTCGTTAATTTCAAAAAGCCTGAAACAGAAACCAATTCCTGATCAATATAATGATAACCTGGTGCAATGATATTACAAGTTATAAATCCTGCACATCGATCTCTAGCTGGATTTGATTGTTAATAATTGAAAAGTAGTAATACATTCTGACTTTCCAATGACGCAAAGATGTATTACATTACATGTTACTTGTTAGACGCTTTTATCCAAAGCGACTTACATACTCAATGTATCCTTGTTTGTCTCCTGTTTTCCCCACTGGGTTTCATCAAAGGAGAAATATTTACTGTAGCGAACTTCCCTATCTAACTTCCTTGATTCCCAGATGTCTGGCTGATTGGCCTCTGTTATGAAGTTGTGTTTCCTGACGTGTTGTGGACTTGAAAGACTCTTTACATAATGTTTGATGCGTATGTACGAGAAAGGGAGCCCCCAAAACATGTTTTTAACTTTTGTCTTTAATCAAAATTAGAATAAGATTGTATTTTTGTAGACCTACAATTTACAACTTATTTTCTGAACTAGATCATCAGCTAAATTCCAACACCATACAAGGTTATTTCAATATTTGAGTCACTCTATACAAATGTATTTAAAAACTATACTGCAAGATTTGTCTAAACCTAGTAACATTAATAGTTATGATCTGCTTTTGGGCAAATTATAGTAATTTTACTGTTCAAAGGGGAAATGGTTGAATAAATTGCAGTCACTCACTGACATGGTTTCAAAGAAAGTGATTAAAAATTAAAGAGTACAAATTATTTTCGCAGTTGGATACACCCCGTCTATCTGTGCATACATATTTGGGTTGTAATGGTCTCATGTGTTTCTCCCTCTATCATGTGAATATATGGTAAATGGCTACATCTTGCCATTCTTGACATCTCCGATAGCTCCCCATACATCAAACAAAAACACATCAGGGAAAGCAAAATCTCCCAGAACTGAGTCCAAGGCCTCTGCAAAATCGTCGGGGTTATTCTTGTCTCTGCCCGCTTCCACGATGGTGGTTGCTGCAGAAAAGAAGGGACAGGACAGATGTGATTCAAGATGAGGGTTTGTATTATAGCCAGTTCCTTTGTCCCTGAAAGTATCTAAAAGTGAAAGGATGGCTTGGATCCCCCAGTGATGCATAAAACATAATGTAGTTTCATTAGGTCAACAACAGACAATTACAAGCAATCTTGTCTTGCCTCGCTACACACACATCCTGAGCATAAATCACTTTTTTTCAATAACTGTTCTCACCATTATTTTAAAATGAACCATGACATTCCAACACTATTTGGATGAAAATATTCAACCAAAATATTTCTGTTGGATCAATTATTGGATCAGGAAAACAGGAAGAATATCAGATTAGCCCCATGAGCCCTTTTATAAAAAAAAAGTTCTTCCAAAGACCCTTCACAAGGAGATGGCTTTCTCCTTTTGTGATCTTCTGTAGGAATTAAAGTAAATAGCTCCTAACTGATGCTGAAAATTACTTTTCATCTCTGTATGCACTATTGTTATTGAATTACATTTTTTATTTTGGACGTCTGAAGCTTTAACCACTTTTTTTAAGGCTTCCTCAGCAGGTGGAGTTTGCTCAATCAAGGAAGAAACGATATGCATGACCTCTCAATGCAAACCGACCTGACTGAGTTCAAATATTCCTCTCGTATAACTATCGTTATTATTTCCACCTCAACAAAACACTGAATGCTGGTAATGCAGGTATAAAATGTTAATGAAACTGAAGTACTCAAAAAAATCACACCAACAATTTCGTGGTGAGTATACATTTTTTTTTAAAAGGACCTGGCCTGAAGTGTGCTGGTCCTGGTCTATCTCAGCATGCCGGAGAACAAGTGGGTTTGCCAGTTTTTTTACAGCCCTAAGAAACAGTCCATAGTATCCCCACTCACTCCTGGATGTGTGAACATCCAATGGCTCACATCCTTACATCTAAACATGGATTTAAAGGTGATTTCTATTTAAAGGAGACAGGCGTTATGTGGGTGGTCTTACCCAGCTCCAGGTCTCTGATGCCCATGTAGCTCTCCAGCAGGTCGTCCACTTTCTTGGTGGCCCGTTCTTCAAACTCATTCTGCTGGCAGATGGAACAGGAAAATACAGAGGTGTTAGTGGACAATTTGCAGGGCTTGTAGTCCAAATATGGACAAGCATATCTTCCTCTACCAAAACGTGTATGAGCCAAGCATATATTGGCCTGTTGTTTATCACTTGTCTTTATGTTAAATAAATATATGAAAGTTTATAGTTGAAATTGAGTATTTCTGGTAAGTGTTAACTGCGGTCAAATGTTCTATTTTTTTTTTTTTCCCTTTTTGTAAACATTTTCCCCCTAAAATACGTTTTTCTGTGTTATTGTTAAAAGTGTTATTGTTTGTGGATTCCCTTCAGAGTTTGATGTAATGTGAAGCATCCTGCATTGAAGTTTTGGAAGTGGGAATAATTTGGTGTACAAGCTAAGAAAGAGAGAGACATTGTTTAATGCAGAATAATGTGTGACTGTGTTTGTGACCAAGGTCAACTGGGGCATTCAGCTCAGGTCCTTTCAGTTCTATACTGTCCCATTGGAATCTTTTAGCAAGACTCAGCATAGCCAAACATTTCAATCAGATCATGTTTAAGATAAAGAAAGATCAGCTGTAGAATAATTTAACAAAATATTGTTTAATTATCTACAAAATGTCTGTGTGTGTGTGTGTGTGTGTGTGTGTGTGTGTGTGTGTGTGTGTGTGTGTGTGTGTGTGTATGTGTGTGTGTGTGTGTGTGTGTGTGTGTGTGTGTGTGTTTGCATATTTGCGTACTGTATACCATATGTGTACGCATGTCACTAACAGAGTTGATCAGGAAGTAACACAGTCATTGTTGAGCAGAGTGTGTGAAACTCACCACTTCCTGAACTGTTGCAGACCCCTTTGAGCGAAGACGCAGCGTCTCCCTCCCGTTCACCATCTTGCCTTCAGTCGATTTTGGAGCTCTTGTCCTCATTCCAATCATGTCTAACCACAAACACAAAAACAGGATGTTAATCAATTTAAAAAGACCGTTATTATGAAGTTTAGTCAGTTCCTGCAGGTGTCTCTCACATATTGAGTATTCTTTTTTCAGAATTTCCAAAGAAACTGATGTGTTGTCAGAAACCTAAACATAGTTTATTTTTCCTGAGAACTACCCATGTGAATCATGGATTTCCAAATCTTTCCATTTCCAACTGTCTGTGTTAACAATGACATTTCTGACTGTGAATCAGATGCTGAGATCCCATCATCATATCCGTATGCAAACACCTGCAATACTGATCGCATACCCATCAATATCAACTGCATGCTGTAAGCATTAAGTTCAGAGCACCGCCTCACACAGCCGCAAATATACCTTTAGCTTTCTTTCTAAAAAGTACATTTGAACAAATGCCCCCCAGGGTCTGCGTGAAAATGCATATCTGTTTTCATAATGTTACATCAGTTTACAAAAGGGAATTAAACCCTCTCCTGAGGGATGTCAAGGGTCAGCATCAACTACTGTATGTCACACGCTAACAGTGTATGGGAATAATACTCAGCACACATCACATTTTCCAAAACAGACATGGTATATAACCTTCACTAAATCTAATTATCTCAATAGTGTAAAATAGTTACATCAGACCCAACATTTTCACATAATGCTACATAACTGCATTTTAATTGTTACAAAAAAGGACAATAGATGGAAAGGGCCAGCGCTGTGGAACTCAGAGTTGTAATTAGTATAATACACTATTTACACATCAAATCTAATCTGTTGTACACAGATTTAGCAGCCAGCCATTGTGTGTGTGTTTCTATTATAAAGAGATGTATTAACAACCTACTCCCTTTTCACTGAAAGGACCGTTTACTGTTGCTTCCCAAAACAGGTTGTGGTTTGATAATAATCAGTACACACTTAAATATGTTTACCAAATGGTTTACATGTGGTTTGTGTTGAGCCTTTTTTACCTTAAACACAGGAGCTCACAAAACAAAACTTGTAAGTTGAAATGGTTGAGTTTGTTTGTTATGTTGTCCCACAGTCGAAGCCAGTTCTTATAACATGAGTTTGCCTGCATGGTGACAATACACTAAGAGCTGTCGATTGTTAACAGGAAATAAGCCCTATGACCATGGATTTAGTATCCGGTGAGATATATATAAGTGAGGTTGATGAAAACTGGACTTCAACCTAATCTGCAACATCCACTCTGGAAAGGGGACTTCCTTTGTTCCTCTCAATGTTCTAACCAGATGTAATAAATAGACCACTTATTATACTTTTGACAGGTGAAACATTTGTTGGAAAGGAAAAGGGATAGGCTGCCTTCATTGTAGGGAGAATCTTCAGGAAGAGTGGTCACAGGTCCAAAGTGCACACAATTTAGCTCACTTATTAGTAAGTGATGCGATGAAAAATGTGATTGATAATACAAACATATTTCAGTAACCTTGATATACTGCATTACTATTTTTTGTCACTATTGCCAAAATACTTAAATGTCTCTTAATAGGAGCAGAATTTACCAATATACATTCTATGTTTTGTTTCTGTGTTTTGGTCAGGGTTCTGAAAATAAAAATCCTACCTCACTGAGCCATAGTTTTTCCTGCAGAGACACTTTAGAGTAGACACACAAGATCATTTAGGCTGAGACTTAAGAACAAGACTGGTCAACTAATGTTAGCTGTTAATTAACAACATTTCCTGGCTCATTGGCAGAGAGCCAGTCATCTCTAAACAGTTCCTGTTTCCTCTTCATGTATGGCTCATGGGATATGGGGAAAGTACAGAAGAATGCTGAAATCCATCAACCACTCGGGCTAGCTAAGAGTGGTTGTGGGACTCAGCTGTTCCAAGGACAGTCCAATCATAATATCCTGGGGGAGGCTTTTTGCTTTTATATCAATTCCAGTTTTATGAACCAAAGCCAACACAAACGTCTGGTTCCCACATGTTGAAAGCCATAGCAATAATATGAAGAACAGAAATGTTTATTTTCCCTGTTGAATTCACTTTCTGTTTCTTAATAACTCAGCCCATATGTTTTTTTACTTAACCAGGAATATATTTTTACTGTGGAATGAAAGTGATTACCACGTCCAGGATTCATGGGAAATAGAAAATGAAATTGGAAATACATGGGTGCAAACACTTTTACTGAGTATTAATTAGGTGCAGACCTTTTGTCAACTAATGCGGTACCACCAATACCCAGACATGCTGAACATGTGAGCATTGTCTTACTCTAGATATGTTGAAATAGTTTGTTTATCAGAATAACATTGCAAACGAAAGCAGAAATGTACTACAAAGTGAACCCCAACTGTAAATAATAAAAGGTTTGCTTTCAACCACTGATTTATGAGGGCATGTTTATAAATCCTAATCTTCATCTGTTCTACATATGACAGTAAAGCCTGGCCACATGGATACATTTTCCACTCACCAAAGGCCTTCTTGGGCCCCACCAGGCGGAGAGTAAAGGGTATGCCTCTCGGTTGCTCTTTTAGCATCTTAGCCACCTCGTAGTGTCGACAGCCTACAATGCTCTGGTCATTGATGGCCTCGATGTGGTCTCCAACACAGACTGTCTTCAGCTGGTCTATGGTGCTGTCTTCCTTTATCCTCTGAAAGAAACAGATTGAAATGTTTGCCATGTGTCTCACATTAGATTATCAGTTTGAAGCCTTTTACACATTTGTGGCAGGGCTCAGACAGTTTAGCTCTTCCACTCGTTCACCTTGATGAATGCATATCCAGCTCCGTTGTCTGTGATAGTGAGACCCAATGCGTCTTCTGTCTTTGTCACCTCCACCTCCTTGGTCTCCCCTCTGACGTGAGCGAAGATGAAGTCTTCCAATCCGATCTGGCCTCCCAGTAGTTTCTGCATGTCCACTTTATGGGAGTTGAGGGTGCAGAAAAGGATCTAGAGGTAGGAAATAGACCAGTACAACTATAGAATAACAATTGTTTTCAATTGAGTTTTCTGTGTTCTATTTATAAATATTAATAACATTAAAACATACCTTTTACCATTTTAAAGTGCTACCCTGAATCCGTAATGACTTTAAATTAATCCATTAGTAAAAGCTATTAACTTTTTTAAATCAGTTCCATTTCCCAAGGAATTAACAGTTTTTCTTTTGGTGAAAATGTGTGTTGTTGTTAAATTATGGTTTGATCCTCCCTACCAAGTTACTTTTTATGAAATGAATGACATATGTTTTGCAAAACATAACAAATATGCTTCATTTTACAATACAAGTGGTGGTTATAGTTTCTGTGGTGTTCCTGTAACATTCACTGGTGTTTCATTTTCTTCCTCCTGTTAATGGAGCCAAACATCATTCCTTTAGCTGTGCTGTATCAGAATGAAACAGCAGAGGGCAGTAGAGACAACAATTTGCCATTGTGGCCATTTTGTTAGGAGCTGTGTGAAAAAGCATTATGAGTGTTTATATATTTTAAGATGAATGGTTAAGTCAGTCAAAGCACATACACACATTTTTCTGATAGTTTTATCGATAAAGTGCTTAAATCATTGTTGTAATCAAATGTTAGTTCTTAAATTAAGTGTCTCACATGACATTTGAATAATATCAAGATCACACTATTAAATACCAGACATGTTTGAGAGGAAATGTCATTTAAAGAACAGCTTTTTACATTTGTATTGCTGTATTGAACTTGTACATTTCTAATATCATGTCTTCAAACTCTTGAAATAACTATGTATTACTGTACAGTTTATTTATAGTTTGGAACTGTAATTGCCTTTGGCGGGATTTGCAAAAACAAAAGCTATTTCAAAACAAAGCCTTCTGAAATCTGAGGTTAGAGTTTAAATTTGACTTTATAATCCATGCCGGAAATTCAAGATAACCTATGTGAACTGTTATCTCCCTTGTAGATAGTTGTCTCCCTTGTGGAACAGTCTGATTACATTCCAAGGACTTCTTTGCCGTCAAACTGTGCTGTAACATTACGCTTTATGCAATTCAGTACAGGAGTTCAAGGGAACTGCTATACATCTCACTATCACCGACTAATTGCTTGTTATTTCCCATAGAAAGTCTTGTATCTTGAATTCTGACTGTAGTTCAAGGTCTTACACAGGACGCTAAATCAACAAATATTTAAATAATGGCCGGCAAAACCATTTGTTTAAGAATAACCAATGTTGATTGTAAAACAAAGCAAATTCACAAAAATGAAAAAATATCAAGATTTGAAAGATTTATTTTAACTATTATTATTATTATTATTATTATTATTATTATTATTATTATTATTATTATTATTATTATTATTATTATTGTTATTGTTATTATTATTATTATTATTATTATTATTATTATTATTATTATTATTATTATTTTTATTTATTTATTTTTTATTATTATGTATTTGTTTCAGTGTTATGCTCTACTAATAATCGATCAAAACATGATATAAACTTCTTATTTTTTCAGAATTGCTGGAGATTATCCCAGCATACACTTTGCAGAGTTGACCCTGGACTGGTTGCCAAGAATCCACATGGTTTACATGTAAAGGAAGATAAACACAATATCAGGGAAAGAGAGTTGTATGCTAAGTGTTTAAACTGAACATGTAATATCAGAAGAGGAATAAAAGTGACAGCTATGTTTTGTAAGTGTGCTTATTTGATGTGGTTTGATTGCCTTGGTAAGTGAACATGGGTTGTTCATTAACATGTAGCGTGCAGGCATAAACCTTGTGTTACACAAAGAAAACAGCCTTCACAAGACATAATCACAGCTGGTAGCTGCCTGATAAGATCTTTTACGTTAGCTCCTATGAAATGTACTGTATATTGGTCTACATCCCTTTATCTCCAGTCATTTAAGTCCAACAGGCAAGGATACATTGAAAGGAAAACCTTCATAGTGGCCTTCAAACACGCTACTGATAAGTATTAGATAAGGCCAATGTTCAATATTTATTGCTCTGTCACCACAACATACTGGAGAACCATGCAGGCCACAGTTATTCTTAATAAAAAGGTAACACTATTTAAATGCAATCCTTGTAGTTTGGAACTGAACTGCACAAATAACCACAGCTGAGTTCAGTAAACCAATTTCTACTCACAAAACGTGCACAGGCACAAGACAGACTATCAGTTTCCTACAGCTTAAGTGCTTTGACAGTCTTTACTCAACTATTCATTTCCTCCTATGCAAACTTTGATCAATATTTTTCCAGTTGATCTGGAAAAAAGGCCTGTAGTAAAAACGAACAAATGAAGCCATTGATAATTCATTCTGTGATATGGGCCTGTGACGGCCTTGGGCTTGTGGACAGCCCTGACATCAAAACAGTTTAGTGACTAGACCTCTCCTCAAGGGTTCTGGCCTTGTGAGCAGCTGCCTGCTGTAACCTGACTGCAAACCACACATTTGATCCCCTACCCTGCTATGACTTAACTGTTTAGTCCGATACCATTTTAGAAATCTGATTGACTTGTTATGTTGTATGTGTGGTATTGTGTGACTACATAACATTATCCAGTTAATATTTGTTTCCGTTATTGATCCTGGTCAAGGCGCACACAAGTACAAAGTCTGGCCGACAAAAGTGAGGTCAAATGGTCTTCGATAGTGCATCATGGAAAACAGCCTAGAATGGAAACCTAAAACTATTTGCGGCTGGCCTATCAGACCAGAAAGGAAAAGAGAAATAACACCATCAAACTCCAAAAAACACCATCAGTATTTGTATCTTGATCATTTCTCAAAACACTGGAAATGTCACTTATTAGCCTAATCATAACATGCATGGCAGAATTAGTTTGGTACCTCTGAGGGGGAGATGTGGAACACTTCAGCGATCTTGGCGTAGAGCTCTTTTACGTTGGTGAATCCGTGGATGCGGCCTGTGGGACTCCCATGAGCCAGCTGGGTGTGGAAAATCAGCCTAGGTCTCGGGTATTCTGGTGGCCCTGGTGGTGGTGGTGAAGGCGGAGGAAGTGGAGGGGCTGTGGGCTCCGCACTCCCCTGATTATGGCTCTGGTTCTGGGCCTTCTGCTCCTCCATTGGCTCTGCCACTGCTGCCTTGGAGTCCTGAGGGCTCATAGCCTCCCCGTTCTGCATCGGGCCACGGCTCAGGTAGGGTCCTCCTCTGGGAGCCCCGGTGCTACACTGCTCTGGGAAAGAGAGACTCTGGCCTTTTCCCCTGCTTAGCAGACCAACCACCCAACCAAATAGCCACCCAGTGCTTTGGGGTGAAGAGCGCAGATGAATAAGTGATAAGTGTAGCCTGGTAACAATAGCTGGAAGAGGACAGCCAGCCCTGCTGGGCAGAAACCCAACACCCTTTGAGTTGAGGACTGCATGTGTTACACCTGAGCCTCTGGCTGCTCACGCATAGAGAACAGAAATAAAACACATTAGGTAAAGGTTTCTTCATAGACACAACACAGTTAAAACTCTAATCCCCCATATCAGTCTGGGAGGAAGACATACATGACCCTGAATATGCAAACATCGCTTTGAAGCGTGAAAATGCCAAGCATATGCAAAACGATTTCCAAAGTGGGCAGCTTGGAGATGTCCCAGTGCAACAGGTAAGATGATATCATTGGGTATGGAGCAAGGTGCTCCCCCCTTTGCTGGCCTCTTAAATGAAATTGGCTGTTGCTGGGGTGAATCCTTGGTGATGCTCTGACCTATTTGACCATACTGACAGCCCACAGATACAGAGGATGACAGTTAAAGCCGCTAAACACATGTTTAATTCATCTGGGTAGTTTGTGCTTCTGGCAAGGTTTTTAAATATCAGTTTTCAACCTGAATGTACGAAAATGTGTGTACACGTGACAGCCCTTTAATTAAATAAATAATACTACAAGTTGTTGTTAAACTTGTAGAAACGATGATATACTTTATAAATAAAATATATATATTGAAACATATCACTTAATTAGCCTGGTAAAGTTTTTTCTTTACTAATAATCTTTTTCATATTGGATAAACACTGAAAGGTTAAAAACAACATATTTCAATTTTCACACATTTTCTCATGTGATGCGTTAATCATTTGCAAACCAAATTTGCTGTCATGCATGGACACGGAAAGCTATCTATCTCTCTATCAGATCTGGAAATTCCACAAAAATCCCATTTTTAAATGTCAGCTGGGAATGTCTAAATTACCTTTAAACAAAAGATTATTTCAGGCTGAATGGCACTGCAAAAGAGGTTTGAGATGCAGAAGTAGTCGACTGATTTCAGCACTGTAGCCCAGGACTCTACTGATCCTTTAGAGCTGTACTGATCTTTAGGACTATATTGATCCAGGACTACACTGATCCATGGCTGTACTAATTCAGGACTGTACTGGTCCATCAGTAAATGCCTATACCATGTTTACATTATTTATAATATTAAGACAAACATGTAAATTCCATTTATTGTATAGTAAAGGGCTCAAGCCTTTTATGTATCTGTTTTACTGCTTCATAAGCATTCTTTTCCACCTGTGCTGTAACGTGCGTGGCTGCAGCTGTTTGTGCGTCACAGCCTTGTTTTTTCCAGGCCAAGGTGTTGTCAGCCTCTGAAGGTCAGAGTGTTTAGATCATCAGCTGATAATAATGATCTTCCTAACAAATCATACCTTTTCAAACAGAAACAAGGCAGACCGCTAAGTGAAGGACATCTCCTTTTCTTTTATTGCAGAAAGATGACTTAGCATCAATTAGTCACATCAGTGATAACTGACCGACTTGGTTCCCAAGATGTGTAATTGGAAGCACAAGTTCCAATATTTGTTGTAAACTATTTGCTTAACAAGATAAGACCTCTGTTTTAAAGTTGTCAATATAAAAAAGTGGCTATTGCACAATTCTAAAGGACTTTCATCCAACTTAAATAATGTTGATTGATATTCACAGACAAACAAATCAATCAAAAGGTTTATTTAGCTCACAATTGTCTCTGAAAGCCTTATTATGCATTTTCTGAAATGTTTAAAATGTCTTTTTTCTGTTCCTCTCTACTTTTTAAAAAAGGTATACCATTTTTCTTAAGGTATTTGCATCCACTGATTCAGTACAGGTTAAGGCAAAGCCTTTTTTGCTCATTTTCAAACTCAGCTCTGATTATGCAAGTAAAATGTAAATGTTATATAACAGATTAGGAACTTAACATCAGCCTGCCAAAGCCTTAAGTACTCTGCAGTGGGTATGTATTACGTTACGGAGAAGTACAAGAGAAAGTATTAAGACTTCAAATATGCTTCCCCTGTTTGCAAAAGCATATTTCAATGACGCCCTTCTTATGTGACTATTCTCTCATTGGCTCTGAACAGATGGTGTGCAATTAACAAATATTGACTACATCAAGAGTGATTTATTCAGGGCTAATGACTCAGATGTGTGGTTTTATGCGACTTAAAGCATTTATAGTGACAAATACAAATGTTTCTTATATTTTATTTCCTTAGTTTATGGTTTCCTTGATACACGGTTTTCATCCAGCAGTGTTGGTCTAGTGTGCTGAATGTGGTTTTACATCAAATTGATATCTGACTGACTGACGCACAGTGCCTCTTTACAAGACAGTGCCTCAAGGTTTTGATATTGTGCATCCTTCATATTCCAAAACGAATGACCTCAAACCAATTGACACACTGTGATGCTGGGGCTTTTTGTGAGACCTGGGTCTTTGCGTAGTTCCCCACGTTGCCCAATTATCTATCCAGCTTTCTCACTGATGAATCACACACAAGAGGCTGTTATTTACAGTCGATCTACACCCCCTTACTGCGTCACATCCTTCTTTATGAAGCGTGATTTCTTCCTCTCTATCGGCTTTGATGGAAGGGGAGACCGTGGGCTGGCCGGTGTAGGCCAGATTGTGTGAGTGGGTGGATGGTGTGTTTCGTGTGTCATGATGTGATACACTGCCTCTTCTGTTTGTGGTGGTGTGATGGCGCCTGAGCTGCCTGGTCATAAAAAAAATCTAGATGCTAAGATTTGAGTGCATTTCCCTGAACGCCTCCTGATAATGATTGGCTTTCATATATATTCAAGGTCTCCATCAATAGAGTGGTGATATACTCTTGGTACCTCAGTACTATTCACTATGACTTCTTATGATGCTGTTACTTATTTTCGTTCCATGGCTGTGAATGTATTTTCTTTTCTTTCTTTTATGTGTGCTTGCCTCTTTATTTAATGTTACTGCACTAATCTTGTTTTTGGCTTTTTCTTCACCCTGTCTTTGCTGGAACAGAGTAAATTACCTTTCTGTGGGCCAAATAAAGAATTTCTTCTGAAAGCTGTGTTGTAATAAGACTGAACTGTGTTGCACCGATTTGTAAGGATGTGATGTATTTATGGCACAAGGACACATTTGTGGACAATAACTACAATTAATCAATAGGCCATATTGTCAGTCTCACTATATAATATTCAATATAATCATTACGTAACCTAACCAAGCCAAGGTCAACATTGTGTCAGTGTATAAACACTTACATTTCAACTGAATAATTTTGAATAGAAGAATAACCCAACCAGAACATCCTTCCCCATCAGCATTGTGTCTCAATATGCCACCCCAGAGCATAATCCATTTGTAATCACATAAGGAAGTCACAAGAACCACCGTCATCCGTTGTGAGTACAAAGTGACATAGCTGATGATTTAGCTTTGGCCTTGTGCCAAGGTCTGCTGACAGCAGTTGTTGCCTTTTTCCCCATCAATCAATCAATCAATCAATCAATCAATCAATCAATCAATCAATCAATCAATCAATGTTTATTTATATAGCCCAATATCACAAATGTTACATTTGTCTCAGTGGACTTCACAGTTTGTACAGAATATCAGTATGACAATACGACACCCTCTGTCCTTAGACCCTCACATCGTACAAGGAAAAACTTAAAAAAAAGGAAAAACCCCACAGTTTAAAGGGGAAAAATGGGAGAAACCTCAGGGAGAGCAACAGAGGAGGGATCCCTCTCCCAGGACGGACAGACGTGCAATAGATGCCGTGTGTAAATTGAAAAGATAATACATTTACAACATAGGTAGTCCAAATGTTTGGAAATGCATGTGTCTATAATAAGAAGATGAATCCACGAGGATATCCATCCAGGACCAGCCACGACTCAGAATCCCGGCGTAGATAGACACCAAAAAGAAATGTGGGGAAGCTGGGTTATTCGGAACATGAGAGTACACAGGTACAGACAGAGAGAAGGAAGAAGTAAGGTGTCCCCCGACAAACTAAGCCTATATAGCAGCAAAACTAGGGGCTGAATCTAATCAGCCATAACTATAAGCTTTATCAAAAAGGAAGGTCTTAAGCGCACTCTCAAAAACGGATAGGGTGTCTGCCGCCCGAACACAAACTGGAAGCTGATTCCACAAATGTGGAGCTTGATAAGAAAAAGCTCTGGCTCCCATTGTACTTTTAGAGACTCTAGGAACAACCAACAACCCTGCATTATTGGAACGCAATGCCCTAGTAGGACAGGTATAATGAGTTCTTTAAGGTAAGATGGCGCCTGCCCATTAAGGGCTTTGTAGGCGAGAAGAAGAATTTTAAATTCTATCCTGTGTTCTATAGGGAGCAGGTGTAAGGCAGCCAGAACAGGAGTAATGTGGTCCCTTTTCCTAACTCTGGTTAGTACATGAGCTGCAGCATTTTGAATCAGCTGAAGCGACTTAACTGACTTCTTGGTACACCCTGAGAGTTACAATAATCCAGCCTTGAAGGAACAAATGCATGGACTAGTTTCTCTGCATCGTTTTGAGGCAAGATATGCCTGATTTTTGCAATGTTATGAAGTAGGCGGTCCTTGAAATTGATTTTATGTGGGCGTTAAAGGATAAATCCTGATCAAATATAACACCAAGATTCCTTACAGTCTCACTGGAGGCCAAATTAATGCAATCCATAGTTCTTTAGATAATTTGTTTCGTAGATTCTTTGGGCCGAGTACAATAACTTCAGTTTTGGCCGTGTTTAACATCAAAAAGTTTAAAGTCATCCACGTTTTTAAGTCCTTGAGGCAGTCTTGAGTTTTATTTAGATGATTAATTTCATCAGGCTTGATTGATAAATATTGTTGAGTATCATCCGCATAACAATGAAAATGTACAGAATGATTCCCCAGAAAATGAGAGGCCCCTACATTAGCTGCTTGCATAATACTAGGCTGAAATTAAGTGTATTATTCAGAGGCATCAGAATAAAAGCCACCAACTGAGCCATTG